TTATACACTAAAAACTAGAAAACATAGTTGAAAGAAATTAAATAAGATCTAAATAAATGGAAAGACAGTCCATGTTCATGTATTGGAAGATATAATATTGTTAAGATGATGGCACTCACCAAATGGAGCTAAAGATTCAATGCAATTCCTATCAAAATTCCAACAGGCTTTTTTTCTCCCCAGAAATGCATAAGCTGTTCCAAAAGTCATATGGAAATTCAAGAGACCCCTGAATAGCCAAAAACACATTGATAAAGAACAAACCAGGTGGACTGACACTTCCCAACTCCAAATTTTACTACAAAGCTACAAAATAATCAATACAGTGTGGTACTAGCATAAGGAAAGACATAAGCCAATGGAAAAGAATCAAGGGTACAAAAGCAAACCCAGACATCTGTGATCAGTTTTCAACAAAAGTGCCAAGACAACTCAATAAGGGAGAAATAGGTTTTTTCAACAAATGGTGCAGGCACAACTGTATATCCACATGTAGAAGAATGAAGTTGGATCCCTATTGCAGAGCATACAATAAAAATTAATTCAAAATGTTCCCAAGATATAAAAGAGCTAAAACTAGAAAACTCTTAGAAGAAAACATACATGTAAGTCTGTATGATCTTGAATTAGGCAATGGCTTCTTAGATATGACAATTAAAGCACAAACAACCAAAGGAAAAAACATAAATTGGATTTCATCAAAACTAAAAACTTTGTAATGCAAAGGCAACTATCTAGAAAGTGAAGACAACCCAGAGAATGGGAGAAAATATTTGCAAATCATAAAACTGATAAAGGACTTATGTCTAGAATATATAAAGAACTCTTACAACTCAACATTGAGGAGACAAATTTATTTTTAATTTTGTTCATGTTTATTTTTTTCTTTTATAGTTTATTGTCAAGTTGGTGTCCATATAACACCCAGTGCTCATCCCAAGAAGTGCCCTCCTCCATGCCCGTCACCCTCCTTCCCCTCTCCCCCACCTCTATCAGCCCTCAGTTTGTTCTCAGTATTCAAGAGTCTCACATGGTTTGCCTTCCTCCCTCTCCCCAACTATTTTTCCCATTCTCCTCCCCAATGGTCCTCGGTTAAGTTTCTCCTGTTCCACTTATAAGTGAAAACATATGGTATCTGTCCTTCTCTGCCTTATTTCGCTCAGCATAACACCCTCAAGTTCCATCCACATTGCTACAAATGGCCAGATTTCATTCTTTCTCATTGCCATGTAGTATTCCATTGTATAGATAAACCACATCTTCTTGATCCATTCGTCCATTGAGGGACACTTAGGCTCTTTCCATGATTTGGCTATTGTTGAGAGTGTTGCTATGAACATTGGGGTCCATGTGCCCCTATGCATCAGCACTCCTGTATCCCTTGGGTAAATTCCTAGCAGTGCTATTGCTGGGTCATAGGGGAGTTCTATTAATTTTTTGAGGAACTTCCACACTGTTTTCCAGAGGCGCTGCACCAGTTTCCATTCCCACCAACAGTGTAGGAGGGTGCCTATTTTGAGGAGAAATAAGTTTAAATGGGCAAAGGTTTGAGTAGACATTTCTCCAAAGAAGATATGCAAATGGCTAATAAACACTTGAAAAATTACTCAGTGTTTTTAGTCATTAGGGAAATGTGACTTAAAGCCACAATAAGATACTACTTCACATCCATTATGATGGCTATAATAATAATAAAAAAGAGACAGACAATAGTAAATGTTGATGAGCTGACCCTCATACATTGTTGGTGGGAATGGAAAATGATACAGCTGCTGTTGAAAACTGACAGTGTCTCCAAAAGTTAAACAGAATTACCATGTGACTGGCAATTCCACTGTTAGGCATACACCCAAGAGAATTGAAAACATAATCACACAAAAACTTGTACACAGATGTTCATAGCATGGTTATTCATAATAGCCCAAAAGTGGAAAGAACCCAGACGTTCATCACTCATGAATGGATAAAGTGTGGTAGATGCATACAATGGATTGCTATTCAGCCATAAAAACAGTGAAATACTGTTACATGCTGCATGAGTGAATCTTGAAAACATTATCCTAAGAAGGCAAATGCTAAAGGATACATACTATATGATATCATTGATATGAAATGTCAAGAATAGGCAATTCCAAAGAGATAGGCAGTAGACTGATAGTTGCCATGGGATGAGGGAAAAGGGAAATTAAGAATGGTTGCTAATAGGTAAAGATTTTCTTTTTTGGGAGGATGAAAATGTTCTGGAATTAGTATGATTGCACAACACAGTAGGCATACTAAAAAGTACTGAATTGTGCACATTAAGATGGTAAATTTTATGTGAATTATATCTCAATTTGACAATGTTAAGGTGAAATGTAATCCTAAACTTGGAAAAAAATCATAAGCAATTGTAATCAAAGCAGTAAATCTAGAACAGTTTTCTATTTATGGAAGGACAAAATGGCCCTGAAAATTAATGCTCTTGTCCTCTCATGAAAACCATTTGGATGTGGGGGCATCTGGGTGGCTCACTTGGTTAAGTATCTGACTCTTTATACCAGCCCAGGTCATGATCCAGCTCACTCTTTGGAAGAGGCACAGATCCTTCCCCACATAAGAGCTAACTCCCAGGATGCTAGCTCTGGTTCTAAGGGGTGTTTGGGTTTACTGTGGCCTGGCCAATTAAACTCACACAATCAGTTCCTTACACCTACTCTCCCTTCTCCTGGGAGAGAGTAAACTTTAGAATGACCGTTCCTGAAAAGACCTCAGTATCACTGAAGGTAACTCTTCCAGGGAAAGTGTCCATTAGGATTCTTCCTCTCTGATTTATTTGTTCACAATCCACTAGAACACTTCTGATTGTAGGTTCCATTACTCTTCAACTCTTGGCCTATTCTTTTGATTACTTGGCTGTGCAGGCCATGGGTGCTCTGATCTAAAAAGAAACAAAATAGGGGCGCCTGGGTGGCTTAGTCGGTTAAGCATCCGACTTTCGCTTAGGTCATGATCTCGCGGTTCGTGGGTTCGAGCCCCGCGTCGGGCTTTGTGCTGACTGCCAGCTCAGAGCCTGGAGCCTGTTTCAGTCTGTGACTCCCTCTCTCTCTGACCCTCCCCTGCTCACGCTGTCTCTCTCTTCTCCTAGAAATAAATAAAACATTTAAAAAAAAATAAAAAGAAACAATATTCTGTAACACTGGCAAATACTTACAAACTGAGGGGAAAGAGCTTCCCTCAAAATGCGTAGGAAGGAGACCACCATGGTGATGTCAGATTTAATTCTAGCATGCTTCTTGTATATCAGTAGCCAAGAGTATCAGATGCCAAATAAAGACTAACTTTGTTGTTAATGTGATCATATACCTATACCCGTACCCAGAATTAACTTACTGTTTTAGTTTCCTTGAGGGGAAAATTTGAGTTTAAAACCTCTTCGTGACTACCAAGTGGAAACCATTCTTCTCAGTTTTAAGAAGTTACTTTCTGCCAGATTTCATCAATAACTCACAAATATAATTATTACCAAACAAATAAGGAACAAACAGGCAGAAAACTGGTGGCTAAAAACCCAGTAAAAACATACTCTTTCATTCATAACTCAAATCGTCATGAAACACTTCTTACGCCAATAGAATAGACTCAGCCAAGTCTTTAAAATATTTTCTTGGGAGAATAGATTTCACATGAAACTTTTCCAGAGAACTCCATTGTTTCCACTGTTGCTAACAAATGTAACTAAAACTCCAAGAATTTAAAAATATTTTAGGATGTATGTATAAGCAACCACATTTGTGCTAAAATGTTATCCCACTTTGACAGCCAATTCTATGGAAAACCTACTTATAATTCCATCATAAACAGATATGATGCTGTAGTTTTTAAAGTGCTTTCGTGGATTTATTCGTTAAAGTAACAGACTATGGGCCTTATAGTAAAATTACCAATTTCCCTCCCAATTAATTCAATTCCTTTGAGTTGCATTTGGTAAGATTTTGATTTAAAACACAAGGGAGTGATTCATAAATTGCTTTTATTTTTTAAAGAAAAGGCTGGTGTTTCAGAAGACTATTATTTCATACACTCCATTAAGATTATAACCTGGGTCATTCTGGTTATATTGTGGTTATGTCTTACACTCAGTGACACCTGGTGCTAGCTGGGAAAATGTCCTGTGAAACAGATAGGCTTAGCTCCTGGCTTCAAATGGAACAATTCAGATGCTGCCCAACCCCCAGGTTGACGGGAATTTCAAAAGAAGATCAACCTCTCAGTATGTTGCCCTGTTCCCATTCTTCCATCTAGAAAAGTCATGCTAGCAAGTAAAAACACCACCACCACCACTTAGGGCATTTTAATACATATAATTTATTACATAAATCAGCCAAATTCATGGTGGACAGTGAAATGCCCTTGCAGATCACAAACAAAAATGAATAACATCAATTCAGCCTCTCAGGCAGGCCAGTAGCTGTTGGTTTGTAATCATGAATGGAAGTCTTTTATCCAGGGATTTTTCAGTAGAAATATTCGAGGACATTTTAGCAGAGAGAAAAATTAAGCAAAATGGTTGCGTATTGTATTAAGATAAATCCTGCCAATTTTGCCTACAGTGTTTGTTTTGGCATACTATTCCTGGCTCTTCAATGGTAAAATCGCTCAAGTTTTATTTTCTTTGGTTTGTCTTGGCTGTTGGAATCTATCCAAAACTACTGTTTCTTGTAATCCTCTATTGAATAGCTCCACAATTTCCATTCTATCTAGGGTGGCTTCTTTTCACATATCCTAAATCTCAGCAATCATAGGAAAAGGAACAGGTATAAAAACTGGGATGTATATTTTCAAATGGCAAATTCAATACTGAGGGTATTCTTCAGGGTTTAGAGATAGCCAAAGATTGAAGTTAAGTTTTAGTGTTGTTGCCAGAGAAATACAATATATTCTCTCAAAATATTTTTAAAACTCTTTGCTGGTCTATAGAATGCTTCCAAATAAACCTTTTTATCTCCTGTTTTTATCAGAGCTGTTTGAATCCTAGAACACGGTGGAAATAAGGGGTAAGTAAACCATAACTGTCTTATAATTTGTTAATTGGGGAAGAGGGGGCAGGGTCTAAAAAGTGGTTCTTTTAAATGACTTGTCAGATCAAATAAATTCTAACAATATTTACTACTTTGGACTTGAAAAACTATACTTCCCTTTGTATATACTGTAATAAGCTTGAAAACACATTAACAGTATACAAATATTGTTTTAAAATACATTTCTTTTGTTCTACTTGAATTACACAAGTATTAACTAATAAATGCAGTTTTAAATTTCCAACAATTATGAGTTTTTTAAAAAGTTTATTTTTCTACTCTTCTGTTGCAAATGATCCTGTTCCTTGGGCATATAAGGATCTTGCTCAGTATTAACAGTCTGTGAGATTGTTGTATTTTTCTTTTAAAGTACTATAGAGGGGGCACCTGGGTGGCTCAGTCAGTTAAGTGTCTGGCTATTGATTTTGGCTCAGGTCATGATCTCACGGTTCATGGGATTTTCTCACGGTTCATGGGATTGAGCCCCGCATGGGGCTCTGTGCTCACAGTGTGGAGTCTGCTTGGGATCCTCTCTCTCCTTCTGCCCCTCTCCTGCTTGCTCTCAAAATAAATATTTTTAAAAACTAGTAAAGTACTGTAGAGATAAGTCAGTAGAAGTATGTGTAACAATTTATCAGTAGACCGTAATAGCTAAGTCTAAGTCAATACATTTAGATTCAATGATATTACACTGCTAGCATTTCACATAGGAGTTATTCTCTTGCCTCATTGTGGAAATTGCTAGGGAAAAAAATATTAAAAGGAACAAAGAACTACAGAAAATATCAAAAGTCAATCAAGTGTTTTTTAAAAATTTATTTATTTTGAGAGGGAGAGAGAAAGCACATGCAAGCAGGGGAGGGGCAGAGAGAGGAGAGAATCCCAAGTAGGTTTCTCACCACCAGTGCAGAACAGAGTCCAACGTGGGGCTTGAATTCATGAAGCATGAGACCTGACCCAAAATCAAGAGTCAGATACTTAACCGACTGAGCCTACCCACACACCCCAACATCAAGTTTTTCTGAGCTTTCTTTTTATAATTTCTCTTGTCTAAATTACCTCCATGTTGGGATATTGTTGGGGTCAACACAAAGGTCATGATAAAAATCAAACATCATTCTAGTATTTGGTGCCGCATATGCACGGCATTCCAAAGGCAAAGTGTGGGTGATAAAGGGGTGCATTGTTTGTAGAGTATTTAAAACATCGAGGGGCCCCTGGGGGGCTCAGTCGGTTAAGCGTATGACTTCGGCTCAGGTCATGATCTCATGGTTCGTGGGTTTAAGCCCCGCGTCAGGCTCTGTGCTGACAGCTAGCTCAGAGCCTGGGGACTGTTTCGGATTCTGTGTCTCCCTCTCTCTCTGACCCTCCCCTGCTCACACAGTCTCTCTCTCTCAGAAATAAAAAAAATAAAATAAAATAAACATTGAAACTTAAGAAAAGTCAGCGTGCTCTTTATTGTCAACATCAAGGTAAACAAGAACAGTGATAAAAATATTCCTCCTCATTGGGCAGATGCTCCTACTACCCTTTGAAAACACTACTGGCCATATGAGCTGAAAAATATTACATATCCAATGCACTTGAGATGTTTATTGTGGAAAGATCTCATTCCCACCTTTTTTTTTCATTAAAAATTTTTTTAACGTTTATTCATTTTTAAAAATATTTTTATTTATTTCTAGGAGAGAGAGAGAGAGACAGCATGAGCAGGGGAGGGTCAGAGAGAGGGAGATACAGACTCCGAAAGAGGCTCCAGGCTCTGAGCTGGCAGTCAGCACAGAGCCCGATGCAGGGCTCGAACCAACGAACCGCGAGATCATGACCCAAGCGAAAGTCGGACGCTTAACCGACTAAGCCACCCAGGCGCCCCAACGTTTATTCATTTTCGAGAGAGAGAGACAGAGCATGAGCAGGGGAGGGGCAAAGAAAGAGGGAGAGAGAGAATCCCAAGCAGGCTCCAGGCTCTGAGCTGTCAGCACAGAGCCCGATGCAGGGCTCAAACCCATGAAACGTGAGATCATGACCTGAGCTGATGTCAGATGCTTAACCAACTGAGCCACCCAGGTGCCCCACTTTATCTTCAATTTTTGAAAATGTAAATGTTGAAGAATATGTTAGTACTAATAAAGGCAGCCTTTGGTTACAAATGTAAATGTGAAATACACATAATTAATATTTTTTAGTATTTCAGTGAATCTGAGAGAAGAATGGTAGGCAGGCAGACATTGAATTTTCAAATACTGATACACCAGTGTTTTAAGAGTCACAAGTGTTCATAGCAGCACTCTCAACAATAGCTAAGACATGGAAAGAGCCTAAGTGTCCATCAACGGACAAATGGATCAAGAAGATGTGGTTTATCTATACCATGGAATACTACATGGCAATGAGAAACAATGAAATCTGGCCATGTGTAGCAACATGGATGGACCTTGAGGGTGTTATGCTTAGCGAAATAAGTCAGGCAGAGAAGGACAAATATCATATGTTTGCACGTATAGGAGGATTGGGAGGAACTTAACAGAGGACCGTGGGGAAGAAGAAGGGGAAAAAATGAGGGCCATGGGGGAGAAGAAGGGGGGAAATGGTGGGGGAAAGGGAGAGAGGCAAACCATGAGAGACTCTTGAATGCTGAGAAACAAACTGAGGACTGATAGATGTGGGGGGGAGGTGGGAGATGGGCATGGAGGAGGGCACTTCTGGGGATGAGCACAGTTGTTATATGGAAACCAACTTGACAATAAACTATTTGTAAAAAAAAAAAATTAAATTAAAAAAAAGAGTCACAAGTAGGTACCTAAGGAAATAATGGAAAGAGTAAAACAGGTCATTCTTGCATTTGATGCATGAGAATTTAGGTTGACTATAGAATCAAACTCCCACTAAGGATGACTCCCTAGCAATTCATTCTAAGACTTAGTATAAGACCTTTATTAACACCTTTCATATAAGACACCTATTTTTTTTTAAGTTTTTATTTATTTTGAGAGAGAGAGAGTGCAAGCAGGAGAGTAGCAGAGAGAGGGGGGTGGACAGAATCTCAAGCAGGCTCCACACTGCTAGTGCAGAGCCCAATGTGGGACTCAAACTCACAGACTAGTAACACACCTATTCTTAAATGAGCACTTATCACATTATTGACCTGAACCAATACAAATAGGCCAATGGCTAAGGGCAATAAAGTCTATACTTCTGAAGATCATTTGTATTTTTTTAAAATTTTTAACATTTATTTATTATTGACAGACAATGAGAGACAGAGCACGAGCAGGGGAGGGTCAGAGAGGGAGGGAGACACAGAATCTGAAGCAGGCCCCAGGCTCTGAGCTGTCAGCACAGAGCCCGAGGTGGGGCTCAAATTCACAAACCGCGAGATCATGACCTGAGACGAAGTCAGATGCTTAACCAACTGAGCCACCCAGGTGCCCCAGATCATTTGTTATTTTTGCGGACTCTTTGGGCAAAGTCCATAAGGATATGAAGAATAGAGGGACCAAAAATCAAAATATAAACACCACAACCAAAAAACCCATTAGCAAAAGAAAACAAAATATTAAAGCATAAGATCACCTTCATTGATATTCTCACCAGCCAGAATTCCCATACTTATATGATTCTCCACCTCTGTTATCTGTAACATTCTGGAGTATTAGAAGGAACTAGTACTTTACAGAGGCGAATATGTTTCCTTCCAAATGCTCTAAGTGGGGAAAAACCTGTAATGAACAACAACAACAACAGAAAACTACACACATACTTCATATACATACAAAAAGGCAAATACAGTGACAAAATGGTTAGACTAAAGAAAGCATGTGACTGAGAGAAAAATGTATTAGTAGCATAGGTTAAAAAATAATTTTACTGGGGCGCCTGGGTGGCTTAGTCGGTTAAGCGTCCGACTTTCCGACTTTCGCTTAGGTCATGATCTCGCGGTTTGTGGGTTCGAGCCCCGCGTCGGGCTCTGTGCTGACTGCCAGCTCGGAGCGTGGAGGCTGTTTCAGTCTGTGACTCCCTCTCTCTCTGACCCTCCCCTGCTCACGCTGTCTCTCTTTCCTAGAAATAAATAAAACATTTAAAAAAAAATTTTTACTTTCCTTGGGGGAAGTGCCTTAATTTTTCTTTCCTTTGTGAGGACACTAAGCTAGAATGACATAAAGGTTCACTTCCGGGATGTATTTATTGTCCAGGACATTATTTATAGGTATGTGTCTGTGTATGTACATGAAATCTATTGTAGCATATAAAGGATATATGTTTAACCAAAAGGAAGAAAATAAGTGTACGTTTCTTATTTAGAAGTCAGTTCACAGTTGCATTATCAAATCTAATCACTGCTGGTTTGATATAAATTTTATTGCTTTGTTAGTGAATTGGCTTTTAGAAAATATTTTTATAGTTCTACAGGCAAAACAAATGTATGTCAATTTCTTAGGCAAGCAAGATTTCAGGGTTAGAATATATTCTTAAATGAATAATTTCTGAATCATTACTTAATTTATAAGGAATTTACGATTAGGACCTTCATTAATAACTATGCATTCATTAATAAATATATCACTGTTGTGCTTTGTTAAGGCACTGGCCTTATATATGTATATATACATATTACATATGCTATAAAGTACATAGCATACAAACTAAAGGCAAAAAGAAGAAACTAGCTTAAAACTAGAATCTGACTTGAAACAGTCTCTGCTCAAAATGTATTTTCCAAGTTAGTGATAAGTCCACTATGTAAAAACCTACAATTTTTAAAAATGTTTGTTTTTGAGAGAGAGAGAGAGAGAGAGAGAGCAAATGGGGGAGAGAAGGGTGGGGGGCAGAGGATCTGAAACAGGCTCTGCACATTCAGCAGAGCAGAGCCGTAAGACCTTGACCTGGACCAAATCAGACACTTAACCAACTGAGTCACTCATTTACAATTTAAATGAATTTCGGTACCATGCTTAAGAGATACACAAACTATTCACCAATTTAGAAGTCTGTTTTGGTCTGGTTTTCTTCTCTTCTAGGAACTGGTTTTTAGCAACGAGAACAAGGAACCCTACTCCCCAGGGCTAGAAAGCAGAAAAAAAACCCATAAGTGTTTGAGCACAAAGGGACAGTTTGGGTCTCAGGTAAGAATGGTCAGGGCCAATAACAACAGAGGAAAGGACAAAAGAAAAATATTAGTAGCAGCATCACATAAGAAAAACTGGAGTCAGCAAGGAAGTCGGTAACTCTAAATGAGTAGACATCTGTTAAGTCAGGGTGGTTTTACTATTGCCCCAACCCAAACAGGAATGAGTTTAAGAAACAACTTTATTTTACAAGTGAAAATTTGGAAAAGTAACACAAATGACAACACCAGCAACAAAAAGGAACAAGATACCTCTGGTCATTATGATGGGGTGTTTTCTTGATTAAAAAGTATGATGAAAAAGTACAGACTATTTGTTGGACCAATCAGTGGTTAGTTCTTAATTTGAAACTGAAATTTATATAATAAGATTTAGACTAAAAAAATCTTGAAGAAAAACTTTACATATTTACAATCCCAATGCAGTCTGGCCTGCCTGTGTGCACCACTTAGCAGGCCATAGGAAAAAATCTCTGGAGTCAGCCCACCGGATCATTAGCTATAGAGCCTCTGGCTAGACCTCAAGCTTTACAGGCATACTCCCCGTGGCTGGATATCTTTTCCTTGAAATGCTAGCATACGTTATTGTTATTCTATCATTACTTCCCTGCGGCTAGGAATTGCATCCTTTCCCCCAAATCTAGTAGCCTAATGAGAGATATGTTGAATAGACAGGGATGGGAGAGAGATGAAGACTTGCATTCCACAATGTTAGCAACCAACAATAGGACATTCTGAAAACAATTTCAGAAAAAGCAGAGAACCATGTTTAAAAAGTCAAGACTGATCACCCAACCTCTGTGGACCCTGGGGACCATAAATTAACTTTAACCCATAAACTTAATCAGTTGCCTTCACCCATAGACAGATTTTCAGCTGTGCCAAAACATATGCAGGCGCATCCCCTGCTCATACAAGCAACATTTAGCTGCATCTCTTCAAAATAACAAATATACACTTATATTTGAGAATGGTAATAATATGAAATTGTAAGATATAATTCATGTATTAAAACATACTTTTATATTATATAGCAATATACATTTGATGGATATTTTAGTTTATTATTCTACTCTTGGTTTTGTTCTTTATATATGCCTGGAAAGAAATTTTAAGCAAAGTTTTAAGTGGAAATATTTAAATGTTCCATTACTTGCTACTACTGGAAAACGCAGTCATTTGGTTATTATGGAAATATCTGCAAATAATTAAAACTCCTGAAATATACCATAGAAGATATAACATGATTCCTTCCTTCCCTCTTCCTTTATCCTGAGGGAAGAGCTAGTAAGCAGAAGCTTTAATTTCTAACAGGTTAGAAAAAGGAATCTTACACTTCTACTAAATTGAAAGTTCTGTCATTAAATGCCTATGTTTTTAAGTCACTCGGTTTCCTAAATACTTCAATGGAATCAGCAGTTATAGATCCAACCCCAACTCCAAGACTGGAACGTCGTAATGATAGTTCCAAGGCAGAAATCTGACGTAACTCTTTACGACACAGCTTTACAGACGTGACACCTTGAAGCTGTCCTGAATTTCCCACTGGCTGCATTTGGGATGAAGGTCGACTATGAGATTTTGTAAAATGATACTCATCAATTTTTTTATCTTCATTGTTTAACAAATGTCCACTAGTGGGTGCTAAAGAGCTACAGATTCGAGGTAATTCTGGGTCCTCTTCCCAGAGCTTCTGATTCAGTTGTGTTCTTAAACTGTTTGTTGAACTGTCTAATTCTCTTTCTCTTCCACTTAATTTCATATTTTCAGTTCTGGATGCCCATTTTAATTCTTCTGGAACTATGACTGCTTCTTCAGGGTTCAGTACTCCATCTCCAGCATCACGATCTTAAAAATAACGCAAAAAGCAAAAAAAAAAAAAAATTAGAGATTTCCTCAAAAACAGGTATTTTAATGGTATCGTAACATTATTATCACTCACTATAAATGATGTCTTTCAGATTTTTTAAGTGACTTTTTTAGACAAACAAGTGTGAATATGAATTATTATTTCACTTATCAATACTTTGCATGTGAATAACTGAGAACTTTTAATTCATGGAACGAAGTTGAAAAAGTCACCTACCGATTCAGTTTTTCCCTGGATTTGGACCTCTCTGGTGCCCTTCCACGCCTGCCCTCCACTGGGCTTACCACTGTGAATCACAGTCCAAACCTTTCCTAAGTGAAGCCAGCACTGGAGAATACTGGCTCTATGTCTAGGGAATCATTTAGGACATGGCACCATGTGTGTGAAAATCTAGTGTTGGTTAGAACTCCTGGCATGATGGCAGGGTTCTGCTCTCTCAGGGCATTCTGGGGGTCCACCATCAAAATGGAGATGATAGTGGGGGTACCCTGCTGGACTGACGGACTCAAGGAGTGAGTGATCAAAGCTAGAGGTCTTCAAATCATAGCATTATCTAATATCAAAGATAAAAATTTACTTAACAGAAGTCCATAGAGGCCCTAGTCCTAATATTATGAAAAATGCTAGCTCTAACATACAGTGGCATGTGATTGGTACACTTTTTGTCCTAGGAATACCAAATTTAAAAACAGAAATTGCACACTGGCAGCTCCCAAGCCAAATATGGCCCACAGATGTGTTTTACTTAGCCTATGAAACAAATGTGACCCCAACATTTTATTTTCATTATTTTTCTTTACTTTATTTTATTTATTTTATTTTTTGGTTTTGATCATTTTTTTTTCTTTTTAAGCCCTAAGTTGGAAAGTTTCATATAAAAATATAAATTTCTGGGGCACCTGGGTAGCTCAGTTGGTTGAGCGTCTGACTCTTGATTTTGGTTCAGGTCATGATCTCATGGTCATTATCCCACGTTGGGCTCTACACTGAGTGTGCAGCCTGCTTCGGAGCCTCTCTCTCCCTCTCTCTGCCCTTTCTCCACTTGCTTTCTCTCTCTCTCTCAAAGTAAATAAGTAAATTAAAAAAAAAAAGACTACTATCAAAAACCAATGAACTGAATACCAAGACACTATGTATTAAGGATACTGATTACTAAACGTATAATACTTTTTAGGGAATTCAGAATTTGATATATTTAAGTTGCTGTATTTATAATTCAAGCAAACCATGTTTAATGTCATTAATGGAGGGTAGTATTTTGAGATAGCATATATAATACAAGCTATACCTCAAATATGATTCCAACTGTAACTTTTTTAACATTTGTATGGGGACAATATTGAAAAGAATTATGCTAAATGTTAATGGTGGTGGGTAAAATTATTGATGCCTTTTTTTTGGCTTTTTTTTCCTATATTTTCCAATTTTTCTGCAATAACTATATTACTTTTTAGAGCCAAAAAACAAAAGTATGTAAGATCTTTCTAGGTGGGAGAGCAAGTTAGCTAAAATAATATCTTCAACATTACTAACAAGACTAGACTTTTTAGGTCATCTGGGTGTCTCAGACAATGGAGCATGTGACTCTTGATCTTGGGTTCGTGAGTTTGAGGCCTACAAGAATTTACTTAAAGTAAATTTACTTAAAAACGGATAAACAAATAAAAAAGACTAGACTTCCCAAGTAAGTTGGTCAGACAGGTGTCATCACTTTATATATTTTCAAGATTCTTTAACTTTTTTCAAAGTTTTTTGCATTTGTCTCACTGAGGAGCAGGACAAGAATCCAAGACCAGGATTAAACCTCTGTACCACCATACACCACACTGGCATTTTAAGAGATGTCTAGCTGACTCAGTAATATAAACATGGGACACTGAAACACTAAATACCTAATTTCAGATAGCTTGAGTTTGAAAGTGGATTTTTTTAAAGCTAAAATGGCCTTATCTGATTGTTCTGTTTACACTTAATACCTGTTTCCATTTTAATTTTTTATAAGTCATGTTCAAGTGAAAGGTTCAGCTATATAGTGCAGGCAGTATTTCAAGTAAATGTTTACATTATATCAGTACCTGTGCATTACTACATTGAAAATCAAAAACTATAGTGTCTGGCAGGATCGGCCCATGTGTATCACATTTCTATCTAAGACAACTTTTATTCTAGAATACTGAACGGGGAGTCGTAAGACAAAGGACCTTAGACCATGTTCTAATTACTGTTGTATTTGTAAGTTACTTGACCTAAGTTTCAATTCTCTTCTCTAAAAACGGGATTAGCAGACACTGGCCCGCCCTGAGTTTGAGGGTTAAATGAACTACTCACGAAAATGTCTATAAATATCATTAAGTATAAGGTAGCATTAGAACTACTTTTCTAAGATACTACTGTTTTAAACTTTAAAGTGATGTTAATTCTGCTTACATTATATATTCAGCATGTATCTTTTCAATATGCATACATATAATGTTTCATTGGTCTCTTTACAACCCTGTTGTAGCTGCCTTTAAGTGGTCTTCTTTATAGGTACAAAATAGGTCTATGTTCCTAAAAGGTTGTGAAATTAACTTTGTATGAGCCTTACTTACTAGAATACTTTCTCTAAAAGAAGGCTAATTCTTTTATGAAACATAAAATATATTATTTTAGAAACACTGCTTCTTTTCTAATTGGCAGACTTAAAGAGGGTCTATTTTAATCACGGCACTTTCTACTTTTGCAAGGTTTTGTATCATTTCATTTAGGAAGGTGCTATTTCTACATAACTACATACAATTAGGCAAGAAAGTATCTTTGTCTCAACAGTGAGTTTTAGTATATTTTTGAATTTCAAGAGGTCATAGTGAAAAAGACCTGACCGATCTTAGAAATAAACCTTTATTTTTATTATTCACTATTTATTTTACATTTTTTGTGATAATCAGAAGGCTTAATTTATGATAATATAGGAAACAACAGCTATCTTAGATTACAGGGTTACTTTAAGTAAGGAGATACAAAAGTCCATGGCACATGCTAGCCAATCAATATGTGACGTTTCCTGTACACATTTACATTTGTTTCTTGATTCACTTCCCCTGTGGTTCTGTATCATATGTAGACTAGATAATTAAAAAAAAAAATTAAAAAAATTTAATTCGGTATAGTTAACACACAATGTTGTATTATTTGTAAGTGCACAATATAGTGATTCAACAATTCTATATACTGCTATGGTAAGTGTACTCCTAATCTCCTTTACCTATGTTACCCATTCCCCACCAACCTCCCCCGTGGTGACAACCAGTTTGTTCTCTGTAGCTAAGAGTCTGGTTTTTTTGGTTTGTCTCTTTTTTCCAAACATTTGTTTTGTTTCTTAAATTCCACATATGAGTGAGATCATATGGTATTTGTCTTTTTCTGACTTTTTTCACTTAGCATTATATTCTCTAGATCCATCCATGTCCTTGCAAATGGCAAGATTCCATTCCATTCCTTTTTATGGCTGAGGAATATTACATGGTATGTGTGTATGGGTGTATATATATATAGTGTATGTGATACACATACACATACACACTTACCCCATGATATATATATGTATACTGGACACTTGGGTTGATTCCATAATATGGCTATTGTAAATAATGCTGCAATAAACATAAGGGTGCATATATCTTTCTCAATTAGTATCTTCAAACTTTTGGGTAAATACCCTGTAGTGTAATTACTGGATCATACAGTAATTCTATTTTTAATCTGAGGAAACTCCTAACTGTTGAGGAACTCCACAGTGGCTGCACCAGTCTGCATTCCCACCAAGAGTGCATGAGGGTTCCTTCTTCTCGGCATCCTCGCCAATACTTGCTGTTTCTTGTGTTGTTGATTTTAATATTACATATAGTTCCTGAAAGGTGTGAAGTGATACCACATTGTGGTTTTGATATGCATTTCCCTGATGATCAGGACTATATGACTTTTTCTGTTTATAGAGACCAATACAAATATCGAATTCTAAATAACCAAATCTACTGGGAAAGGCTAAAACTCCAAGTCAGTCACCAAATACTAGATACACCAAATACTGTTAGTGTGACAAGTAGGTAACACTAAAGGTCTTACGTTCAGATGGTACTAGTTGCTGCCGAACTGTTTCCCCTACCAATTCCTTAAGTTTCTTCTTAAGATCTCTGCTAGTTTTCTTATAGAAATAAAGATCTTTTTCCAGCTGCTGGATTTTATCTTCATATGTTTTTAAAGTTTCCATAATGCCTTCCCCATCTTGCTCTATGAAATAGAAATTTACATTTCAAGTCAGTTTAAAATAAATGGCTGAAAATTATATTCTAACATAGTCTCCAGACTATATTTAATGGGTCAGAAGTATGTTACCTGTATTTGTTACCTGAATGGATTTGTTATCAGCAACAACTTGGATTCTTCTAGCCTTAGTCACCTCTCCACCCTACCCTTACCAACTACCACATTTTCACAACTCATAACCACTTTTTGAGTAGCACTCACTAGATGTATTCTTAGAACAGCAGAAATAAGGTATTTTCCATTAAAAAAAAATCATGTTTGGAACCTGTCCATCAGTTGCATCAATATCTTATTTAAAGTTCCTATCAGGAACAGTGGATAGATGGAAAGTCACAGGCCCGAGAAATCTACAGCCAAGCCTCCATCCCTTAAAAAAAAAACCAAAAACCTGTCAAAAGAGGCTAGAAAGATTAAATGGCAAAGGCAAATATCCATACAAAAAGAGGGGAAATAGCATAAGTTGTAGTTTATGCTACAATAGAACTTAAAGCTTCTTATTAATATTTGTGAATATCTAATAAATTGTCCCTATTGGGTATGTTTTAGAACCAGTAAAACCTAGTTATTGACCTTCTGAAAGTAAGTACTTTCAGACCTACTCTTTCCTACTGGTAAATTTATAAAATGGTCCTACTGTTTGTAATGATCCTTTGTTTTAACTGGCTGTTTTGAAAAATTTGATCTAAGTATACTGGATATTTTTAATCAACCCATTATTTCTTAATTAGAAGTATTTTAGGGGCACCTGGGTGGCTCAGGTGGTTAAGCATCTGGCTCTTGACTTCAGCTCAGGTCATGATTTCACAGTTCAAGAGATAGAGCCTCTTGTCAGGCTCTGACTCTCTTTCCCTCTCTCTGCTCCTCCCCTGCTCACTGGCGTACTCTCTCTCTCTCAAAAGTAAATAAAAACTTTAAAAAAAAATACATTAAATCAAGGGCACCTGGCTAGCTCAGTGTAGTGTGCAACTCTTGATTTTGAGGTGGTGAGTTCAAGCCCCATATTCGATATAGAGATTAGTTAAAAAAAATCTTTAAAACAATCTTTTAGGGGCACCTGGGTGGCTCAGTCGGTTGGGCGTCCGACTTCGGCTCAGGTCATGATCTCAGGGTTCATGGGTTCGAGCCTAGCATTGGGCTCTGTGCTGACAGCTAACCCAGAGCCTGGAGCCTGCTTTGGATTCTGTATCTCCCTCTGTCTCTGCCCTCCCCTGCTCACGCTCTCTCTCAGAAATAAATAAAACATTAAAAAAATTTTTTTAACCTTTTATAAATACTTGAAATTAATAATACCATAAATAAGAATCCTCATAAAGAATACATATATGTTGCAGCATCTGGGTGGCTCAGCCAGTTAAGCATCCAACTCTTGATTTTGGCTCAGGTTGTGATCTCACAGTTCATGAGACTAAGCCCCACATCAGGCTGTGTGGTGACAGTGTGGAGCCTGCTTGGCATTCTCTCCCTCTCTCTCTGGCCCCTCCCCCATGTGTGTGTGCATTCTCTCTCTCTCTCTCTCAGAATAAATATTAAAGAGTATCATATATGTCAATTTTATACACCATATCCAGTTGAAATTAGAAAATTCATAAATTATTAACATTTTGTTATGAAAAACTTACCCCAGCTATAGAAATGAATGATTTTTAAAATGTTCTTAAATGTTCTTATTTGGCTGTAGTATGATGTTTTGTGCCTATCACTTGAAAAACACATTAAAAATTCTAATAAGGGGCGCCTGGGTGGCTCAGTCAGTTGAGCGTCTGACTCTTGATTTTGGCTCAGGTCATGATCCCAGGGTCATGGGATCAAGTCCTGCATTAGGCTCCTTGCTGAGGGTGGATCCTGCTTAGGATTCTCTCTCCCTCTGCCCCCTCCCCGACTCACATGTTCTCTCTGTCTCTCTCTAAAAACAAACAAAACAAAAAAGAACCCCAAAAATCTGTTAAAATATCACTTTATAGAGATTTAAGACAGAACTAAAGTAAGGTAAGGAGAACATGTTTGAAAGAAGTGATGTATAGATCCTGTCAAGGAAATCCTGGCATCAGACAACCGCTTGCTAATTAACTGGTTATAGAATTAACTAAGAGGCAAATTGCTTCAACACTCAAATTTATATATTTCCCAATTTTCTGCTGACTCAGGTTGTTTCTCCAATGTTTAACCCATTTCCAGCTATAGATTCACAAGAACCAAGTCTAAGCAGCTAAGCAGCCTGGATTGACGCATTACCAGTATTGCCAGGCAGCGCTTTTATTTCCATAGCAACTATGTACTGGCCAAATGTCCAGGTAACATGAAGACCAACTGCTGTGACCGCTCTTTCCACACCAGGGTTGATGGCTGAACTACTGTGCACTGATTAACAGTATGTGTCCATCGATGCTAGACTAATTTTTACCTAAGATATAATCTTAATGCATAAAATTTACAACTAACTGAAAATTATAACAAATATAACTAGAAATCTGACGGAACCTATCACTTTAATTTTCTGGAGGGAAAATAATTTAAATATCAAGTTACTACATCCTTGGGAGATAGAAACTTTTCAACTGTGCACCACAAAGCTAGAAATCATCCCAAATTTGTACATAAAAAATAGACCAACAACAGGGCACCCCGATGGCTCAGTAGGTTAAGTGTCCGACTCTTGATTTGGCTTAGGTTATGATCTCAGGGTTCATGAGATCTAACCCTGCATCAGGATCTGTGCTGATAGTGTGGAGCCTGCTTGGAATTCTCCCTTCCTGTCTCTCTCTGCCCCTCCCCCACTCATGCTCACTCTCTCTCAAGATAAATAAATAAACTTAAAAAAAAAATAGCCCAACAACAAACTGAGGGGAGTTCTTATGTGTAGCACTGGGGACAGTCAGAGGGATGGCATTTCAAGCATGAATAGCCCTACATCAAAGTCAACTATCCCCATGTGTGGTAAACACGTAAAGCACAAAAACAAGTATAAGTAGTAACTATTTACTCATGTTGGGCTTTTCACTGATCAAATTCCATCCCATCTTCCTTTCCTAGCCCCTCTGACACATCATCTTTCCACAACTGACCAGAGGGGACAGGTACCTTTAAAATGATGTAACAGCAGTTGGAGTTTTTGCTCATGTTCCTTTTGCTGGACAGTCAGTCTCCGGTCACACTGCAATTTCAGATGTTCCAGTGCAGATTCCAACTCACGAACCAGATTATCCTGTTCCAGAACCTTCATTTTAATTTCTTCATTCTGTAACTGCAGTTTCCGTTCAGTTTCTCGCAAACTGACCACCTAGCAAAGACATTTTTTTTTTGACCTTTTAAATTTGTCTTAAATAGCCTAATATAATAAGCTACTTCTCAGGCTACCTAAAGAACTCCCTTAATCCCCATGGAATAACTAAGCGAATGTTTTATAACATACCCACAAAATAACCTCATAGCCTTTTGAGCTTGTTAAGATTCTGAATTGGTTACAAGCTTCATTTTAAATATAATGTGGCTTGATCACCCCCTCCATCATCTCTCAGATGAGGTCTCTGCAGTTTACATTTACAATCCTATAACTATTTCTCTAGTCTAAGAAGGTAACAGGAACCTAAAGACTCTTGTAACATCTAGGTAACGCCCAGTTTTAACTCCAAAATGGATGTTTAATATAAGTAACAGACTTCTTAAAAACTGTAAATACAGAGTTCAGTCTCAAGACTGTGCATTTAGACCAATGGGTTCTTCTCTGCACTGCTATGAAGTGACAATACTTCAATGTATGTGACAGAACTTGCTAATGTAATGACCTTCTCTCTAGAAAGAAATACTCAGGTTCCCAGGGACAGAAAACCCACTGACCTTGGCCTGGGTGCTCTGGGTTAAGAACCCATGCTCTAAAAGTATCACAAAAGAGCTCTCTATATCAGAGCCTCAGACAGCACCGCACCATTTTTCTGCCCTTCAGACATGCAGTGATAAGGAGGCACTCTGATCAATGACAGTAGCTTACTGGGGCACCTGGGTGGCTCAGTCGGCTGAAGGTCCGACTTCGGCTCAGGTCATGATCTCACGGTTTGTGGGTTCGAGCCCCGTGTTGGGCTTTGTGCTGACAGCGCAGAGCCTGCCTAGGATTCAATGTCTCCCTCTCTGCCCCTCCTCCATGCTCACTCTCTCTCTCTCAAAAATAAAACAAAAAATTTTTAAAAAATGATAGTAGTTTACTACTGACAGTCATTATCCAAAGGAGGGCTGGGTATAACATTTCCATTAATGTTTTCATCTTTATTTCACTTGTCTAACAGAACTAGAACTTTATTTTAAAACTCCAGTGTTTTATTTTTCGCTCATTGTCTGATATTCCCTTAAACTGAATATACCTTTCAGAGAAAAGAGTTGTCTGCTTAACACTTCATCATCTATACCTGAAGAGAAGGTATGATTCAGGTTAATGCTAAAATCTACTATTATTATCTTCATTTCAGTTCACAGGTATGATGATAACGTACAGTATCCCCCACCCTACAGCAACCAAAGGAAGGGAACCCAAAATTGGAGGGCCCTTGATTTTTCACGAATGCTGAGTAGCAATAAGCAAATCTAGAAAATATCCAGGAAATAGAAACTGAGGAAGAGAACTTGAATTCTTTGGTTTTTAAAACTATTTCAAAAAGCCCTTCTTTCAAAAGGCCCTTCCAACTTTAAGAACCTCTGAAGTTAGGCCTACATATGTGGACATGCACTAAGCTTTCAGATAATTACACTCGGTACTGGGAACAGAAATCATGCTTAAATGTGTAGTTATACCATCAGATTTTTTAGGCCTTTCAATTTCTTAAATGTGAGACATATAAGCAGCCTGACCCCCTTTATAAGAAAAGCCTCTGTCCGTCAGGAACAAACCTTATTGAAATATCTGAAAAGAATAGCTCTAATCTCAACAGGACTCAGGCAAATTAGTTTTTCCAAGACATTTGCTTCACTATGAGAGAGGTTTCTGAATGAAGCTCTGAGCAAGTTCTGGCGACTCCGGATACTTTCATTCTTGTATTCAATTGCCGCTTCCAAAGCTTCAATCCCTTCTTCAAGTTGGAAAAGAACATGTTCTTCCTAGATATAATAGAAATCACCCATTTTAAATGAAATACTACAACTTGGACTTGGTCATACACTGAGATCTCACTATGCTATCAGAGTCTAAGAAACATTACCATTCGTCTACTAAATTTTAATAATGTTTTTTTAGCGCCTGCAATGCTACACAGTACACTATGTGTATACACACATATATAAAACATACAGTCACTGAATCCTTGCAATAAACTTTGTGTAGTAAAATGGAAGAGGCAAAATCTAGCTGAGTTATGAAACGTCCCAAGGTCACACGGCAAATGCTGATAACCAGGGAATACACTTGAACAAAGCCTCAGCCTCCAGGACTGGCACTATTGCCATGTGTCTCCCTCCACAGCTCCTAAAGTGTACATCATGTGTCAGAGAGATCTGAAGATTCCCTGGTATCCCTTCAAGGATCTATCAAAATAATAGACTTCCAGGAGAGAAAGATGAAATAGATTTAGAATAAATTCTTAAGGACTTGTCATCAGAAGAGAGTCTCTTAGGGAAAAAAAGAAAAGAGTATGGATTAAAAAAAGTAGTGAGGAGGGGCGCCCGGGTGGCGTAGTTGGTTAAGCGTCCAACTTTCGCTCGGGTCATGATCTCGTGGTTCGTGGGTTCGAGCCCCGCGTCGGGCTCTGTGCTGACTGCCAGCTCAGAGCCTGGAGCCTGTTTCAGTCTGTGACTCCCTCTCTCTCTAACCCTCCCCTGCTCACGCTGTCTCTCTCTCTCTCTCCTAGAAATAAATAAAAGATTTAAAAAAAAAAAAAAAAGTAGTGAGGAAAAAAAAAAGTAGTGAGGATTTAAGGACATGAAACATTTCATAAAATTCCTATGAGATGTCACTATGGGGCAAACAAAGGCATTAAACATGGCGGCGGTACGTTTTTTCATATGCTACAGAAGATTTCCTTCGTAGGGGAAAAAACCCACAACAAACCTGGTGAATCTCTGTCAATTCTTTGGACGTTTCAAGCACATCATATTTGGAGTGTCCAAATTTCTGGTAAGAAATTATTCCGGACTTGGTGAGACTTGGATAAGATATTTCTGTATACGTGTATGTGTGGTGGAGGTTACCATAACTTTGAGTTCCTTGAAGGCAGACCATCTTGGCCATACTCAAGTCCATATTGCCTAGCCCAGTACCTTTCATATAGTTTAAACTATATGAGCACAGCCTACTTTGGAGTGACACTAAAAAGAACACTGAGGAAGAAGGCTGCCTGGAAGCCCACCTGGCTGATGGAACCCCACTAATTGTAGGAGGCTCATCATTCCCTCAAACCGATCCAGACGGGCCGCTACACAGGTATTATGCATTGTGCTGTTTTTCCTACAAAACCCTAATGTTTTTTAGTTATAGAATTCTACATGAAAGTTGCTCATTCCCTTCTCCATGCCTTATTTATGGTGTTCTATCTACAACGGCCTTCTCTCTTGTATCTGTCAATATCATGGTTTTCCTAATTCAGCTCAAGTTTCTAATTCACCAAAGTTGCCTTGATGAATCTTCCCCCCACCCCCAGATGATCACTGCATTGCTTTGTTTAAACAATATACTAAGTATACTTTTATTACATTATCATAACTTGCTTCTTTTAATGTTCTTGAGGGTTTAGAGTTTTCTTAGATTTTTCTCTTTTCCATAGAAAAGAGTATGAATTTCTCAAAAAAGCATAATGCTTTTTACTGTTTTGATTTCTTCCATAGGGCCCGGTAATGGTCTTGGGCCGGCAAGAATTCCTTAAATACTAATATTATATTTTGCAGTATAGACCTTAGACCTTCATACCTTTAGATCTACAAGGCCAAGCTCCAATTTAACAGCCCCAGGACAGTCTGATTCTGTGATCCTTTCAGCTACTCGTGTTATGAAACTGGGCAGTGAAGTTTATAATGCCATGTAGCCCCCAATCAACTTAGCCTTCAATACCTTTCATCCATGCAGTGAACAACAATTTCATTTATGAAATCCTTGCTCCCGTTCCTTCTTAACCAGCCCCCTTAACTTCCATCTTCCATTTGCTCCAATCTAAAACCGTACAAGATCCGACAAGATGTGTGATTCCCAGATACTCACTTTCTCTTAGCAATTTTCTCTTGCTTTGGTCATGACAGGACAGCAACAACAAATATTTGCAGAGAGGGGCGTGTGGGGAGCTCAGCTGGTTAAGCGTCCGACTCTTGATCTTGGCTCAGGTCATGATCTCACAGTTCGTGAGTTTGAGTCCCACGTCACATCTGGCTCTGTGCTGACAATGCAGAGCCTGCTTGGGATTCTGTCTCTCCCTCTCTGTGCCCCTCCCCTGCTTGTTCGCTCTCTCTCCTCTCAAAATAAATCAATAAACAAATAATATTTGTAGAGAAAATTTAGGCTCAAGAATTCATACTTGTCTGATAAAGTTAAGGGATAAGTATCATTCCTAACTGATGTAAACTTTTGAAAAAAGACAAAGTCTGGGGCAATTGTAACAGCCAATAAATGTACTATCTTTTACACTGTTAAAAAAAAAAAAAAAAAAGGTGAAAGGAGCCATAAGCTCCCCTAATGAAAACTGCAACTCAAAGGTATTTTTATTGGGATTTGAGTTCTTTCCATCTACTTGGCTGGACTATGTTCCTGCAGGTTGGGCCTTTTTGAAGGAATTAACCCTTAATGTCCAGTCATCCATGTATGTAATGAATTACCTCATATCATTCAGGAAAGATTCAGAGACAGGACGTAGGTGCTCTCTTTGGAAGAACAAAGGAAAAAAGTTCCTCAAACCATCTGTGTTCTGTGATGTCAGATGAGAAGCCTCAGCTGAGAAAGGCCCTACTCAAGGAAAGTGTTAGTTTCCCAGTCCCTGGCAATGCTGGTAGAGGGCCATTTTCACGGACCCCTGTGTGAGAATATCATGGTCTCTGGTCAAGCATGGCTGATGGCGCCTAACGGGTGCCAGCTAAACTCATGACATCTGACAAAATCTCAAGGAAACAAAGTTTACCAGATTTATAATTTTTAGGTGTCATTAACAAAGATGGAGGAAGTCATCCAAGTGACCCATCATAGAGCACTTCCAGTTCTAAAGAGTACTGACTTACTTCAGGTGACAACACACTACCATTTTTAAGTTTCTCGTCCACACTGTCTCTTCGTCTCTGTAGCTGATCCTTTTCTTTCTGGAGGGCCTGAACTTGCTCGGAAATCTTTATTTTCTCCTCAGCCGTGCTGTGTTGAAGCTCTACATTCTTTTCAGACAACTCTTGGTCCAACAAGCTCAGGCGAGTTGATATTTTCAAACTATCTGTGCTTAAGACCTAAAAAGACACAATCAACCAAACACCCCAAAAACAGTTACTAGAAACCCAAACTGCATATAAATTAGAAAAAACAGAAAAAAAGTTACTAACTGAATATATTTTTAGCTTCCACATTATTATTTTCTCTTATGGAGTTTTTTTTTTGGGGGGGGTCATTTTTTAAAAATCTTAAGTTGAATGTGTTTTTTGTTTTTGTTTTTTTTTAAATGGAGATTCCAATGATGAATTTATTGCCAAGTATTGCTTGGCTATATCAGACTATAAAATATTGGTTTTAAGAAGTAGTAATTTTCTTTTTTATTATTTTCTAAATTATCCTTGGCCTGTTACATAGTTATATGGCCTGTAACTATATTATGAGTTCCTTAAAGGTTGAGATTCAGTTTATTGTTGTTTAAACATGTAATTTATTTCTACTCTTATTTCATTCTGGTCAGAAAATATGGCTAATGAGAGTAATGGAGAGCTTCATTATGGACTAACTTAAAAGAATTTTTTTTAAGAAAAAAAATTTTTTTAAATATTTATTTATTTTTGAGAGTGGGGGAGGTGGAGAGAAGGTAGGGGGAGGACAGAGGATCCAAAGCAGACTCTGTGCTGACCACAGACAGCCTGATATGGGGCTTGATCTCATGAACCGGGAGATCATGACCCAAGCCAAAGTCGGACGCTCAACCGACTGAGCCACCGGGGCGCCTGGGTGGCTCGTTTGGTTAAGTATCCAGCTCTTGATTTTGGCTCAGGTCATGATCTAACAGTTGGTGAGACTGAGCCCCATATCGGGCTCTATGCTGGCAGTGTGGAGCCTGCTTGGGATTCGCTCTGCCTTCTTCTCTCTCACCCCTCCCTGGCTCGTGCTTGCTCTTTCTCTCTCAAAATAAACAAACATTTAAAGAAATTCTTAAAATAGTTTTTCATCTAAGTAATTATATGTATATATACCACAGGATTATAAGTTTTTAAAAAAAGCAGTCTCCCTACCCCACCCAGAAACAACCATCTTCAACCTTTCTAGCTATTTCTGCTTGTGTTAATGTCCATGTTTTTAAATAACATTACGCATTTCAGATACTGCCCACGGATGGACTATTATGGAAGATAAGCACTTGGCACTATTATGCCTCCTCTACTTCCCTTCCCTCTAGCCTCCCAATATAAGGTATATTACAGTTTTGTTAAAACAATATTCAGTTCACATGGCTTTGTGAATATTATTCACAGCTCAAATGTCTCAAATAAAATGATCATTTTTTTCCCAGAGGACACAAGTAGGTACTTTTTACTAATTCTTCTGATAAAACTATACATTTCCTCTCAATACTGGTTTTTTCACTTGACCGAAACTTAAACCCAGTCATCGTTTTGTTCTATTCTTTTCTGGAAACATTTTGCCTGAAGTCTCCATCCTCCTGCTCCAAACTGGACTAGTTGTTCTGGAACTTCATTTTGGTGTTATCCCTGGAATTTCCACGTTGGATCACACTTTCAGGACCCCAAGTCTTCCTTTTTTCATAGGTGATGCCCTCATTTTTGTGGAGCGCATCCTCTAGTAGTTTCCTGAGACAGATGAGGTCAGAGATCATTTTTTCATGTGAAAATGCCCGTATTCTGCCTTCATATTTGATTCAGAGTTAGGCTCAAAAAAGAAGTCTTAATTGGAAATAATTTCCCTTATGAGTTGGAAGTTTGCTGCAGGTCTTTTAGTTTCTACTCAAGTAAGTTGGGAAGTCCAATATCATTGTGATCATTGAGATTTACAGCTGACTTCTGTCTTTTTCTAAAAGTGTTTTTTAATAGTTTATTTATTTTTGAGACAGAGAGAGACAGAGCACGAGTGGGGAAGGGACAGAGAGAGAGGGAGACACAGAATCTGAAACAGGCTCCAGGCTCTGAGCTGTCAGCACAGAACCCGACGCAGGACTCAAACCCAGGAACTGCGAGATCATATTCTGAGCCAAAGTCACACTTAACCAACTACAAGTGACTTGTGTCTTCTATCTGGTAGCTTTCTTCTACCTGGATCTTTTTCTCCCCTCAGTGTGCATAAAACTTCACAATGATAAGCTTTTGGCACTCATTTTGCTGGGCCCTTGATAACCTATTTCTATCTAGTCTCATGTCTTCAGTGTTGGGAATTTTTTTTTGTATTGTCTTTAATAATCCTCTCTTCTGTTTTCTCTGTTAAAGCTTTCTGAAATTCCATTTCTAAGACATTGGACTTCTGGATTTATCTGCCAATTAAATTTTTTTTGTCTTATTTTAATTTATCTTTTCATTTACTTTCTGGGATAGTTTCTCAAAGTTATCCTCCAACACTTTAAATTTCCAGCAGTTCTTGGGGTGGTTCAGTCAGTTGAGCATCTGACTCTTGATTTCGGCCCAGGTCATGGGATTGAGCCCTGTGCTGGGCTTCATGCTAGTGTGAAGTGTGCTTAAGATCTCTCTGTCTCCCTCTCTGCCCCTCTCCCCCTCTTGCATGCTCTCTCTAGAATATAAAAAACATTTTGAAAAAATTAAAAATGTTTAAATTTCCAGCAGTTCTCATTTTATGGATAGAGTATATAATCTTTCACCACCTTGAGAATATTAAAGATTTTGGGGAAGTTTTTTCAGCTCCTTCCTCTATATCTGATGTCTCTGAGCTTTTTATCTTTTGATCTCTTTCATGTTAGTAGCATTCCTGACATGGACGTCACATTTAAGAGTCAGGAATGAAAATGCTGATAAGCTCTGTGGTAGGTACACTTTGTCACCATAGGATGTATCTGGGGTCTGGCCACTTAGTTGGGGGCGCCCAATCCTGCTTGGAAGTATAAACCTGGCTGCCAACATTTTGGGATCCAAGTAGGGGTTAGGAAATGCCTCACTTCTGCCTTCTGAAAATCTTAGTCCCTTCACTTCAGAGTCTTTTTGTATTCTATGTGAATTCTATCTCATAAAGGTATTATTAAAAAAAACCAAACCACCAGACAAACAAAAAAACCTAGGGGCGCCTAGTGGCTTAGTTGGTTAAATGTCTGACTTTGGCTCAGGTTATGATCTCACAGTTGGTGGGTTCGAGCCCTACATCAGGCTCTGTGCTGACAGCTCAGAGCCTGGAACCTCCTTCAGATTCTGTGTCTCCCTCTCTCTCTGCCCCTCCTCTGCTCATGCTCTGTCTCTCAAAAAAAAAAAAAAAAAGCTAATGCTACAGCTCTGAATCATGTCCCGCTTAAGCTCTCAAGGCATTTGGATTTCAGCCTCTTCTGCTAAGTCAGTAACTACTTATCTATACCTTCCCGTCTTACATATTTTGGTAATCTTTTATCTCTATCTTTTTTTTCCCCTTTATGGGCTTTTAGCTTTTATTGAGTAATAGCTTGAGATCTAATTCACATACCAAACAATTTACCTATTTATTTACTTTTAAAGATTTTAAGTAATCTCTATACCCAATATGGGGCTTGAACTCCCAATCCTGAGACCAAGAGTTGCACACTCCACAGACTGAGCCAACCAGGTGGTCCTCAGTCACCTATTTAAAGTGTATAATTCAATGGTTTTTTGTATATTCACAGAGTTGTGCACCCATAACAACTATCAACTTTAGAACGTTTTTATTGTCCTCAAAAATAAAGCCCCATGTCCCCTAGCAGTCATTCCATTCCCCACCCCCACTCAGCCCTAAGTAACCATTATTCTACTTTCTGTTTCTACAGAATTGTCTCATCTGCACGTTGATATAAATTACATGTACATACAATATGTGTCTTTCATGGCCAGTTTCTTTCCCTTAACACAACGTGTTTGGGGTTCATCCATGTGGTAGCATGTATCAGAACTTCATTCCTTTCTAAGGCTGAGTCACACTCCCTAGTATGAATATACCACTTTCCGTTTGCCCCATTCATCAGCTGATGGGACATTTGAGTGTTTTTCATTTTGAAGCTGTTCTGAATAATGCTGTTATTACGCATATTCATGTACAAGCTTTTGTGCAGATACGTGCTTTCGCTTCTCTTGGATATATACCTAGGAGTGGCATTGCTGGGTGATGTAGTAATGCCATGATTAGCCTTTTGAGGAACTGCAAGATAGTTATCCATGGCAATCGTACCTTTTTACAATCCCACAAGCAGTGTATGAAAATTCCAATTCCTTCATACAGTCACCAACACTTATTATCTATTTTTCTGACCACAGCCATCCCTGTAAGTATGAAGCAGTATCTCATCTATGTTTTGATTAGCATATCCCTGGTGGCTAATGAGGTCTCATATGTTTATTGGCCAATCTTCCTTGAGAAATGCAGATCCTTCCTTGAGGATCTAGTTGCCCATTTTTAATTGAGTTGTCTTTTGAGTACTGAGTTAAGACTTCTTTATATATTCTAGAGACAAGTCCTTTATCAAGTATATAATTTGCAAACATTTCCCCTCATTCTCTGGGTTGTCTTTTCAACACCAACTTTCTTGATGGTGTCCTTTGCATAACAAATGTTTTTAAATTTTGATGAAGTCCAATTTATCTAATGTTTCTTTTATTGCTTATGCTTTAGGTATAATATCAAAGAAACTATTGCTTAACCCAAGGTTACAAAGATTCACACCTTTGTTTTCTTCTAAGGGTTTTATAGTTTTACCTCCTACATTTAGGACTTTGACTTATTTTGAGTTGAAATCGTATATGGTATGAAAATAGTTTTTTTATATTACAGTCCATGTCCAAAATACATAGGATTGAGCCTTATAAACACTTCTTAAACACTGAAAAAGGACATAATCTATTCACACCTTTTGTTCGGAAAAGAACCAAGCAGTGTAATACTTCAAGTTTCTCTTCTGTTTCATTAAAACAATCTTCATAGAATCAATTTTGCTTTGCTCTGCTGTGAGTTTCATTTATTTGTACTCTCTACTTATCTCAGTATGGTCTTGCTTCCTAAATTTTACTCTTGTTCAAAGTAGAAAACTTCAATTTTTACCCCCTGTATCATGAAACAAACTTATTTTAGGAAAAAGATTTTCCTCCTCATTCCTTTTTATTTTTTCTTTTTTATTCTTTTGTGATACGGAACATATAGTAAAGGTCCTAGTTTATCTTTTCTATTTACTCACTTGATATTTAAATGTGTTCCTCTCCTCTGCTGTCATTTACATGTTTTGAGGGGTAGCTTTTCAAACTCAGCCCTGACAGGGGCACCTGGCTGGTTCCTCTGAAGGAGTATGTGACCCTTGATCCCAGACTGGTGAGTTTGAGCCCCATGTCAGGTATAGAGATTACTTAAAAATACTACTGAACTTAAAAAGTTAATAAAAATAAAAATAAAACTTGGCCCTGACAGGCAGCGTGAGCAAGCTACCTGGATATAGCACCAGCAACTAGGCTGGTTGCGGGCGCTGCCCCCATCCCTGGGTCCCACAGCCTGATGCCAATAGCTATTCAACATGATTGGGGAAAGGAAAAGAGAGCTGAGGTAAGTTCAGGTCTCCATGCTTATCTGCCTATTATATTGAAGTGGAGAGGTTAAGAACACACGACCATCATCTCAGATCTTAAAGGTCTAGATGCTGACTGAAAGGAAGGTGTAATAAAGAGGCAGGTCATTGATCCACTCTGTTCAATTGCTCAATGTACAGACTATCCTCAACCTGCTGGGTAGAAAGTCCTCTTCAAGTCTGGGGCAAGCCAGCTTCATTTCAGATGCTGTTACTGCTATGGTAGAAACCATAGCTACATCCAAAAAACTCATCTCCTGGTTCTTCTATTCCCTCCAAAATCTTTTTTTTTTTTCTTCAAAACTTGAAACTGAGGCAAACTCCTTCATAAAAATCACTTCTTTGGCTCATGAAACCTGCGTTCTCCAGCAAAAGTTCTTGTAAAGGTCCCCAAGTCATTATAATTTGAAAACTGAACAAATATTCATTACATAAAATCTCTCTTTTACAGCAACCCTGCAAACCCCTAACTTTGGGTAGTGGAATAGTTAGATCATTTTTAAGTCCATGTTCCCAAATTACCAGTGTTCTCTATACAGCATCAAATGGTACGATTTATTTCTTAAATATCTGCTAAAGTTATTAATAAAGGTTGCAGGGGGAAATGAAGAGTTAGTGCTTAACAGTTACAGACTTCGTGTTTGGAGTAATAAAACATTTGGAAATAGGGTGATGGCTGTATAGCACTGTGAATGTAAAACCACCGAATCACACACTTAAAAATGGGGAGAATGGCAAATTTTAGGTTATGTCTAATTTACCCTAATTTTTCAAATACCCAAAAATGTTAATAATATATTTGGCAGAACACTGAACATTTGACTTCAAAACTGCAATAGATTTTAGTAGTGGTCGTTTAATAAGCAGTAATATGCAAAATACATTGAAAACCAGAACAGTTTTCTTTTAGTTTCGAATTTCATAGTAGTATGCTTTACTTCTTAGGGAGAAAAGTAATCCTGGTTTATACAGCTTACAACCAGAGCCAAAAGCATAACAAATAGCATACCTGACTAGATCTCAACTTCTTATTTTCCAGGTGGCTCTTCTCCTGTAACAGGGCCTCCTTCTTACACACTATGGCCTCTCGTTTTTTTAAATCTTCTTCCAGCTCCTCCAATTCTTGGCGTTGGCTCAGGACTTTTTCTACTTCTTCATCTAACCATTTCTTTTGCTCATCCATTTTCTACATTAAAATTTCAAAGAAATGTTACATCATTTGTTTTTCTTCTGCCATAGGACGTCTATGGTATGATATCATTTCAGACCGGCTAAAATACCTTAAATGAACATTTCGAAACGAATGGTGAGAATAATAAAACAGTGTTGTCTAAAATCATCAGGAAGTGGTGCCATTTAACATCTTGCTGTGTTTTGTGGGAAATTAAGATGTATTCTCCAAACATGTTTGAGAGCGGGATTTTCTAGGCTGACAAAGGGCTGACAATTTTCCATACGTATATTAAGAGTTAATTCTGAGAACAGGCTGGGGGTCTTTTTCTCTGTCGTGGAGGAGCACACCCCCATCACAGCACTGACACTGCCGGTTGCTCTACAGTCAGTCTTTCCCCGACCTGAGCTCCACGAGTGACTACCTCTCTATCCCCAATGCCTGGTCTACTTCCTGGCCCACGACTGGCCTTCAATAAAATGCTATATGAGTGACTGACTGAATGCCTGATTAAATTAATTAATCAAAGAAGTAAGTAAATGAAAACACAGAGTAGAAGACACATATAATACAGCATGGAAATCCATTCTGCACTGTAGCCTGTCAACATCAATTATAAGATACAGTGAGCTGGAAAGATTGCCAAAACAAGCATCTGAGTATTCTCTCAAATTGAGAATACCCAAAAAGAAAAAAGTATGAATGGAATACAACTGTCCAAGATGAGCTCTACCAAGCACCCATCTGCACTGCAGACAGGGTAATGAAGCAATGCCAGATAAACAACAACTAACAGGAAAACAAATCAATACGGTACTATTCTCCAGTTCTTCTCCAACTTGATAAAAATAGTGCTTAGAAAACTATATTAAAAAATGAGATGGGGTGTGTGGGTGGCTCGTCGGTTAAGCATCTAATTCTTGATTTTGACTCGTCATGATCTCACAGTTTGTGAGACTGAGCCCTGCATCAGGCTCTGTGCTGACAGCACAAGCCTGCTTGGGGTTCTCTCTCTCCCTCTCTGCCCCTCCCCCACTTGTGCTCTCTCTAAAAATAAATATTTTTTAAAAACCCAATGAGACAGTGAATATGCATGAGGAAAAGAGACTGAAGTGGCCAAAGGAAAGTAGACCCAGTGCTATGCAGTCCTGCACCCACACCTAGATAGCATGGCCCTATAAGCACTATTACATCCAAATAATATTGAAGAAACAGGAAGGATATCCCAGAACAACTACAGAGACACTTCAGTTTTGTTATATCCAGCTCTACCTTAGAAACTCCATATAGGAGAAACTACAAAGTCTAGCAATTAGCTAAAACATATTCCAGGGTGCCTGGGTGGCTCAGTCGGTTGAGCGTCCGACTTAGGCTCAGGTCATGATCTCACAGTTTGTGTGTTCAAGCCCCGCGTTGGGCTCTGTGCTGGCAGCTCAGAGCCTAGAGCCTGCTTCCGATTCTATGTGTCCCTCTCTCTCTCCTTCCCCTGCTCATGATCTGTCTCTGTTTCTCAAAAATAAATAAATGTTAAAATAAAAAATAAAACATATTCCATAAACATTCCTTGACTTGGAGTGGGGTTTGAAAAATTAATAACAGATCTTTTGTAAGGTCCATTCCAATAGGAGGAAAACCTGAAAAGCTACGATTATTGATAATAAATGCTGTATACAGCTAACTCTAGGTACCATGTCAGCAAAAATGGAGGGAGGGATTGGATTGGCTCTGTCCGGGAAATGGTAGAAATGTCAGTGCTGGCCTCACAGAGTAAGAAATATTTTAGTAGTGCTTTGAAGAATCGGTAGGAGTTCGCATAACACAGGTTTTTTAGGGCAATAATAAATAAGTGGATTTTTCTGCATTTGATATAATAAAGGCTAGGATTTGTACAATTCACTGTATCTTACTAAGTTTTCTGAAAATTTCTTGATATGTCTTTTCTCCTTTTATAGCAAAGGTTCCTATGACACAGCCCCAATTTTAAATACTTTCTTATAAAGGAGCTTTAGAACAAATCAATATCCTATTCTTAGCTCTTTGGAAACCCATATTGATTACCTTGTAATCTTGTTCTTCTTTAGAGTCAAATTCTGGAAAGTGGGTTTTCTTTTGCAGTGTTAAAAAACATGTTTTGTTTTTGTTTTTTTAATATTTTAAGTATTTTTAACCCATAGCAAGCTGTGGGAATCTTTTTATTATTGTATTCATTTAAAATTTAGATTCTTTGTGTTTTGAAAAACGGGTCCCACTACACTGGACATCCCGCACTCTCCTACTCTCCAACAAACTCTTTCTGCTCAGAATTATTATTACCAAGCAGCACAGAGTGTCAGAGTAATAGCACTTTAACCAATGTCTAAAACACATGAGGCAAAATAAATAACTGGGAATACTTCATGTCCTCAATTTTACTGTTAAAATATATAAAATTTCAGAAAGAGCAAATAAATTTTTCAGAATTAAGGTGATGTAATTAGTACTTGAGTATAGTTTTAAGTGCAGTATTTTTAAGAATTTTAGAATTGCCATTTTGAATTTACATAAAGTTAAAATTTTGTTTCTTTGAACTTTGAGTTAAAGATAACACTTTTTAAATGTGGCACTAAAATGGAATACTTGAGTGGCTCAGTTGGTTGAGTGTCTGACTCTTAGTTTTGGCTCACGTCGTGATTTCATGGCTTGTGAATTCAAGCCCTACATGGGGACTCTTGGCTAATAGCATGGAGTCTGCTTGTGATTCCCTATCTCCCTCCCTCTCTCTGCCTCTTTCCCTCTCTCTCTCTCTCTCAAAAATATATAAACATTTTAAAAATTAATGTGGCACTAAACCAGTAATTTTTTACTACATCATATATGGTACATATACAATTCAGTTATATTTGAATGGAGGGCTCTGATTTTTAGAAATATATTGTTTCCATGGAAATAAATACAATCCAGTGAACATGGATTTCATGTTTACATTCTACACCACTCAAATAAATGCATTCTACAGAAATAAGAATACAAGCACATTTTTGGATGAGAGTAACTTTTTTTGAAATGTTTATTTTATTTTTGAGAGATTCAAGTGGGAGAGGGGCAGAGAGACAGAAGGGAGAGAGAGCAAATCCCAAGCAGGCTCCGTGCTGACAGCAGTGAGTCTGACACAGGCTCAAACTCACGAACTGTGAAATCATGACCTGAGCCAAAGTCAGATGTTCAGGTGCCACGAGAGTAATTTTTTAATAACAGAAAAGCTTTGGGAGAAACATTAGAAAATTTGTAGTCAAGTGGCAAAGTCTAGTGTTTGAAGATTTTATTCAGAGTCCACCACTTTTTACCTCTATTTAAATAATCATCAAAGCAAAGAGAACACAGGAAACACTAAATAGAATCGACAAACCTGGAACTGGTCTATACTTCCAAACGAACCTTTTCTCGTTTTCATCGTAAATGCATCAAGGTCCTCTGTTTTCAGCGTCACAGCTTCTTCCTGTTCGGTTTTTGACTTTAGTTCCTGTGGAGAACAGAAATTAAAAACACCTTACTGCTTTTACTACCTGGCCATCATTAAATATTTATGCAGATAGTCATTTCCTTCACATTTACTTTCTTCACTGCAAAAAGAAAGAAAATGAGTAGAGGAAGGTTGGGGCTATTTGAGAAGAAAAAAATGTTAGCCCCTCAATGAAGCAACAAAATCTCACAGCAAATCAAGGTTTACTAACAACACTTGTTTTTTTTTTTTTAATCGTTTGCCAGTGTTATAAATCAGCACAAACAGGCTGAGAGTCTGAAAATTATAAATGTGCTTTTCTCTTCTGCCTTTGTGAGCTCATGACCTTTAAGTTCATCTCCCCAAGGCACCCATCTGCCATGAGGATATCAGAATTTATGACAGTAGAAATAAAAAAAGTAATATTCAGTTTCTGGCATTCACAAATAGGATTTTTTCCTATTTGAGAACAGCCTTTCAAGATAGATGATGGGGGATGCCTGACTGGCTCAGTTGTTATAGCATGCAGCTCTTAATCTCGAGGTCGTGAGTTCAAGCCCCATGTTGGGTTGTAGAGATTGCTTAAATAAACTTTTTTTTTAAAAAGATAGGGGGCACCTGGGTGGCTCAGTCAGTTAAACGTCTGACTCTTGATTTTGGCTCCCATCATGATCTCATGGTTCGTGAGACTGAGCCCCGCATCTGACTGTGCTGACAGCACGGACCCTGCTTGGGATGCTCTCTCTCACTCTCTCTCTGCCCCTCCCCTGCTTGTGCTCTCTCTCTCACAATACGTAAGTAAGTAAGTAAATAAATAAAATTTAAAAGACAGAGCATGGTCCTTTAGTTTCCATCCAGATTTTAAGAAGCCTCAGGAGTTCTCCTGGGGTTCAGAGGAGATGGCTCTGTCCACCACTATGGTGTGGCAGGAATAAGGAAGGGGCCATGAACCAAAGTGGGCTGGTCTGCATTACTATTGGTTACTGGTCCATGACACATAAGGACAGAAATCGAAAGTATTTAGAAATCTTTATAACAATTGGACAGAATAGTTTTATGTCTGTTGAATAACAGTTATAATAAATAATTCAAAGATAGACTTTATTGTATATTTTAATTTTTTATTTCATTTTCACTTTACTACTAGTTCATGTTTTATGAAAGTATTGGGCTGTGACAAAGTAATAATAAAATGAAAACTGCACCTTCTCCACAGGTAATTTCAGAAGTGCAGATATAAAGAAAGTAAAAGGAAACTCTATCATGTTCTAGCCCTGGGAATGGCAGAAAGAAAAAGAGACGGTAAGAAAGATGTGTGTCCCAATTTTCCTCCCTCCAAATTCTGGCCCAGAAAGGGGGTGATAGGTAAGGTAGATCACTAAGGGCAGAGGGAGAACATGCAGCCTGCGATGCAGAGGACCCACACCCACACGGGGCTGCCCAGCCTCGCTGAAACAGTGGAGAATTTTGATCAGGAAAGAGAGATTATGGGCACCTGAGTGGCTAAGCGGTAAAGTGTCTGACTGTTGATTTTGGCTCAGGTCATGATTTCACAATTCATGAGTTGGAGCCTCATGTAGAGCTCTGCACTGAGAGTGCGGAGCCTGCTTGGGATTCTCTGTCTCCCTCTCTCTCTGCCCCTCCCCTGTTCATGCTCTGTCTCAAAAATAAATAAACATTTATATAAAAAAGAAAGGAAGGAAGGAGGGATGGAAGGAAGGAAGGGAAGAAAAAAAGGAAAGAGACTTATATAGATTCCTTGGCTTCAAGTGACACGGGTCCTAAGAACCAGTGACTGTTTCCCCACGATAACTGACTCCAGAAGTGGACAAGCCACTGGGCCAGCAAGATAAATGGGAGACCTAGTAGCCTCAATGGGGATTCATAATGCCAGAAGGAGGTGAGACGAAGCCAAAGCACCTCCACGCTCTAAACTGAAAGCGAGACCAGACTACAAGTTTATACCAACTCTGGGCTCCATCATCAGAGCCCAGCAAAGAAAAGCAGACGAGAAGGCAGGTCCCAACCAGTCACACCCAAGGACCAACTGAAATCCAGGTGATCCTTTTCTCTTCAACTCCATATGATGCAATAAAAGCTGTATACCCGAGTATCACATACACCGGACAGAATATTCTTATTCAAGAAAGCAGAGAGTTATTTACAGGAAATGGTTAAATTACCAGAGTAAGGTTTGAACAGACTGGACATATAGTTTGTTCCTAGACTTCCAGCAATTATCGTGACGTGGATTGGGCAGGGTGAGAGGGGTGGTGGTGTCATAAAGAATACAGGTCTGCTTTAGACTAAATAAATTTTCTCTGCTCACCTGCATTGTATTACAAGTGAATCTGACCCTGTTATATTTACCCATTAATTTTTTCATTCTCTCATTCATAGCAATAACTTAGCCCCTGTCATAGTCACAGCAACCCCAAGATGCTGAAACAAAGGCACCTTAGAGTTACTCAGAGCAGACTCTGTGCCCTTCCTCTTCTTGCACAAAGGTTTTAAGAGTATAGTAGTAGTAGGTCTCATCCTCTCTACGTGTTACTCTCGACATTATTGCCATTCTCTTATGATGTAATTCCTGTTATAATATTAACATAACTGTTCACCAGGTACAATGCCAGGCTTTTCACATCTATTTAATTATCCCACTTAATTCTCATAATCTTCTGAGACAGGGACTATTAAAAAGCTCCATTTTATAGCTGGGGAAATTGGTGCTTAGAGCAGTAAAAAGCTCAAGATCACACTATGGCACACAATTTCAGGGCTTCCCATACTTTTTCTTAACAGCTTATCCACGGACTTCAGTTAAGAACTGGTACTCCAAGGAGAACCTACACAGAGGTCACAGTATTCTCCAGAAATGGTTTACTCAAAGGGAGAATGAACAGGGGGCATGTTAGAAAGTTAGCTCCAAACACAGGATTGTGAGCAGCTTTTCTGTTTTTTGCGTGAAGTAGTGGAAACTAATATATCTCTGGAGCAGACATTTTCCTTTTTCTGGAATACCTGTTCTCCCTTTAAATAGGGCCGTTTCCCTAGAATGAGAGATATGGCTAGAAGAAACAAAACTGCCCTAGATGAAAATGTAAAAAGTTTAAGTTACAGGCACATTTGCATTTCAGTAGACTATGCATGCACTCTGACGAAAAGTTTTCTCTTTTCCCTAAACAGAGACTTAGAGTGCCAAGTCTTGTTGGTTTAAACCATGATCTATGGAGAGCTGAGAAGCTGAGACCCAAAGATCACATGACTGACAGGCAAACCTAATCCTCACACTGGAGGAGGAAGGACCATAACAAAGAGACTAGGTTGTTGGCAGTAGGAATGAGAATTGAACAGGTTAAAGATATTCAGAAGATATAATCTATATAGAACTCAGTGGTTCCTTCTTAGGAAGAAGACAGAGTCAAGGATGACTGCTAGATTTCTAGCTTACCTATTTGAATGGGTTGAAACAGGTAAAGCACATGGAAAACTATATATTTTCCCCCAGGAAGGGAGCAGGGAGGGGAATTGTGGTGAGATAAGTAAGGAAGAGCATGAATTCATCTGTAAGACAATCTAATGAAGATGTCAGTGTTGGATATGGGAATCCAGAGCTCAAAGTACAAATCTGGGGTTAAGGATTAAATTTGGAAGCTGTAAGAGTTTAATTGTTGCCATGGGAAAAGATGAGGTCATCCAAGATAGAAGAGAGAAGAGGCTTAAGCCTAGAGCTTTGAGGAATTCACATATATTAGGACTGATTGTACGGGATGAACTAACAAAGACAGAGAATAAGCAGTCAGAGGAAAAAAACAAAGAGGATATAATTTCACAAAGGCAGAGGAGAAAATACTTCAAGAAGGAAGGAGTGGTGAACTATGCTGGATGCAGCTGAAGTTTTAATGAATTTAGTGACAGAAAGCACTAGTGAGTTTCTCAAGAGCTCTGAAGAGGATGGTGGAGAGAGGAGCCAGATACCAGACTGGAGAGGACGAGGGAATGAATGGAAACAGAAACAGATGCAGTAAACTTTCCCAACTAATTTGGTTATTAAGGTGAGAAGAGAGAAAGAGAAAAGCATAAGGTTAAAGAAGGATAATTTTAAGATGAGGAAAATCCAGGAGCACCTGGGTTAAGCATCTGACTCTTGATTTCGGCTCCGGTCATGGTCTCACAATTTGTGAGTTCAAGCTGGGCTCTGCACTGGCAGCACAGAACCTGCTTGGGAGTCTCTCTCTCCTTCTCTCTCTGCCCCTCCCCTGCTCTCTCTAAAAAATAAATAAACTTAAAAAAAAAAAGGGGGGGGGCACCTGGGTGGAGGCTCAGTTGGTAAAGCATCCAACTTCAGCTCAGGTCATGATCTCAATGGTTAGTGAGTTCGAGCCCTGAGTTGGGCCCTTTGGTGTCAGCATGGAGCCTGCTTTGGATCCTCTGTCTCCCCTTCTCTCTGCCCCTTCCCCCATTCCTCTCTCTCAAATATAAACATTAAGACAAATTAAAAAAAAAAAAAAGATGAGGGGTGCCTATGCAGCTCAGTTAAGTGACCAACTCTTGATTTTCACTCAAGTCATGATCTCATGGTTCCTGAGTTCAAGCCCCGCATCGGGCTCTGTGCTGACAATGTGGAGCTTGCTTGGGATTCTCTCTCCTCTCTCTCCCTCTTTGCCCCTTCCCCACTCGTGTGCACACTCACACACTCTCTCTCCCTCTCAAAAATAAATAAATAAACCTAAAAAAAATGATGAGAAAAAAATCTAAGATGTTTAAAGAAAGAATCTAGGAGAATAGAAAAAGTTGAAAATATTGAAGAAAAAAGAAATGAGATAAAGCACATAGTGCTTAGAACAGTATTAACTGAAGATAAATGTCAACCACTGCTATAATAATTATTACCATTATTATTAAGAATGAGTAACTCAACGAAATTAAGAAAACAATTCCATTTACAATAATATTGAAAAGAATAAAATACCTGGAAATAAATTTAAGCAAAGAGGTAAAAGACTAGTATAATGAAAATCAGAAAGGAGTACTGAAAGAAATTAAAGAAGACCTAAATAAAAGACACCCCATGCTCATGAATAGGAAGACTTAATATTGTCATGTGATGTCAGTATACCCTAAGGACTCTATAGATTAAGCATAATCCATATCAAAATTCCAACGGCCTTTTTTGCAGAAATGGAAATGGTGATGCTTAAATTCATATAGAATTGCAAGAGGCCTCAAAAAAAACAAAACAATCTTCAAAAAGAACAACAAAGTTTAAGGACTTATTTCCAATTTCAAAACTTACTACAAAGCTACAGTATGAAAAACTGTGGTACTAGCATAAGAACAGACATATAGACAAATGGAATAGAACTGAGCTAAGAAATAAATCCATAATATAGTCCATTGATCTTTGGCAAGAGTACCACATCCATTCAATGGGGAAATAATAGTCTCTTCCAGAGATGATGCTGGGACATCTTGATTTCCACATGCAAAAGAATGAAGCTGGACCTTTACCTGGCACAATACACAAAAATTAACTCAAAATCAATCAATGACAAGTACAAGAGCTAAAACCATAAAACTCTTAGAGGAAAACAAGAAAGAAGAAAGTTTTTGTGACTTTAGATTTGGTAATAAAATCTTTAAAGGATATCACAAGCACAAGCAATAAAACATAAACTGGACTTCATAAAAGTTTAAAACTCTGCTGCATCAAAAACTATTATGCTTTTGAAAGTTTAGGGCGCCTGGGTGGCTCAGTCGGTCCAACCTCAGCTCAGGTCATGATCTCACAGTTCATGAGTTCAAGCTGCGTATCGGGCTCTGTGCTGAGAGCTCAGAGCCTGGAGCCTACTTCAGATTCTGTGTCTTCCTCTCTCTCTGCCCTCCCCCACTCACACTCTGTCTCTCTCTCTCTCTCAAAAATAAATGAACAAAAAAAAGTTTTTTTAGTCTTACAAATCTTGCAGACAGGAATTCACCTGCTGTTTAAAAAAAAAAAGTTTAAAGATAACCTACAGAATGGGAAAAATACATAGAAGTCATGTATGTGAGAGTTAGTTTAATGTCCAGAGTACATAAAAGAACTCCTACAAGTTAACAATAAAAAAATAATCCATTTAAAAAGTAGACAAAGAAATTGAATAGACAATTCTCCACACAAGATCTACAAATGGCCAATAAGAGCATGAAAAGATGCTCGACATCATTAGTTGTTAGGGAAATGCAAATTAAAACTACAATGAGATATCACTTCACTCACACTTGGATAACTATAATAAAAAAGGAACAGAAAATAACATGTGGTGGCAGAGATATGGAGAAATTAAAACCCTCATACATTGCTGGTGGAAATGTAAAATGGTGTTACCACTACCAAAAATGGTGGTTCCTGAAAAAACTAAACAGAATTATCCTATGACCCAGCGATTCTACTCCTAACACTTAAAACAGTTAACTTGTAGGCTGATTTTTACCACAGTATTGTTCACAGTAGCCAAAAGGCAGAAGCAGCCCAAGTGTCTACCAATAGATGAACGGATGGACAAAGTGTGGTATGTCCACACAACAGAGTATTATTTGGCCACAAAAAATAATGGTCTGATACATGCTACAACACTGATGAGCCTTGAACACATTATGAAAAGTGAAATAAGCCAGACACAGGATAAATCTTGTATGATTCCATTTACATGAAATAGCTAGAATAGGCAAATTTAGAGAGACAGAAGCAGATGAGAAGTTACCAGGGCTCTGGGGGAAGCGGGAAAAATGTTTGAAAATAGCTAGTGGTCTCAGCTGTACAACATTGTGAATGTAATTGATGTCATGGAACTGTACACCTAAACTTGATTAAAATGAAACATTTTACGTTTATTTTACCAAAACTTATAAAAATTAATAATGTAATATGCCCAAACCCACTGAATTGTTTATTTTACATGGGTGAATTATATGGTATGTGAATAATATCTCAGTACAGCTGTTAAAAAAAAGAATCAGTGACTTGGCTTAAATTATGTTCCAAGCCTTGGGTTCAGCTTAACATTTCAACAGAAAGGAGCCTAGTACCTAGTGCTGGATGAATGTTCGTTATTGCTGTTGCTGTGATCATGATAATCCTCCTCTTTTTCAAAACCTGTGAGTTAAGTTTTAAGTATGATTGAGGCTATTTTTGATAAGAATAAACAGACTCAGAGAAGATAAGTGATGTTCTCAGTAAACAATCCAGCCAGGAACTGAGAAGGCTGGGATTTGAACCCATGCTGGCCTGGCCCCAGAGCCCGGGCTGACACCACTAGCTCCTCCACAGCCCAATCCATTCTATAGAACTGCTGGGCATACAGGCCTGATCATGCTTCTGTTCTTTATGAGTGAAATGGCACCATTTTACCTTGTGCTTTTTCTCATGATGTCACATGGACAATGCATGTCAAAGCACTTTGGAAATGGGAAATCCTATCAAATGTTAGATATATTTTAGGGTCATATATTTATGTTTTTGACAGTCTCTGATAAAGTTAAGGTCCTCATCAGAGTAACTGTTATCACTGTACTTTCTTCTATGAAGTCAAAGCCTTCAAGACAGTACTCAGAATTCAATACATAGGTTTTACTATGTAAATGGACAAAGCATTAAATGAATGAGGACAGCAGCCAAGGAAAGGCCAAGGTCAGATACCGCAGAAGCCAAGTGAATCAAGACCCAGGCTTCATCAGCCCTGAGCCATTTAACATTTCATACTTAGGCTTAGCAGGAAAGTATGACAGTATTACTTTGATTTTTTGTTGATCCCGCTTAATTTCTGCATCCAGTTGCTTCCTTTTTTCATTTTCTTCTCGAAGTCTCTTTTGCAGCTGTACCTTTTGATATTTCAAGTGATCTACGTTCTGCTCCAGCTCATTAGCACGTTTCTCATTTTGGATGCACAGGGATGCCAATTTCTTACTATTTTGCTGCTTCTTCTGTAAGACCTGTGATCATATGGAACATTTCAAAATGAAAAGCTGAATCTCCCGCAAAACTCAAGTTAACAAACTTGTCATTCTATGGCAAAGGTTAGTAGACATTTTGCCTAGATTTTTGTTATTTTTGGTAAGTTCATAATTGTTTTCTACACGTCTACTTTTACAATTGGGTCACCATCATAATTTTCACCAGATACAGAGAATGATGAGACTCCCTGATACAGCCAGCCAAACAGAACAAAACTGATGTCTTTTATTTTTTACTGAATGTTTTAGTTTAAAAATGATAAAAATTAAAAGAATACAAAGCTGAACTTATATTTAGAGACTTCTCTCTGATCTGAATCTATTGTCCTGCTCCCACACAAAATCGCCAATTTCTTAAATATTCTTCCAGAAATAATGGCTATGCATGCAATTGACTTCAGACATATTCTAAATAGACTATTTTTCACCTTCCTTTTTTTGTACTTATCTTAAAGGTCTTATCACAGAGATCTGTTCTATTTATGTGACTGCAAAGTTGTCCACTGTGTTGTTTTTATATCTTGCTATAATCTAAATAATTAATCCTGGAGTGAAGATGATCCATTTTCCCTGACAGTGACCAACCATTATGATTACCAGTTTAGTTATTTTAATATATATTTTTTTAATTTTATTTATTTCTAGGAGAGAGAGAGAGACAGTGTAAGCAGGGGAGGGTCAGAGAGAGAGGGAGTCACAGACTGAAACAGGCTCCAGGCTCTGAGCTGGCAGTCAGCACAGAGCCCGACGCGGGGCTCGAACCCACGAACCGCGAGATCATGACCTAAGCGAAAGTCGGACGCTTAACCGACTAAGCCACCCAGGCGCCCCAGCAGTTTAGTTATTTTAAATAAAGCTTCTCCTCATTTAGCTCACGTATCAATGGGAAGCATAAAAAATTTGTGAACATTTGCAAATAGTTTATACTATGAATATAAAATACCAGTGTTCCAATTTACTCCTGGGCAAACACGTATTAAACATGTGTTATGTATCTTAGCATTGCACAAAGTACCTGTTACATTAAAAAAGTTAAGGTGAAGTCATTTGTAATTTATGAAGACTACAGTTATTCCCTTTATCTTGGCAATATGTTGTTGGCAAAAGCATATTTGCTTTGAGAGGTGCTGCTCAAAGTGTGGTGTTTGAACCAGTACGAGTCCCACACATGCTGTTAGCCTGCACCACCGCTAAACATGCTGTCAGATTCAGCGGACACTGGTTGTGTCAAGACTTTTGTTTTTTTCAAATAAATAACCTTTATTACTTTTTAAAAAAATTTTTAATGTTTGTTTATTTTTGAGAGAGAGAGAAAGACAGAGCTCAAGTCAAAAAGGGGCAGAGAGAGAACGAGACACAGAATTCAAAGCAGGTTCCAGGCTCCGAGCTGTGAGCACAGAGCCCAACGCGGGGCCCGAACTCACAGGCCATCAGATCATTACCTGAGCCAAAGCCAGACGCTTTACCAAATGAGCCACCCAGGCGCCCCATATGTCAAGATGTTTTTGATGAAGGGAGCTACACTCCTATTTGCCTTTATCTCATCAGACCAGTAACAATCCTCAGACAAACTACTTTGAGTACCACTAGCTTGGAGGCCACAGGACTCTGTACATTCCCAGCCCCAGATCTGGACAGTGGCTTTGCCACAATTAACTTTTGGTAGTAATTGCATTACTGGGGCAAAAATTATAATACTAGCATTTTGGTGCCTTTCCACATAATACTGAAGGTATAAGTACTGATAATCTTATTTAAAAGTGAGATGGGTTACCAATGGATTTTGTACTTATTCCACACATGCTCAAAAGTACACCTTTACTGGGGCACCTGGGTGGCTCAGTCGGTTAAGCTTCCGACTTCGGCTCAGGTCATGACTCACAGTCCGTGGGTTCAAGCCCTGCGTCAGGCTCTTTGCTGACAGCTCGGAGCCTGGAGCCTGCTTCGGATTCTGTGTCTCCCTCTCTCTCTGTCCCTCCCCTGCTCGCTCTCTGTCTCTCTCAAAAATAAATAAAAACATTTAAAAAGCTTAAAAAAAAAAAAAGTACACCTTTACTGGGGTGCCTGGATGGCTCAGTCAGTTAAGTGTCCAACTTCAGCTCAGGTCATGATTTCACAGTTCATGGGTTCAAGCCCTGCGTTAGGCTCTGTGCTGACAGCTAGCTCAGAGCCTGGAGCCTATTTCAGATTCTGTATTTCCCTCTCTCTCTGACCCTCCCAAGCTCACACTGTCTGTCTCGCTCTCTCTCTCTCAGAAGAAAAAAATTTTTTTTAAAGTACACCTCTACTGCTATTAGCATAAAAGGATTAATGCATCATATGGGTCTCTGTATAAATCTAGATTTTAGGTGCCTCAGTTGGTTAAGCGTATGAATCTTGATTTTGGCTCAGGTCATGATCTCATGGTTCGTGAGATGGAGCCCCACCTTGGGCTCTGCTCTTACAGCCCAGAGCCTGCTTGGGATTCTCTCTCCCTCTTGTCTGCTCCTCCCCTGCTTGTGCTCTCTCTCTCTCAAAATGAAATTTAAAAACATTAAAGAAAATAATTAATTAAATAAAAATGGCATCAGATGCTAGAGTACTGAAAACCGTTACTGTCACCTCAACTATGAGACTCGAGCTATTTTACCTTTTTAAAATGTAGCTTCCTCGTTTGTAAAACAGAATAAAAATATTCATTCTAGAGGGTTAAATAATGATTAAATAATACTTATGAAACATCCAGTATGTAGACACTTAACAATGGGCAACTCTCATCCCCATCACCTTTATCATCCCCATTCCCACTGGCTGTACGTGAACAGGTCAAAGGCACAGGCATTTCTAAAACTACATGGGAATCCTGTTTCAGTCCTCTGCTGAATGGGATGCTTCTTCTGAGCTTAACCATGTTCTGTGTCTTCTTTCCTTTCCTTATCAGTCCCCTTACCAGAAAAGTATATTCAACAAGAAACATGAAAAACAAAAATATGATAATTCTCAAACTCTAATAACCTTTCACTTAGAGGTGCCTGAGTGACTCAGTTGGTTAAGCACCCAACTCTTGATTTCGGCTCAGGTCATGATCTCTCAGTTTGTGAGATTGAGCCCTGTGTCAGGCTCTGTGCTGACAACCCAGAGCCAGCCTGGGCTTCTCTCTCTCTCTCTCTCTCTCCCCCTTCCCTCCCTCTCTCTGTCTCTCTCTCTCTCCCCTACCTCCACCCCATCCTCTCCCCAACGTGCACTCTGTCTCTCAAAATAAATAAACATTGTTAAAAAATAACCTTTCACCTAATCCTTTAATTCAAATATTTTAGCTGTGTGAAACATAGAACATACCATCTTTGCTAAATCTACAAACAAGGCTTAAACCATAGATGTATATGATAAACTGCCCCTTTAGAATCACAATCATTCTGGTTATTATTGATTACAAGAATTACAGTCAGAACTGAAGCTTGGATATAAAACTATGAAATTATAAGTAAAATTTCTTTATAAACACAAAAGAAAAATCTTAATTGTTTTGTTCAAATGAGAACTGTTAGATATTGCAGCCTTAATTTTAAGGGTCAAGAACTGAAAAAGAACTGATCCCAAGACTCTCTGAGGTGAACTGCTAAGTGGAAATATGTACTCTGAAAATAAGTACTCTGAAGTAGGTGTGACACAACTACCATGCCCTCCTGTAAGCAGTTCACACATTAAGTCATACTAATATTTTAACTTTGTGTTGAGAGGCTACTTAGGTAAACATTTTAGCGGGAATGGCCAGATGTTGGAGGTGGCATTAAAAACCCTACCTAGTAGGGGGGTGCCTGGCTGGCTCAGTCAGTTGAGTGGCAGACTCTTGATTTCAGCCCAGGTCATGATCCCAGAGTCGTAGGACCAAGCCCCTGCGTCGGGCTTTGAACTAAGTGTGGAGCCTGCTTAAAATTCTCTCTCTTTCTCTCTCTCTCCCTCTGCCCTTCTCCCCTACTCATGCTCTCTCTCTTAAAACAGAAACAAAAACTTTTAAAACCCACAAAACCCGAGGAGGAAGGATTTGTTTTTTTGGTCTGTTTGTATATAGTGAACACAGCCCTTGTGGAGAGAATAACTGCAGCAGTTTGAAGAAAAAAGAAAAAAAAAAACTCTGAACAGGTGAACTACAATTCCATTCTACCTACAGTGGAAATGATATTAAAGTAAATAGATTATGAATGAAAAAAATGAAGGAGCGCCTGGGTGGCTCATTTGGTTGAGTGTCTGACATGACTCAGGCCATGACCATGGTTCATGGGTTCGAGCCCCGCATTGGGCTCTGTGCTGACAGCTCGGAGACTGGAGCCTGCTTCAGATTCTGTGTCTCCTTCTCTCTCTGCCCCTGCCCTGTTTACATTCTGTCTCTCTCTCTCTCTCTCAAAAATTAAAAAATTTAAAAAAACCACGGAGATAGCATTCTAGCAGATTCATTATAATCAGACTAACAAAACACTCTGGTCATCCCCAAAGCATCTGAAAATGGCTTCATTATATACAAAATCTTTCTGGAATGGGATATTTCTCATAGAATAGGATTTTTAATGGTAGCCTTAGGAAATCAAGGATGAGATGTAGTAGTCAATTAACAACCTGTCTTAACACAATCAGTTATGGTTTGAGAAAACCATCTGAAATACTTAGCGTTTGTTGAGTGTCTACAAAGTGCTGTATACACACCAGATGTTTTAAGTATATTACTTAAGCATCAATCTTTTGTCCCTCAGAAAAGAACACAGCTTCTGTGGTGATCTTTATTTCTTACCAAGGTTTTGGATAAACAGTTTAAAATAATATACTTTTCGAACAGAGAATGTAGTACCCAGACAGAAAGCAGGCAAACGTGCTAGCACTCCGGAAAAGAAAAGCTGCCCTCCGGTTTCTCTTTTTGGGAAAACCGGACTCCTACTTCTCTCCTAACCAGGTACATAAGCCTTAAGGAAGTTTGCTAAGTCACATTCTTTACATTACCTGGACTCTTAGCTTTGCAGCGTCCATCTTTTTGCGGAATTCCTTCTGTAATTTTACCTTCAAAGCAATATCAGAAAGATCTTTGTTTTCTAGTTCCTGTAGCTGCTTCTCTGTTTCAGTTAATTCCACTTTTGCCTGTTCTGCTTCGTGCTCAAGTTTTGTTACTTTCAGAGAATACTGTTTGCTTACAGACTTGGCATCGTTACCTTCACCACAGTGATAACAATTAGAAAGCATGTTAAAAAAAAAAACAAAACAGCCAAGTAAAATAGCAAAATCTTTAAAATGTTCTATTCTTCAAAATCCTCCTGGGCAGTGTATCTATTTAAGACAGAGCATTAAGAACCCAGCTGTCCCCACCCGTCTCCATCAAACACAACTTGCCACCTGGCCTCTTAATAATTAGTTGCTTAACGACCGTTCCCATCTGGTGCCATTCCTTCACCTCACAGGTTCAACTTTGTGTGTGTGTGACATTTCTGATTTTCTAAATTTGCAGTTTAGCTTTGCAGGCATCAAACTCCAGGTAAGAAAAATATATGGGGTAACAATGGCTTTGCTAACAGCACTTTGGCTTCCTGCTATCTTTAATCTTTTTTTCTCTTAGTATGAAAACTTTCCAACATATCAAAAGTAGAAAACTAATATGATGAACCCCCCACCCCCATCACTGAGATTCAAGAGTTATCAAGATTTTGCCACAGTTGCTTCATCTGTGTCTTTCTTCTGTTTTTATTAGCTTAAGAATTATAAAGCAGGGGCACCTGGGTGGCTTAGTCAGTTAAGCGTCCAACTTCAGCTCAAGTCATGAACTCATGAGTTCAAGCCCCACAACAGGCTTGCTGCTGTCAGCGCTATACTCACTGTGGATCCTCTGTCCCTTCTCTCTGCCTATCTCCCACTCATGCACACACTCTTTCTCTCTCTCAAAAATAAATAAACATTAAAAAAAAATGGGTGCCTGGGTGGCTCAGGTCATGATGTCATGGTACGTGGATTTGAGCCCCACAGGTCAGGCTCTGTGCTAACAGCTCAGAGCCTGGAACCTGCTTCAGATTCTGTGTCTCCCTCTCTCTCTGCCCCCCTCCCCCCACTCATGCGGTCTCTCTCTCTGTCTCTCTCAAAAATAAACATTAAATAACTAAAAATAAAAAATTCTAGATGTCATCTTACTTCAGTAAACATCTATATCAAACATGGACATAGCCAAAATTCTTTCACACCTAACAGTATTAATCCCTACCTGAATCTATCCAGACTTTCCCAATTGTCTCAAAATGTCTTTTTCAAGTGGTTTATTTTAATCACCATCCAAACAAGGCCCACAATACATCTGATTGTTATGTCTTATGAAACTTTCATCCTAGAGCTGGCCCCTCCTTTTCCACTCAAATGAACTTGTTAAAGGTGGATTCTTTTTCAATGCTTTTCTTATACTTGGAATATAGAGGAAAACAGAAAATAGATATTTTGGTATCTCTCTTTCATTCTAAGCTACTAGACCCTAAACATTTGGTTTAAATCTGTTCTGAGTAGTCAACTTATCCTTGAACTAGACAAGCAAACTCATGGCAATGGAAAAAGGAGTCCAAAGCTCATGGATGAATAATTTACGAGGGCCAGTTTGTTCTCCTACACTGAATATCTTTAATTTTTATTAGTAAAAAGGAATTACTGAACTAAATGCACTGTGAGTTTTCTTCTCTCTATATAACTGATTGACTAGCATCAAAATACAGGATTACTATATTTTAATTAAGACCTCATATGCTGTTCAACACGCCAATATTTTATGAGTCACTGAGAAAAAAGGTACAGTGTCCACTATACCAGTTACACGGTAAAATACCAGGATACCACTGATGGTAAGGTGCATCCTGACTTCAGAGATATTAAAATGTGAAAGAATGTGATTAGAATTGATAAAATACAGTATAGCTGTCACTTATTGTTGGCTGAAATAATTGCTACTGGGTCTTCGGTGCGGAGGATTTGAAAAGCAAGCGCACGTTGACCCTTCTGCTGGTCACCAGTCCCAAGGACAGCTCCAAACTGCCCTTGGTTCTCATGAGTAAGAAGAGGACCTTCTCTGGGTAAGTTCAGGTATCCTTTATTTTGAGGCAACCAGGATGAACATACCAGGCTACAAAAGCGTGCTCGTTTAGTGAGAGATCTCACGATGGTATAACCTCTAAAAATCATTTATTCCAGAGGGATGCATATTCTTAACTCCCACAGGCAGCATCCTGATGGAGAAGCTATTTAAACCCCTAAATCAGGGGCACCGGGGTGGCTTAGTTGGTTGAGTATCCGACTTTGGCTCAGGTCAGGATCTCATGGTTTCTGAGTTTGAGCCCTGTGTCGGGCTCTGTGCTGACAGCTCAGTCTGGAGCCTGCTTTGGATTCTGTGTCTCCCTCTCTCTGCCTCTCCCCTGCTCATGCTCTGTCTCTCTCTCTCTCTCTCAAAAATAAATAAACATAAAAAAACTTTTTACCCCTAAATCAATTCCTAGGCATTCCTACAACAGATTTATTGACATTGATCCTGCCTTTGAGGAAGGAGCATGGTCAAGCTCAATTAAACATCTGGCACACCTAGGGGCGCCTGGGTGGCTCAGTCGGTTAAGCATCCGACTTCGGCTCAGGTCATGATCTTGCCATTCCTGAGTTCGAGCCCTGCATTGGTCTCTGTGCTGACAGCTAAAAGCCTGGATCCTGTTTTGGATTCTGTGTCTCCCTCTCTCTCTGCCCCTCCCCGACTCACACTCTGTCTCTCTCTCTCCTAAAAATAAATAAACATTAAAAAATTTTTAAAATAAATCTACGACACCTAAAGCTGGAATGGTATATAGCACATTCGTCACTAGGACTAAGGAAGGAAAACGCTTTGGCACAGCAGCTCTGGAGTGCAAGATGAGAGACGACAGCCAGCCAGAACACAGAGGAGGGAAGTGGGAAGGCAGGTTGCCCCTTGCTGGCAGAGGAGCTAGGAGCCACCATAATTCATGTAATCTGAGTGTAATTATAGCCTTGGGCTTAAGGAAAAGGAAGATAATATTTCCTTCAGTTCCTTTAAATGGGACCAATGTTCATTGGAACTAAGAAAAAGAAATGCTATTGTCTCTTATCCCTTCAATTCCTAACTGAATTTCAAGTAGTCAAAGCTCACACTTTGAGTCTATTGGGGCGGGGGTGGTAGGGGGAGCTGAGATGTGCTTTTCAAGGCAAGCCTCATAATGTAGCTAAGGGTGAGGGGAGGATGTGGAACATGCCCAACCAGGCAGAATCTGAGAGTAAGGGGAAGAGCTAAAAGCTTGGCTCACTGAGAGAACAGCTCTCAAGAATAAATCCTTACATCTTTAGAAAACTAAAAATGATCTACATTTAAAATATAAAGTTTAGGGGCGCCTGGGTGGTTCAGTCGGTTAAGTGTCTGACCTTGGCTCAGGTCATAATCACATGGTTTGTGGTTCAAGCCCCACGTTGGGCTCTGTGCTAACAGCTCAGTGCCTGGAGCCTGCTTCAGATTCTATGTGTGTGTGTGTGTGTCTCTCTCTCTCTCTGCCACTCCTCTGCTCGTGCTTTATCTCTGTCTCTCAAAAATAAATAAGTGTTAAAAAAACTTTTTTAAATATAAAGTTTATAAATAATGTTAAAAATGAACTATCCAAGAGAATGAGGACTAACAATTTAAAATAAATATTAAAATGAGTTGGAGAAACATCTCAGACATATTCCCAGATACCTAGAATAATGTTTCTTAAAAAGTGGTGAAAAACATTAAATGCCTATAGCCTTTCAACAAGAGACAAAGCCCTCAGTGGTGGAACAATTCACAGACGAAATCCCAATGTAACAAAGTTCTTCTGACAACCAACCTTTGCCTGTTCTCTATGAAACAAACCCAGTTATACCAAATTCTAAGCTACAGTGGATAGTCCTCAGTGTCAAAAACTAAAGTAAATGTTAAAACATCAGAAGCAATTTTAGACACTTTTCTTTCTCATAGAAGTTGGCTCAAGGGATGTTATTACCTGTTTTTATTAATTCTTTAATTAGATCTTCCTTCATCTTGATGTTAATTGTAAGTTCTCTCACTTTCTGTTTAGCTGCAGTAAGTATGAGTTCTGAATTCCTCAATTTTTGCAAGTTCAACTCTTGACTCTCCTGGAGACATTCAATCTTTAAATCTTCAAAGAAAAAGCAACAGAATGGAGAAATAAAACTACCTGCTCATAGAGTATTCCACAGAAGTGAGTTAAATACGAGAAGCAGAAACAAGCAGTCTAGAGGTAGCAGAGGAAGAGACAAACAGAATGGGAAAGAAAGGAAGGAAAAAATACATGGCAATTGGGACTTCAATTTTCTACCTTAAAGTGAGTTTTAGTCATATCCTGTGGGCTCTGATACACAGTTCATCATTGTCCTTAGGTATGTGATTTGAGCTTTCTCTAACCTCAGTTATTTAAGAAAAGTATAAAATCTCCAGATGGGTAGAGGGTTGACATTTTTTCCCATTAACTTCTACTTTAATAGTCATCAGGGAATGTGGTCTGTCTACACCACCAAAGTGTACGCCAACACTGTTGATTACTGGCACATAAGCCAACTATGTCACTGTTTTAATTCAAAGAATTTTTTTTTTTCCCACAGCAAGACTTCCTCAGTGAAGAAACTAGCGCACTGATTTACATTCTGACATAAGTTTCTTACCTGACTGTAGACCAGCAACAAATAGCTCAGGGATGGCTACCTGAGTAGTACTTCTCTATACTATTTATACATTTTTAAAAATTTATTTCAGGGGCGCCTGGGTGGCTTAGTCGGTTAAGCGTCCAACTTTCGCTTAGGTCATGATCTTGCAGTTCGTGGGTTCAAGCCCCACGTCGGGCTCTGTGCTGACTGCCAGCGCAGAGCCTGAAGCCTATTTCAGAGTCTGTATCTCCCTCTCTCTCTGACCCTCCCCTGCTCACGCGGTCTCTCTCTCTCTCCTAGAAATAAATAAAAATTTAAAAATGTTAAAAAAAAATTTATTTCAGTTTTATTTGTGACATACAGTCAATGTTTTGTTAACAGAACATGCATAGGCTCTTTAAAAGATAAGATACTCTCTATTTTCATAGTGGAGGACTTATCTATCGTGTTATTTACATTTGCTATGCTCTTTTTTCGTGTGTGTTTGGACCACTTGTAGACCAAGAGAAATTAGTTAAAAATCTCCTACTACAACATAGTTTTGGCAACACATGTGTTTCTGATGCTGTTATTTCATGCATAAAAATGCTCATCAGTTGTGTACTACAACATCACGAGCACTCAGCAGACTAACTTGGCTCAAATGTCACATACATCACTACTGCCAGGGGAGCTGCAGATACCTGGGACATTATGTAACACGTATTTTAGGGGCACCTGGCTGGCTCAGTCACATAACTGTCCGACTTCAGCTCAGGTCATGATCTTGCAGTTCTTTTTTCTTAATTTTCTAAAAAATGTTTTATTTATTTCCTAGAGAGAGAGAGAGAGTGTGTGAGCAGGGGAGGGTCAGAGAGAGAGGGAGACATGGAATCTGAAACAAGCTAAGCTAGCTGTCAGCACAGAGCCCGACGCGGGGCTCGAACCCATGAACCGCGAGATCATGACCTGAGCTGAAGTCTGCAGCCTAACCGTGTGAGCCACCCAGGCGCCCCTGATCTTGCAGTTCTTGAGTTCAAACCCCGTATCGGGCACTGTGCTGACAGTGCAGAGCCTTCCTGGGATTCTCTCTCTTCCCCCCACTCCACTGCTCACACGCACTCTCTTTCAAAATAAATAAATAAACTTAAATAAATTATTTTTGAAAAATTTACAATGTAAATATCAACTCAAGTTTGAATACAAAATCCCCATTCTGAGGCATTTAGCCTATAACTCTTGTCAGAATTTACTGGGAAAATTTTTTGTTTTATTAATGAGTAGAGAGTGAAAAACTGGAGGTAGAGAAGAGAGCATAAAGGAAGCTCTACCTACCAAGAAAGTACTCCAACTGAGTTCTCACCTTTGAGAATTAAATTATTGGCTAAAGAAAAAGAGAAGTGGCATAAACATTAGATCTAAATTACTTGAGAAAGTCTGTGTACCTTCATTCCCCAAACCTGACTTTGGTGTTTGATCCTGAATATCATTCAATTCAACAAGAGAACAAACAGAGCCTGGCTTTTGCATCCATGAGCGACTTCTACATCTAAAAAAAAAAAAAAAAAAATCAAGATCAAAGGTAACTTGTCTGTTTTCATCTGCCCTCAAATTGTCCCCCCAAAACTGACAGTAATATTAAAAAATTATTAATTATATAAATTTTCTCATATCCCTCATCTCCCCCAGGTTGAACTCAGTAGAAAATTCATCATATTTGTTGCCACCATGGCAGCAAAATCAGGAAATCCAAACATATTCTCTCTGAAAATTAAAACCCAACAGCTATAAAAGCCCTAAATGCAAAATTATTTTTCAATTTTAAGATTGATGAGTTGTGTTCAAACATTGGTTTCCTAATACATGAGTAGGCGGTGCTTTAGCAAACACTTACTCTTATATTAAATGGTAAAGAAAAACCCCCCTACAGTATCTACCTATATTTATTGCATCATATATTATGTTTATGAAGCCAGGCTATATTTAACATACCTAATTGCAGATTTCTCCTGGCCTTCTGATTCTTCATCATCACTGTTATCAGAAAATTGGCAGTGGAGGACTTCATCTTGTTCTTCTATGTGACCCAGCAGCATCTGACTTCGTGTTCGAAATCCGGCAACTACTTGATCCAGAGAGTACACAGAAGGACTTGTGTGGACCTTACAAGTGATTACCCCACCCAACAACAAAAAAAGTGATTTTTTTCATTATTTTTATCCTGTTACTCAAAGTGTTTTTTAAGAAATATTAGATAGTTGCATTTAAAATAGTCAATAACTGAAAATACCCATTCTTGCAAAAAAAGTAGAAATAAATTTCACAATGCTATTGTACCCCATAGACACATACTTTCTTCAGAACCTACACAGCTCTTCCTCCTTTTAGAAAGCACTCTATCTTCAATTATATCTTCATGGAATATAGTATTCAAAAATGAAACCAAAGAGAGGCATAAGTGAAAACATCACTGCTTTTAAACACAGCAGGGCACTTCCCAACAAATGTGAAAGCCAGACCCAGTGTGATAGGAGGCAATGACACATTTATACTATACTAGGAGAAATCCAAATGTATTTACTCACACTTTACATGTGGTGGTTAGGGACAGCTGACTTAATGCTCTAAGTGACATAGTTTTGCTTTTTTTTTTTTAATTTCTGAGAGAAAGAGAGAGAGAGAGTGAGAGAGACAGCATGAACAGGGGAGGGTCAGAGAGAGAGGGAGACACAGAATCTGAAACAGGCTCCAGGCTCTGAGCTAGCTGTCAGCACAGAGCCTGACGTGGGGCTTGAACCCACGAACCGTGAGATCATGACCTGAGCCAAAGTTGGACGCTTAACTGACTGAGCCACCCAGGTGCCCCCTAGGTGACATGGTTAATATGTACCCTGGATAAATAGATTTTCATGGGCTAGCCTGGAACTTTCTATTTTATAACATGCTTCGAGTGGCAATGCACCTTTAGCTCTCAAAAAAATGATGTAGGAAAACAACAACAGAAATTAGAAGTTGCCTTTATATTCTTATTCTAGTTTTTGTTACAAACATTTCCTTTTTCACCACCTCTCTGTAACCAAACCTCAGAGTAATTTCTCAAAAAAGGCAAATAATAAAATATTAGAGGAAACATTCAATTTATGGACAGATATCATTATAAGCTATTAAAATGATAACATCTAGTGGAATGTGTACATCACATGGTATCAATTTTCAAGTGATGTAGGACCCTCACATAATTTCTCCCAGAAGAGCCTGCCTGATACTCAGTATTCCTTGAAACCTGATTTTTGTGCATCTACTTTCGGCCATCTAATAAGACTGTCACACTGGTACCGTGATGGATGCAGAGTAAAGTTTTCTCGGTGGACTTCCAATCGTGGGGTTTGAGGGAGTGGGGACAGAGATTATTTACAGAAGAATCAACTCAAGAAGTATTTCTCTAACAAGGACAATTGCCCGGCATGTCCATTTTGCCCCAAAACAAACCGGCATCAAGGTTTCTTTGTCAGAGGAATGAGAATTATTTCAGGAGCAAACAAAACTTTCTGTTCAGAGTCAAACATTGTTCTCTACAATTGTATATTGCCTTTAAAATTTCTTTCTACAAAAAAACCCAAAGGACTCAGCCTAATAATGAACACCAAATAATTTCCACAACAATTAGTAATATTTAGCAAAATTCCTTAACAGTCATTCCACCCAATGCAATTGTTCTCCACCCCCTCCAGGCACATAAACCCTTCTCCAGTAACCTGGTGCCTTCCCACCTAAGTACTGAGTCCTGCTTCCCTTTAGCTGCTTCTGCATCCCGTAGCTCTGCGCTTTCACAGTTTCAACCACACCCCCAAACAGTACTGATCACTAATATAAGTATTCAAAGAAGCTGATTAATAATTCAGATTAACTGAAGTATATATACCTAGAAGCCAATATTTATTCTAAGCATTTTTTTCCCCAGAATTATACAGCCACAAGGCTAGAGAGAACTTGAAAGCTTACTATTCCACCCAGATTTGACTCTCATTTATAACATAACCCCTGGTGAAACAGTGGCTGCTGGAGCCCCGGGGCCTCTCGAATCATGTTTGGCAGTTTTAAGTGAAGTATTCCCACATTAGCACTTTTTCTCCCTGATCCTGGAGATTTCAGAAGATTTTTTTAAATATATCCCTTAAGAATACTTGGTTGGTTTTCTTAGCATACAATTGTATGAAGTACTAAAAGTGGTATTAGTTACCGATTGCTTTTATTTCCACTTCATATCAGATTTCATCAAATCTAAAATGCCATCAAGCATAAGAGACACCATTAATTTTATTCCATCAAGAAACAAAAAAAGCTGTCAAACTATGACATGCCATCAATTATAAAACATACCCTGCCATCAAAGATGATAAAATGTGAAAAAAACATGTGAGTCTTACAATCAATGCAACATGGCAGATTTTCATCAGTATTTGTGATATGAGATTATACCTAAGCATTGACGGACCTCTCTAATTTTCTTCTTTCCAAGTGCCCTCTTAGTGTGTATAATACTGGCTCTTGGCCTCAGGTATTTACCATGTTAGGAAAGTAGAAACCTCTGTTACATTTTTTTTCTTTAAGTTTAAATCAAGATTCAATTTTACATTTCATCAGATGAGCTTTTGGTATCTATTGAGACAAAGCAGATTTTTCTTTTTTCCTATTAGTTTGAGAAATAATACTAAAAGTTTTTCTTATATTTACCTATATACTACTTAGTTGTGAGGGGCAATTTCTTTAGGAGTTCTGCATAAGTAGATATGTTCTATATTTCCATTTTGGTGTTTAACTTTTCATATTAAGAGACAGTTGAAAACAATATGTGTAATAATATGAAAAAGTACACAAGATAAATATTAAGATGATATGCTATCTTAATATATAAATATTATTCAGCCATTAAAAATAATATGTTATAAAAGAATATTTAATAACTCTTAAGTGTTCATGATATATTGAGAAAAGCCAGTAATGGAAGTATATGAGTATATACATAATGTAATAAATAATGTGTTTAAAATAAATAAGAGCTTTTTGCTCTTTCCCTCCAATATGTATAAACAAGTGTAGAAGAAATAGTTCCAGGGTGCTTGGGTGTCTTAATCAGTTGAGCTGGACTCTTGATTTAGGCTCAGGTCAAGATCTCATGGTTCATGGGTTTGAGCCCCACATCGGGCTCTGTGCTGACAGCGCAGAGCCTGCTTGGGATTCTCTCTCTCCCCCTCACCCCACTAACATTCTCTCTCCCTCAAAATAAATAAACTTAAAAAAAAAAAAAGAAAGAAAGAAAATATTAGCTAGATTTCTGCCAAGGAGAGATCCAGGAGAAAATGAAATGGTATTTCAGATATCCCCTTGGGCGTATATTAGTTTTGGTATTCCGTATGAACCCTTCCCTCACTCTTGGAACAAGCAGGACTTGAACAAGGCTTGCCATGCAATGAGTCTTCCCATGCAAGCCTGCCTTCTCATGTCTGCTGCAATAACCAGTCCAAGCAAGAAAAGGGGCCTAGATTCTTGGACACAGGGTAAGAACAAGAGCTCTTAAAACTGCTGATCATATGCAAACCTCGAAATCATAAAAGCCATATACAAAAGGTCCAACACTGATATCCTCACTGGGGAAACACTGAGAGCTATTCCCCTAAGGTCAGGAACACAACAGGGATGTCCACTCTTGCCACTGTTATTCAACACAGTATTGGAAGTCTTAGCCAATCAGACAACACAAAGAAATAAAACTCATCCAAATCAGCCAGGAGGAGGTCAAACTTTCACTTTCGCAGGTTACATGATACTCTATACAGAAAACACAAAAGATTCCACCAAAAAAACTGCTAGAACTGATCCATGAATTCAGAAAAGTCGCAGGATATAAAATCAATGCTCAGAAATTGATTGTATTCCTGTACAACAATAATGAAGCAACAGAAAGAGAAATCAAGGAATCGATCCCATTTACAATTACACCAAAATCATAAAATAGCTAGGAATAAATCTAACCAAAGAGGTGAAAAATCTATACATGGAAAACTATAGAAAGCTATAGTTTCTATAGCTATACAAACTATACAAAAAATGGAAAAATATTTCATGCTCCAGGATAGGAAGAACAAATATTGTTAAAATGTCAATACTACCCCAAGCAATCTACATATTCAATGCAATACCTATCAAAATAACACCAGCATTCTTCACAGAGCTGGAACAAACAATCCTAAAATTTGTATGGAACCAGAAAAAATCCCGAATAGCCAAAGGAATCTTGAAAAAGAAAACCAAAGCTGGAGGCAACACAATCCTGGACTTCAAGCTGTATTACAAAGCTGTAATCATCAAGACAGTATGGTACTGGCACAAAAACAGACACTAGTTTTAGTGTCTCACAGAATAGAGAACCTAGAAATGGACCCCCAAACATATGGCCAATCTTTGACAAAGCAAGAAAGAGTATCCAATGGAATAAAGACAGTCTATTCAGCAAGTGGTACTGGGAAAACTGGGCAGTGACATGCAGGACCACTTTCTTATACCATACACAAAAATAAACTCAAAGTGGATCAAAGACCTAAACATAAGACAGGAAACCATCAAAATCCTTGAGGAGAAAGCAGGCAAAAACCTCTGACCTTGGCCGCAGCAACTTCTTACTCAACGTGTCTTCAGAGGCAAGAGAAACAAAAGCAAAAATGAACTATTGGGACCTCATCAAAATAAAAAGCTTCTGTACAGTGAAGGAAACAATCAGCAAATGTAAAAGGCAACCAATGGAATGGGAGAAGATATCTGCAAACCACATATCAGATAAAGGGTTAGTATCCAAAATCTGTAAAGAACTCATCAAACACCCAAAAAACAAATAATCCAGTGAAGAAATGGGCAAAAGACATGAATAGATACTTCAAAGAAGACATCCAGATGGCCAACCAACACATGAAAAATGCTCAATATCACTCATCATCAGGGAAATACAAATCAAAACCACAATGAGAGACCACCTAACACCTGTCAGAATGGCTAACATTAACAACTCAGGCAACAACCAATGTTGGCAAGGATGTGGAGAAAGAGGACCTCTTTTACACTGCTGGTAGGAATGAAAACTGGTGCAGCCACTCTGGAAAACATATTAGAGATTCCTCAAAAAAATAAAAATAGAACTTATCTACAACCCAGCAACTGCACTACTAGGTATTTATCTAAGGGATACAGGTATGCTGTTTTGAAGGGACACATGTACCCCAGTGTTTATAGCATCACTATCAACAATAGCCAAAGAATGTTAGGAGCCCAAATGTCCATCGATGGATGACTGGATAAAGATGCAGTATATATACACAATGGAGTATTACTTGGCAATCAAAAATAATGAAATCTTGCCATTTGCAACTATGTGGATGGAACTCGAGGGCACTATGCTAAACGAAATTAGTTAGAGAAAAACAAATATTATAGCACTTCACTCATATGAGGACTTTAAGATACAAAAGAGATGAACATAAGGGAAGGAATAATATAATATAATAAAATATTTTATATAAGATATAATATGATTATATAATACATATAAATATAATAATTTATTTATTTATAAAAATATAATATAAATATAATATAAATAATATAAAAACAGGGAGAGGGACAAAACATAAGAGACTCTTAAATATGGAGAACAAACAGAGGGTTGCTGGAGGGGCTGTGGGAGGGGGGAGGGGCTAAATGGGTAAAGGGCATTAAGTAATTTACTCCTAAAGTCATTGTTGCACTATATGCTAACTAACTTGGATGTAAATTAAAAAACAAATAAAATTATTTTAAAAAATATTTAGATTAGGGGCACCTGGGTGGCTCAGTTTGCTAAGCAACCAATTCTTGATTTCGGCTCGGGTCATGATCTCATGGTTCCTGGGATTGAGCCACATTTCGGGCTCTGCACTGACAGTGTGAAGCCTGCTTGGGATTCTCTCTCTCCCTCTCTCTCTGCACCCCCCTCACTGCTCATGCTATCTCAAAATAATAAACTTTAAAAAAAGTAAAAACAAAAAACAAAACAAACAAATGCTGCTGATCATATGACATTCGCATCATCTTCCTTTTGCCCTCCTTTTAATGGCTAGCAGGGATCTTTGGGGTAGATGGAAAATTGTGAAAACAAAACTAATAATTTGATAATCTGAAACAATAACCACGGAAGTTGTTATTCAAATCATGCCTGTTTCAGGCCTATTTAAACAACTATAAGTAAGAACAAGGGCCTAACCTTTTTCAAGAGCTCACAGAGCTCTATCTCCTCACAGAGTGTACATGTGTGTGTGAATGTCTAGTACAAAAGAAGAAGAGAGAGAGACTGAGAGGAAAAAAATATGTATAACTATTGTAATCAGGGGAAAATAAATGTTATTTTTAAAAAAATAATAGAAGAAACAGAAAATTTGTTCACATTACTAGCCAATAGTTAATAAATAAATCATTTGAATATAGAAGACTTGATATATAATTATTAAGTTGAAATAATAGTTATTAAATTTGGATCCTGCCAAAATTTACCTTTCATCCCAAATGTTCTAGGAAAATTTACTATGTATTCAACCATAAAGAAAATATCAATAACTCTACAAAGTGAAACTCATATTAATAAGAACAGTGATTTAAATTTTAAAACCTGACCACTCAGAGTTGAAAACCACACACTTATGGATATTATCTCTTTCATTGTGAGGCACGGGGCGTGGGACACAGTAGACACACCCTATGGGCACGTGTTGAAGACACGGTGTGCCACGCAGTTTTAGAATCACTATGTCATGTAAATAAATCTTCCACACACACCCACGTTTCCCCCAGACTCCACGTTTCCCCCAGACTGACAGATAAGGAACCTGCATGGGTATAGGCACACGTACAGGTCTATCTAAAGAGCTGGCAGTCACACGCCCACCTGACTACAAAGCCTATGACACCTCTCATATTTCTTGCCCCTTTAACAGTAACCATCACATGCCCTTGAAATCCTTTCCCTTCATAAAATTAATAAATAGAAAACAAAATTCATGAATCTGCTACTTAGTCTTTTCCACTGGAGATTTCCATTCCAGTAGAGATTCCTTGATTTTTCAAGAGAAATCTGTGGGCATATATTTATCACCCACACACATATTTATAAATAAAAATTAAAATGAAACTTCATACTGACCTTCATACAGTCTCAATTATGTCAGCTTGGCAAAACCAGATAATAAATATCATTTTGAAACAGGCCAAATAAATCAAACTAATTACCCTCCAATCACATCTCAACTTGGTGTGGTTTAAGACAGAAAAAAATGAATGAAGATATCAGACTAAAATATGAAAATACGATAACATCTGAAATATGATCGCAAAGGATAGCTTTTTCTCCTTGGTGGATACAGACATCACCTTCAACTATTCCTTCCAAATACATGTTCTCCTATTTATTCTTTTTTTTTTTTTTTTTTTTTTTAAAGAAGCACAACTGAAATAAAGAATATACGTAAAAGTCCAAGAAACCAGGGGCTCCTGGGTGGCTCAGTCGGTTAAGCGTCCGACTTCGGCTCAGGTAATAATCTCATGGTTCGTGGGTTTGAGCTCCATGTCGGGCTCTGTGCTGACTGCCAGCTCAGAGCCTAGAGCCTGTTTCAGATTCTGTATCTCCCTCTCTCTCTGACCCTCCCCTGCTCATGCTGTCTCTTTCTCTCTCTCTCAGAAATAAATAAAACATTAAAAAGAAAATTAAAAAAAAAAATGTCCAAGAAACCAAACAGAAAAAGGAAAGGTGCCAAGAATGTACAAATATCCTATGATATTACACAGATTTTTTAAATCTCAAAATCAGAAAGAGATCAATGTTCAGACATTACCTTCCTGGAATCTGATCCGGCTGGGATATAAATATAATGCCCTGAACGAGTATCAAACGGTACAGTACATGGTCTCTTTCCAGGTATCCTGGTGTCTGGCCCATCTCCGCAAGATTCTGTAGCTGAAGCCGTCATTGATAGATTAAGTTTTGCTAGTTCTTCACTCAGCTGATCCATAAGAAGTTGTTGTTCTATTATTTTTTCATTCTTGGTAGAAGAGAGATGAACATTTTTAAAATAGAGAACCCCAGTGTGTAATGATTAAAAATAAACTGTACATTGCCCAAAATCATGACTACCTTAACAGAACCATAAAACCTCACTGCTCCACAGACTAGCTTTCTGGTGTTCACCTAATGGTTCTGAGTGGTAAAAACTTTTGAATAGTAAGCAGTGACAGTGACTGAAGGATTAAATACTCAAAGAAAATGCCCCATACACTGTGACTGGTTGGTTTGCCAACCTGAAGCACTCTGATTAGCTGATCTTTATAAACGTCTGGCTTTCCTGAGTGAAATCCAAGCAGTACAGTAGAGAAGAAAGTTGGAAAGTAGAGAAAGAACTACAAATGGCAGAGGTGCCCACAAAGGAGACTAAGTGGTAACAGGTGCAGGGAAGTGAAAGCCTTTACTCAGGGCAAAAGAAAGCCTCATGCACAAAGAGATAAAAGATAGGTAGCTGGTAGTCCTGGGAGGGAAACGAACTGGAAAGCAAAGGCTGAACAGACTGTGTATCGTGTGTGTGTGTGTGTGTGTGTGTGTGTGTGTGTGTTAGCTTTCTATGTATCTTCTAGAGAAACTTTTGTCAACTATATCCAATCCAGAGAGCTCTAATATCAATCTCTGTTTTATCAGCACAAAATTATGTAAACAAGAAACTCTCATTCATCTTTATACTTCACATATACTACAATGTTTAAATAGGAAAAAACCCCAAAAGTTTCACATGCTAAGCTATAAAAAAGCAACCGTATTAAAAATTCATATATTCAGATAATTAAAATATATGTCAAGGGCATATAAGCTGATGTAGGGGGTGGGATATGGAGTCTTTACACTGTCTGGGAGAGGGTGAAAATACCAATAATATGATTAGGCTTATTAAATCAAAAGTGCATGGTACACTCTCCAGGATAACCACCAATAACTAAAAGAATACAAGTACAACACCTAAGCTAATGAAGTAAAAATAGAAAAATTAAAAATACACAGTTAATCCAAAAAAAGATAAAGAGAGAAAAAGGAACACAGAGCAGCAGGATAAGTAAAAACCAAAATGGTGGGATTATAACCAAAATATGTATGGAATTATGTTAAATTCATAAATGAACTAAGTAATCCAATTAAAAGATTAGATCAGAGGGGATTATAAAATTATCTAACTTGCTGCTTCCAAGAAACACAACTAAAATAAACCCATGAAGATTAAAAATAAGATGGAAAAAGAAGGGTGCCTGGGTGGTTCAGTGGTTAAGCATCTGACTTCAGCTCAGGTCATGATTTTGCAGTCTGGGAGTTTGAGCCCCGCTGGGCTCAGTGCTGACAGCTCAGAGCCTGGAGCCTGTTTTAGATTCTGTGTCTCCCCATCTCTCTCTGTCCCTCCCCAACTCATGCTCTGTCTCTCTTGCTCTCAAACATATATAAAACATAAAAAAAAAAAGATGGGTAAAGAGACACCATGTAATATTAATCAAAAGAAAGCTGGTAGAGCTATGTGAATACCGAAGTAGACTTTAAGGCAAAAACTACTGGAAGAGGTAAAAAAGTATTAAAAAGGTCAATTCACTCAGCATAACACCCTCAAGGTCCATCCATGTTGCTACACATGGCCAGATTTCATTGTTTCTCATTGCCATGTAGTATTCCATGGTATAGATAAACCACATCTTCTTGATCCATTCATCTGTTGAGGGTGTTATGCTGAGCGAAATAAGTCAGGCAGAGAAGGACAAATATCACATGTTTGCACGTATAGGAGGATTAGGAGGAACTTGACGGAGGAACAAGGGAGAGAAGAAGGGCGGAAATGGTGGGGGAAAGGGAGAGAGGCAAACCATGAGAGACTCTTGAATGCTGACAAAAACTGAGGACTGATGGATGGGGGGGGGGGGGGGGGATGGGCATGGAGGAGGACACTTGTGGGGATGAGCACTGAGTGTTATGTGGAAACTAATTTGACAATAAACTATTTGTAAAAAAAAAAGGTCAATTCACCAGGATGATGTAACAATCATCATTTCTATGTACTTAGTAACACAGCTTCAATATGTATAATGCAAAAATTGTTAGTACTGGGACACCGGGGTGGCTCAGTCAATTAAGCATCTGATCTCACAGTTTTTGAGTTCAAACCTTCCATCCGGCTCTGTGCTGAAAGCTCAGAGCCTGCTTAAGATTCTCTATCTCCTTCTCTCTCTCTCTGCCTCCCCTGCTCGCACATCCTCTCTAAGATAAATAAATAAAACATTTAAAAAATTGTTAGTACTTCATGGAGAAGACAGATCCAAAATTGTAGCAAGAGATTATAACATCACTCTAAATTACTGATATAACAAAAAAGACCCCAAAAATGAACAAAAATATAGATATGATTAACAAGATTAACAGCACCCAATAATTACAGAATACACATTCCTTTTAAGTATATCTGTAATATCTACAAAAATTGGCCTTATGCTGAGCTATGACGCAAGTTTCAATACAGTCAAAGGACTGAAATCACATGGACCACATGCAATTAAGCCAAAAATTCATAAAAAGAAACCTTCCATGTGTTGGAAATAAAGTAACCATATTACCCATACGTCAAAGAAAAAAGTCATAATAAAAATAAGGAAATATTTTGAGCAGGTAAACTTAGGAAGAAATCTGTAACTTCAACTGCACGTGTTATAAAAGAAGGAAAGTTAAAAAATCAATGAACTAAGAATCCTTCTAAAGAATCTAGGAAGATTACCAGCAATGAAATTGAATCAGGAATCAAAAAATCCCCAAGAAACAAAAAGTCCAGGACCAGACAGTTTGACAGATGAATTGACCAAACACTTAAAGAATAATTCTTCTCAAACTATTCCAAAAAATACAAGAGGAAGGAAAACTTCCAAATTCATTCTATCATGCCCAGTTTTACCCTGATCCAAAATCAGATAAAGACACCACAAAAAGAGACTACAGTCTAATATCTCTCACAAATATAGATGCAAAAATCCTCAACAAAATACCAGCAAACCGAATCCAACAATACTTTAAAAAAAAATTCCTTCCACACAATCAAGTGTGATTTACTCCTTGGGATGCAAGGGAGGTTCAGTATTCACAAATCAATCAGTGTGATACATCACCTCAATACAGAAAGGATAAAAACCATATGATCATTTCAGTAGATGCAGAAAAAGCATTTGACAAAGTACAATATCCATTTATGAGAGAAACCTTCAATAAAGTAGGTTTAAAGGGAACATACCTAAATGTAATCAATACTTTAGATGACAAACTCACAGACAACATCATATTCATGGGAAAAACTGAGAGCTATAGGTTAGGAACAAGACAAGAATGTCTACTCTTACCACCTTTTTAAAAAAAGTTTATTTATTTTGAGAGGGAATGAGAGAGAGAGCAAGGGAGGGAGGGGCAGACAGAGAGGGAGAAAGAGAATCCCAAGTAGGCTCTACACTGTCAGCGTGGAGCCCGATGTGAGGCTTGAACTCACCAACTGAGTGATCGTAACCTTAGCTGAAATCAAGAGTTGGATGCTCAATTGACTGAGCCACCCAGGTACCCACCAATTTTTTAAAAAATATTTATTTTGAGAGAGAGACAGAGAGACAGAGAGAGAGAGAGAGAAGAGGTAGAGAGAAGAGTTAGAGAGAGAGGGGGACAGAGGGAATCTCAAGCAGGCTACCGTCAGCACAGAGCCAGATGCAGGGCTTGTAAACCGTGAGATCATGACCTGAGATGAAACCAAGAGTTGGATGCTTAACTGACTGAGCCACCCAGGCTCCCCTCGCTCTTAGCACTTTTATGTACTGGAAGTCCTAGCCACAGCAATCAGACAACCAAAAGAAATCAAAGGTATCCAAATTGGTAAAGAAGAAGTAAAACTCTCACTATTTGCAGAGGACATGATACTATACATAGAAAATGCTAAACACTCCACCAAAAAACTACTAGAACTGATCAATGAATTCAGTGGTCGCCAGATACAAAATCAAAGTTCAGAAATCTGTTGCATTCCTATACATTAATTATGAAGAAGAAATAAAATTAAATAATCCCATATACAATTGAACCAAAAATAATAAAATATCTAGGAATAAACCTAAACAAAGAGGTGAAAGACTTGTATAGATGAAAACTATAAAATATTGATGAAAGAAATTGAAGACAACACAAAGAAATGGAAAGACACTCCATGCTTATGGACTGGAAGAACAAATACTGTTAAAATGTATATACTACCCAAAGCAATCTACACATTGAATGTAACCCCTATCAAGATATTCACCAGGATTTTTCACAGAACTAGAACAAACAATCTTAAAATCTGTATGGAACCACAGAAGACCCTGAATAGCCAAAGCAATCTTGAAAAAGAAAAACAAAACTGGAGGCATCACAATTCCCAAGTTATATCACAAACTAGCAATTAAAACAGTATGGTACTGACACAAAAACAGACACATAGATCAACAAAACAGAACAGAAACCCCATAAACCCACAATTGTATGGTCAAAATCTTCAACAAAGGAGGAAAGAATATGCATGAAAAAGACAGTCTCTTTGATAAAGTGTTGGGAAAACTGGACAGCTACATGCAAAAGAATGAAACTGGACCTCTTTCTTTCATCATACACAAAAATCAGTTCAAAGTGGATTGAAAGCTTACAAGTGAGACTGGAAGCCATAAATATCCCTGAAGAGAGCATAAACTGTAATCTCTCTGACCCTGGCCATTAGCAACTTCTTACTAGGTATATCTCCGGAGACAAGGGAAACAAAAGCAAAAATAAACTCCTGGGACTATATCAAGATAAAAAGATTCTATACAGTGATGGAAATAACCAACAAAACTAAAAAGCAACCTACTGGATGAGAGAAGATATTTGCAAGTGATATACCCAATAAGGGATTAGTATGCAAAGTATGTAAAGAAGTGATACAATTCAACACCAAAAAACCACAAATAATCCAATTAAACAATGCGCAGAAGACATACAGATGGCCAACACACACATGAAAATTTGCTCAACATCTCTCATCATGAGGGAAATGTAAATCACAACTGCAATGAGATCCCACCTCATACCTGTCAGAAAGGCTAAAATCAACAACACAAGAAGCAACAGGTATTAGGGAGGATGTGGAGAAAAAGGAACCTTCTAGCACTACCGGTGGGAATGCAAGTTGGTGCAGCCACTGTGGAAAATAATATGGAGGTTCCTTAAAACATTAAAAGTAAAACTACCCTAGGATCCAGTAATTGTAACCCAAAATACAAAAACACTAATTCAAAGGGATACATACACCCTTATGTTTATAACAGCATTATTTTTTAAACGTTATTTATTTGTTTGTTTTGTTCAAATACAAGTTAGTTTCTTCAAAAGTAGAATTTAGTAATTCATCACTTACATATAAAACCCAAAGCTTATCCCAACAAGTGCCCTCCTTAATGCCCATCACCCATTTAGCCCATCCTCCAACCCAACACCCCACCAGCAACCTTCAGTTTGTTCTCTGTATTTAAGAGTCTCTTATGGCTTGGAGCGCCTGGGTGGCTCAGTCGGTTAAGTGTCCGACTTCAGCTCAGGTCATGATCCCACAGTTAATAGGTTCGAGCCCCGCATCGGGCTCTGTGCTGACAGCTCAGAGCCTGGAGCCTGTTTCAGATTCTGTGTCTCCCTCTCTCTCTGACCCTCCCCTGCTTGTGCGCACTCTCTCTCTCAGAAATAAATAAAACATTTAAAAATTTTTTAAAATAAGTCTCTTATGGCCTGACTCCCTTTCTGTTTTTACCTTATTTTTCTTTTCCTTCCCCTTGTTTGTTCTGTTTCTTAAATTTCACTTATGAGTGAAATCGTATGATACTTGCCTTTCTCTGACTATTTCGCTTAGTATAATACATTCTAGTTCCACCCACACTGTTGCAAATGGCAAGATTTCATTCTTTTTGACTGCTGAGTAATATACCATGGTGTGTGTGTGTGTGTGTGTGTGTAATCTGGCTATTGTTGATAGTGCTAGCAGCAGTATTTACAAAAGCCAAGATATGGAAACAGTCCCACCAATAAATGAATGGGTAAAGAAAATGTGGTGTGTGTATATATATATATATATTATGAATATTATTCATCCATAAAAAGAATGAAATCCTGCCTTTTGCAAGGACAAAAATGGATCTAGAGACTATAATGCCAAATGAAATAAGTCAGAGAAATACAAATACTATATGATTTCACTCATATGTGGAATTTAAGACATAAAATAAACAAGCAAAGGAAATTTTTAAAAGAGAGAGAAAGACAAACCAAGAAACACTCTTAGCTATAAACAACAAACTGAAGGTTACCAGAGGAGAGGTGGGTGGGGAGTTGGGTGAAATAGGTAAAGGGAATTAAGAGTACGCTTACCATGATTAGCACTGAGTAATGTATAAAATTGTTGAATCACTATATTGTACACATATAAAACTGTATGTTAACTACACTGGGATTAGAATTAAAAACTTTTTAAAAAGCCAAAACTTTCAGAGATTTAAGAAAATTAACAGCAACAAACATTGGTAAGCCAATGTGGAGCAAGAGGCGTACTCACAGAGTACTGGTGTGAGTGTAAACTGGAAAAAGAGTTGGATATTTGTTAAAGTTGGAGATTCAACTTCCCTATGACCTAGCAATCCAACTCCCAGGCACAAATCCAAAAGAAACGTGTGTGCGTGTGCACCAAGAGACACGTAGGAGAAAATCTCCATCACAGTAAGACTGAGTAATGTACAGAATTGTTGAATCACTATACTGGACTTTCAGGTGAAACTAATATAACACTTAATTATACTGGAATTAAGGGGGAAAAAAAAAAGTGGGGGGGGGGGCGCCTGGCTGGCTCAGTCAGTAGAGCACACAGCTCTTGACCTTGGGATTGTGAGTTCAAGTCCCACATTGGGTGCAGAGAGTACTTAAAAAATAAAATCTAAAAAAAAAAAACAAAGAAAATAAAATAAAGAAAATGTCCATCACCAAAAAAAGTCCACCAACAGAAGAACAGAAACACAAATTGCAATATATTCATACCGTGAAATCCTATATGGCTATAAACCTAAACAGGCTACAGTTATATACATCATGGGTGAACCGGAACAAAAAAACACATTCACTAAAAGCAACTAGATACTAAAGAATATGTATACTGAATGATTAAATTTCTTAAGATTCCAACAAGTAAACTGTAGTGTTCAAGGATATAGAGTAAAACCACAAAGCAAACCAGGAAAGCGATACTATGACGTGAGGAGAGCGCCGCTCTCTGAGCAGGATGAACGAAGGACTTCTCAGGGGCTGACGGTTAACTAGTGTTTGACAGTTTACTATGTACCAGCTGGTTACCCAGCTGCTCTCTCTGTGATATAACACTGCATGGTGCATTTTGTTTTGTTTATGTTTTATGTTTTTAAACTATTATAGAATGAGAAGAGTTAAAAAAGGAAATAAAAATGAAATGTCAAAATCAAAATCTAACTTGTGCTGGATCAGGTTATTCCTCCATAATAGGAACCTAAATCTATTTAAAGGCTTTAAATGAAATTAACTGTTTGGGGCTGCGGGAGGTAACGGGGATGGGGGTGAGGGTGTTCACAGCCAGGAAGTATAATATTTAGGGACACACACACCACATTCCAGGCAGGCATATCCATGTTAATAAGAGGGAGGCTAAGCTAGAAAAGTGGAAAGATTTAACCAAAGTTAAAGAGCAAATCACTGGTAGAGTATAAAAGGATTATCTAATAAATCTTAAAGTATGTGTTTACTTTCCAACTCTTAACATCATGTTGCCTATTTCGGTGGCAAACAACAGAATGGAAAAACATGGAGAAAAGGTAACCATAATATGATATGCAAATTAAGTTTTTGTGTATCATCTTCATATTTGTGAAAAATAAGTCAGGCTAACAGTAAAAATGTTATCTCCTTATACTGATTTAGGGGGAAATTGTAATAAGTCTTTTAGTTGCCCGGGTTCAGAACTCTTCAACTGAAACCTATTTTTGTAGACACTCCCGTTTATCATTCAAAAAGCTATTCTGGGGGTGCCCGGGTGACTCAGCCGATTAAGCATCTGACTCTTGATTTCAGCTCACAGCTCATGAGATCAAGCCCTGCATCAGGCTCTGCACTGAAAGTGTGGAGACTTTTTGGGATTCTCTCTCTGTCTCTCTCTCTCTCTCTCTGCCCCTCCCCTGCTTTCTCTCCCTCCCTCCCTCTCTCTCTCTCAAACAAATAACGTTAAAATGCTATTCTGTTTAGCCAAGTACTATTTTAACTAAATCTACAGCACTAGATAGGTCAAGAAACTCTACCTGCAATCTATTCACTTTTTGTGCTTCTTTCAAAGATACCATGTGTCCTTTGTTTTCCTGGACCATCATTTGCACTTGATTCTTCAGTTCCTTCACCTCCAGTTCCTTCTGATTAAATACAGCTTCATCAGCAGCCAGTGCACACTGGGAAAAGGGAGAAAAAGCACAAGAGATTCACCACGAAAAATACTCAAAAGAGCCCAGAAAATACCACAAAACTGGGATTTCATGATGGTTTGACAATGTCTCTTGAAATTTTTCTCATCCTATTCACTTTCAACTTTTTTTGTTTTCTGTATGAGAAAGGCAGAAACAATTCAGGGACCTGTCATTGCTATAACCTAAGAACTAATTACCATAAAGACAGGCTTTCCCAGGTTTTATTTCCTGAATTTTAGAACAAAAAAACAGTTACTCGGTTTCTAGATTACATTCAAGAGGATTTATTTTACTTTTACAAGTTTGCTAGAATTGCCATGAGCTTTTTTTTTTTCTTTTTTTGCCATGAGACTTTTACTGTGGGTTTTTAAAAATCACATTTCCCAAACTGACCTAGAGAGTTAAGAACACATTTGGATCTTTTAAATGAAGAATATTTGGTAATTAAAAAAATTTTTTAATGTTTATTTTTGAGAGACAGACAGAGCACAAGAGGAGGAGGGGTAGAAAGAGAGGGAAATACAGAATTCAAAGCAGGCTCCAGGCTCTGAGCTGTGAGCATAGAGCCCAGTGTGGGGCGCAAACTCACAAACCATGAGATCATGACCTGAGCTGAAGTTGGACACTTAACTGACTGAGCCATTCAGGCAGCCTTAGTATTTGATAATTTTATACACTTTCACTATGAAGAGAAATTTGAAGATATCTAAAAATACGGTTAAACAGTTTTCTTAATTTCTAGTGAATTATGCCTGTTTTCAAATAAACTTGAGATATACAAATAATACTTTTAAAAACAATTTTTAAATTAAATAAACTGAAAGAAATTTAACATCTGTCAAGTGTATTTTATGCTAGGGGCACCTGGGTGGCTCAGTTGGTTAAGCATCCGACTCTTGATTTCAGCTCAGGTCATGGTCTCATAGTTCATAAGATCGAGCCCCATGTCGGGGTCTGCACTAAAAGTGCAGAATTCTACTTGAGTTTCTCTCTCTGCCCCTCCCTCTCTCTCTCAAAATAAATAAATAAAAACTTTTTTAACAAGTGTATTTTATGCTAGTGACTTGACATTTTGAAAATATCTCACTGAGCAGACATAATTCCTTTTTCATGAAGAAATCAAGAGATTAAAACCTTTGCCCAAGATGACACAGTAGATAAACCAAACTCCTGACCTTCAACCCGAGGGCCTTTCTGGATCAAAGCCCATGTTCTTTCTACTAAGCTATAGGAAAAGACAAGAACAAGTAGCTGATGTACAAAAATAGTGTTCACTTTACAAATAAGATTTAATTCACAAAAACAGGGTATGTACGTTACTACTCCTGCAATGGCCTAGGGATAGATGAGCCCCTGTGCAGAGAATCCACAGACAAAGGCAAAGGCCAGCCTTGATTTGTCACAGCCTCACAGCAGTGCTCAGGGCAAGTCCCTTCTTTTCTCTGCTTGGGATCCTCAAGTGACCAAATGAGGAGAAGACACATGACCCAGATGGTCCTTATTTTCATGTTTACATATGACCTATGTGACTTCTTTCATAAAATAAGATTAAACTGTAATTCTCGTTGGTTAATATCCTTTCCCTTGGTAAATTGTTCATTTGAGCTTAAAATGTAATTTGTCACCTAGTACTGCATGTTCAACTATTTTTACATATGCTTTATAGACTACAACTATATTATTTGTTATTTATTTCAAAGTGTTTAACTGTTGAGTAAACTCATGTTCACGTACTGCTCTTGTATTCAAAATATGGAACAAAAAGGCAACCAAATCCTTTAAGAGGTGTTTATTAGGGGATGGACTAATGGCAAAAACCAAGGATGACAACGCTATCTGACACAGGAGTGCCTGAGAACACTACCTGGCTCAGTGGGTTAAGTGTCCAACTTGGCTCAGGTTCTCACGGCTCATGAGTTCAAGCCCCACATCGGGCTATCTGCTGTCAGCGCAGAGCCCACTTCAGATCCTGTCTCCCTCTCTCTCTGCTCCTCCCCAGTGTGCGCTTCTCTCTCTGTCTCAAAAATAAACATTAACAAAATTTAAAAAAAAAAAAAAAAAAAAAACACTACCAGAGAGCATCTAACAAGGAGGAGATGATGAACTTAAAAGTGACACTTCCCTAATGAAAATCTGGTGGTAATTCTACCTGTGAGATGGCCCACAATCTCCTCTTGGCTAGGAATTTTGTTTTTAAGTACTTATCTTGTGTAATAGGCTCAAGGAAGCATGGCTGAGCAAAAAGAATGTCCATGCCTCTCCCTGCACAGACCTGCTGTCTTGCTAGACAGTTTATCAAGCTGACTTCACTGTAACCCCTGGCATGTGGCCCCACGTACAACTACTAAGTCCCATCACTTAGCTGCCACTGACACATAACCTCAGCACAGATAGGTAAAAAGTAAATGAGAAGAGGTAATAATAAGCTGCCTTTTATTGAGCCTTACTCCAGGCCAGGCAGCCTTCTCATCATTTTATGGGAACTAGTGTTTTAATAACCTTCACAATCTTCACCCTACAAGGTGCTTGTTATTATTGTTCCTATTTTCCAGACAGGGAAACAAACACAGAAAGGTTAAGTATTTTCCCAAGGTCACAGAGCAAGTAAGCAGAGGAATTGGGATTCATATCTTGGGAGTTTGGTACCAATGTTCTTAAATACAATGTTATTCTGTCTCAAACAGGAAAGGAAGTCTAGAAAACAACTTTTTAAGGAGACATACAGGTGATGGGGCACCTGGGTGGATTAGTCGGTTAAGCGTCCGACTTTCGCTTAGGTCATGATCTCGCGGTTCGTGGGTTCGAGCCCCACGTCAGGCTCTGTGCTGACTGCCAGCTCAGAGCCTGGAGCCTATTTCATTCAGAGTCCGTGTCTCCCTCTCTCTCTGACCCTCCCCCGCTCACGCTGTCTCTCTCTCACCTAGAAATAAATTAAAAAAAAAAAAAAGACATACAGGTGAGGAATGACAGCCATCATTTCTCTGTTTGCTATTTAGTGGTATCCAAGAGTACTACTCCTTCAAGACTGCAGAACAAAAAAAAAATCTATTTTTTAATTGGGAAATACTGAATATTATATCTTTCACATTGAGATTAATAACATACACCAGCACTTTGAAAGTTCTGAGAAGTCTTGGGATTTTTGCAGTCTAGCATTCCCCAAAACCATCTGATCACGGTGTCTTTTTTCATCAAAACTGTTAATTTCTTTGGGAAATCTTAATCTAGACATAATAGAGAGCAAGTTTAATTCAGAGTTTCCAACAGATGGAGAGAAAAACTTACCACCCACCCCCATCCTCCACCAGGGGGTTTTATGGGCTTCCATTTCAGGCACCTTAGAAGGATGAAATGCTCCCTACTGTCAACTCCTAAAGTGTTCCAAAGTTCAAGCTTCCCATCAACCATATTTCCTGTTCTGCCAGGTTCTTATACCAAAGAGGAAGGATCAGGCCTGCTCTATTATGAAGAAGGTAGGGCAGAATTACTGCTTTAAAAAAAAAAAATTCCTGATTTTTGGGGAACCTGGATGGTGCAGTCAGTACATCATGCAACTCTTGCTCTCAGGGTCATGAGTTCAAGTCTCCTGTTGGGGATAGATTACTTAAAATAAAAATTTTAAAATCTATTATTTTAAAGTTATTACTTTAAACACTTATATTTAAATATCAGGAAGCAGGCTCCAGGCTCTGAGCTGTCAGCACAGAGCCCAATGTGGGGCCCAAAGTCATGAACCATGAGATCATGACCTGAGCCGGAGTCGCATGCTTAACTGAATGAGCCACCTAGGTCCCCATCAGGCATCCAAGTCTTGATTCTCTCTCTCTCCCTCTTTCTTTCTGTCCCTTGATTGGAAGATGTACACAATTTAGTAAACAAATATTTTCCAAGTGATCAATGGATGATGATTCAAAATCATGTGGATGAAAGATCCATTCAAGGTAGAAAATAAAGGGAAACCTGGGTGGCTCAGGCAGTTAAACAACTGACTCTTGACTTCTACTCAGGTCACACTCTCACAGTTGTGAGATAGAGCCCTGTGACAGGCTCTGTGCTGGGCATGGAGGCTGCTTGAGATTCTCTCTCTCTGTCTCCCACTGACCCTGATCCTGCTTGCGTATGCACGCGTTCTTTCTCTCTCTCTTAAAAAAAAAAATACAGGGGCACCTGGGTGGCTCAGTCAGTTAAGCGTCTGACTTTGGCTCGGGTCATGATCTTGCTGTTTGTGGGTTCGAGCCCCGCATGGAGCTCTGTGCTGACAGCTCAGAGCCTGGGGCCTCCTTCAGATTCTGTGTCTCTCTCTCTCTCTCTCTGACCCTCCCCTGCTCTCTCTCTCTCAGAAATAAATAAAACATTAAAAAATTTTTTTTAAAAAGTACAAATAAAAATGTTAATGTATAGATCTTAACGTAACAAAAATAGTTTCAAATCCCACGTCGCAAGTAACCTTTACAATGCCGCTACTTGTTGAGTTTTGGTGCAATAACAAAGAAGAATATCCATAATTATCTGGAAAAAAAACATTAACATATTCCTCCTTTCCAACTGCAAATCTAAACGTACTTCAACTAAAACATATTGCAACAAAAATGCCGAAGCAGATATGAAAATCCACCTGTCTTCTATCTATCAAGCTGTGCATTAAAAGAGATTTGCAAAAATGTAAAACAATTCCACTTTTATTAATTTTTTGTATTTGGAAAATAGTTATTTTTTCATGAAAAAAAGTTTTTTATATACCATGTCATTGGGTTATTATTCTGAGTGAATTAATAGCTTAAATTTTTGTGTTTTAATTCTAATATGGTAAATATCAATAGCTACAACCCGTATAAACAAAAGCTCTTTAGGGGACCTCAATTTTAAAACTATTAAAAAAACCTTGTGTGGGTGCCTGGGTGGCTCAGTCCGGTAAGTGTCTGACTTCACCAGTCAGAGAAAGACAGATACCATATGTTTTCACTCCTAAGTGGATCTTGAGAAACTTAGAAGACCATGGGGGTGGGGAAGGGGGAAAAAAAGTTACAAACAGAAAGGGAGGGAGGCAAACCATAAGAGACTCTTGGATACAGAGAACAAACTGAAGGTTGATGGGGGTGGGGGAGAGGGGAAAATGGGTGATGGGCATGGAGGAGGGCACTTGTTGGGATGAGCACTGAGTATTGTATGGAAGCCAATTTGACAAATTATATTCTAAAAGAATAATAAAATTTAAAAAATAAATGTCTTAATCAAAAAGAAAGCATCTGACTTCAACTCATCTTCCGGTTTGTGGGTTCGAGGCCTGCATCGGGCCCTCTGCTAGCAGTGCAGTGCTGTCAGGACCACTTCAAATCCTCTGCCTCTCTCTCTGCCCCTCCCCTACTCGTGCTCTCTCTCTCTCAAAAATAAATAAATATTTTTTTAAAAAAACTTGTGAACAAAAAAAGTTCAAGAACTGCTGCAATAGAGGTTTCCTTCTAATACATATAAAGAGGTACAGAGGAAAGATTTCTACCTAGAAAGCTATGTTTTCCTATTCTTAAAAACTGGCCAGATATCCACTTGCCCAACAGACTGCAAATTCTGTGTAAGCAGAACCAGGTACATCTTGTTTTCCATGATTTCCCCAGGTACACGAAACCTTCACATTTTTTAACGGAAAGTGACAAATGTATTTCAGAACTCAATGTACATATATGTAACATACGCATGTTACATACCTACATCCCTTAAATACTGTCACATACAATAATTTGTTTAAAGAAAAAAATCAACATTCTGGAATGCTTGGGTGGCTCAGTAGGCACTTAAGCCTCTGATTCTTGACTTCAGCTCAGGTTATGATCTCACAGTGCATGGGTTTGAACCCTATACCAGGCTCCACACTGACAGCACGGAGCCAGCTTGGGATTCTCTCTCTCCCTCTTTCGCTGTCCCTCCCCCGCTTGTACTGTCTCTCTCAAAATAAATAAATAAACTTTTTAAAAAAATCAACATTCCATATTCAAGGGGGAAATTTTTTTTTTCTCCTTCAAGAACCACTGACCCAAAGAGGCATAAAAACTTAATAAAGTACTTCATTTTGTTTCTGAAACTGTGTTTCTCTTCATCCTCTAAATTAATGACCTGGTCCCCAAGATTCTACCTCATAAATGTAACAAGTTAAAATACTGAAAGAGAGGGGCACGTGGGTGGCTATTAGTTAAGCCTCTGACTCTTGGCTTTGGCTCAGGTCATGGTCTTGAGTTTCCTCAGCTGGAGCCCCGCTCTGGGCTGACAGTATGGAGCCTGCTTGCGATTCTCTCTCTGCCCCTCCCCCACTTGCTCTCTCTGGCTCTCTCAAAACGAATAAACTTAAAGAAATTTTTTTACTATTAAAAGAGACCGGAGAAGGAGCTGAAAAGGGGGTGAATTATGAGGACAAAGCAGTAGGAAAAGGGAAAAAGACTGAGCCAAGGCAAATGAGAATTTACATATAATCCTTTTAAAAAACTTCTGGAATTCCAAAATGACCCTTGCCCAAATAAAGAGTCCTTAACCAAGATGCTAATGGAAGCGGTGTCTGCATACCTGGCATTTCTTGAGCTCTCGCTTCAGCTGGAGAACTGTCACATGCTGCGGTCCTTCTTCCAGCGTGCCGACGCCATGGCTCCCTCTGAATGAGCTGAACACCGCCTTCTTGACCTCCTGGGTCATGTTAAACCACTCCTGCAGTTTGTATTGCTGCTTTTGGTTCAGTCTGACAGCACTCTTTAAGTTCACCAAGAAGGTGAAGGCTTCCTCTACACAGTTTTGGTAACTTAGACACTCTCCTTGTAGCTGAGCTACCTGTTCCTCAAGATAACGGATCCTGTTTTTATCAGGAGTCCCCTCTTGATGGACCTGGGTGGTCTGGCTGATGCTATCCTGCTGGCTCTGCAGAGCTTCTCGAAGCAACTTGATTTCAAATTCCATTTCGTCCATACGGTCAGACTCGGGGCTGAAGTTTAAGGTGGGTTTGTTTCTAATGTTGCGTGCTCTGTTGGCATATTTGAGGGAGTTTAAGGACTCGTCAAAATCTGAGGAGGACGGGCTGACGCAAGTGATCATGACAGTCTTGGCACTGCCTCCCAAGGAATCTTTCAGAAGCCGGGTAATTTTAGCATCTCTATACGGAATATGTGAGCTCTTCCTGCGCGGGTCCCCAAGGGCGCTGATGACGTTTCCTAAGGCCAACAGCCCACTGTTGATCTGAATGGATTCTTTGAACCGTTCACCAGTATTCCCGGTTTTGGTTGCTCTTTCTGAGCCAGCCAAATCCACAAAGTGAAACTTTGAAACAATGTGCCGACGGGAATACCACGATCCATCTTCCGCTGCGTCTGTATTTTTCTCTACTTGACAAACGCTGATTGTAAAAATCGCATGTGATCTACTGGAGTGCTCGTTCATTTGCGTGGTACCTGTATGCCTGGCCGCATTCCCCATCTCCAGGAGACTCATCACCTCATCTGCATTCTCCACGTGGCATTCCTTGGCCCCAACAATCACTTAAAATAGCAACAGCAAGTTTTAAACCAAATTTTAATCAAAGCCCAGTATAGTTAAATTAACCACACAACAGTTATTATTTGCTGAACTGCCCATGCTAAGAAAGTCTCTTAAAAAATCAACAGCATTTCACACAACCGTGACAGCAATATCACTAAGTAATTTTAGATACTCTCCCAAAGGAACTTTTTTAATGACAGCACTCATTTTGATACTTAAATTCTAAAAAGGTTTCTTTGGGGTCACACATCACACTCAATTCTTTAAGATGACTGACAAAATCTTTAATCCAATATTTTGACTTACAGAGTCTAACAGTTTAAAAACAATAGATTAATTAAATATAACTCAAAAGAATTAAAAGAAATCCGTTTCTTTTGAGTTTTCAAACCATCCTTACATTTAAGGTTTCTGGTATAGTGTGGTCATAACCAATGATAAATGAAAATTTCAGTTTAAATAAAATTGGTTACGCATTTTAAAAATAAGTATATCGTACATGGTATCAGAGTACAAGATAAACAAACGTGATGGCAATTCACAAAAAGCAAAAAAGTTTCTATTTCTATAACAGCAAAATAAGAGCCAAAAATAAACTAAAGCTTACTACCCACTTTAGTTGTTTATATTCAAGCACATTTCAAAAAGAAGGTGGATTTGGGCTTTGAATCAGAGCTGTAAAGCTCTTGATTCTGTGCCTGAATTACAGAGCCATGTTTCCTCTTTATTCAGATCCTGTTATATCACTGTTTCCTTGAAAAATTATCATTTTGCTTTTATTATATCCATCATGATACCTTTCTTAACAACCTTGTTCATTTAAAGTTCTAAAGTACCTATACTACAATCAGGGAATGCTAACATATCAGCAACTCTAAAGTATGACAATGTAACTGTAAATCAAAGGATAACTTTCATGAATTTTTTTTAATGTTAGGCTACAGCTTAACACTATCCATGGTCCTTAAACCCAGCCGCAAATCATCTGGAAGCTTTATAAAAGAGAAAGTACCAATGCCCGGGCCCGATCAGACAAATTCATCAGAATTTCTGAAAGGCTGGGCCCAGAAATCAATACTCTTAAAAAGCTTCCACGGTGATACTAATTGTGCAGGATCCAGGTTGGATGCCAACCAGTGCTTCACACGGAGAAACTAAGGAAGTATGTCAAACACATTTTGGTTGTGAGTGAGTTCATTATATAAAACATATGGCAATTTGTCTAAAGAGCATTTGTTATATCTTTCCAAAACTTCTACAGGATTGGTAACAGCTATGAAGTTTATCAGAAGTGATAATGTATACTTCTGCATTATTAAACTATTTTACAATAAACATGTATTATTTTTGCACCTTGATTTTAAGAAAAAATAAAAATATTCAATAATTACATTATATGATACAGAAGCTCAAAACACTGTCCCGATTCTGTCCAGAAAAGATAAACTATACTGCATTATCTAATAAGACCATAAACTACCATGTACATTTTCTTTCTAAAAGAAAACAAAACAAAAAGCAATTTCTTTAAACATTCAGGAATGTCAGGGCTGCCAAGCCAGGGCTAAAAAAGGCAACAAATTTCACTGCCCCCTGCAGGCAATCTGAACGATCCTACTTTGCTAACTGCTAGGAATTTCCCTCAAGGAGTCACTTTTCTCCAAGAAGGTTCTACCTAAGTATCCTTTCTAAGAGAGAAACACATCCCAATCATTTTTGTTAATAATAATGAAACTCTGGAAACCGCTTAAATGTCCAACAATGGAATATTAAAGTATAATACATTTAGAAGACAAATTACCACATGACCATGAAGAGTCATTAAGTTTGAGAAATATTTAACAATGTGTGAAAATGCTCACAATATAAGTATTACATGAAAAAATAAGATGCAGTGTTATACACAGGGTTACAAGTATATTTAAAAAAAATTACACATGCATGGGAAAAGAAATCTGGAAGGAAACACACCAAAATCAGAAGATGCTCTTTCTGGATTCTGGGATTAAAGATGATCTTTAACTTTTTTCCATAAACTTTTTCTATGTTTTCAAAATGTTCTATGTTGAACATACAACCCTTTAAATCAGAAAAGCAGTAAGTGTTATTCTTTAAAATACTTTTATTTTGGGATGCCTGGGTGGCTCAGTCAGTTAAGGGTCCGACTGGCTCAGGTCATGATCTCACGGTTCGTGGGTTTGAGCCCCGCGTCAGGCTCTGTGCTGACTGCCAGCTTGGAGCCTGGAGCCTGCTTCACATTCTATGTGTCTCTCTCTCTCTGACCCTCCTCTGCTCATGCTGTCTCTCTCTCGCTCAGAAATAAATAAAACATTAAAAAAACAAAATAAAATAATACTTTTATTTTGACCCTTTCTAACCTTCTCCCATTTCCTAACAAATAGATATTTAATGAGATTAACAAGTTGTTAGCACAGAAAGTCAGATCTTGAAAAATACAACAAAGTACAGGACAAAATCAAAGAGGAAGAAAGGAGAATTCTGGATCAACTTAGACAAACACGATTAGACAAACACCAATGGAAGAAGCTATCTCCAGTCTGGAAGAAACTCTGGGAGGAAGAACAAAAAGTACAAATACTAATTTAGCCTATTTCAAAATCTCACTGATAGTCAGCCCAGAGTGGGGGCAATTACAGTAAATAAGTACCTTGAATTACAACTTGCTAACTTCATCTAATCAACCAGTCAGAACTACTTTTCACTCGGATGATTTAATGGATATTGGGAATCAAAAAGCTATTCAATTTTAAAGAAAAAAAAAATCCTTTTGTTTCTATGTCTATATATGGAATATATCCAGAAACTGAATTAAATCACATCTATTTGCTGATGAAGGCAATCAGTGCTATTTTACCTGTGTTTCCTTTTTCATCTTCTCGGATATGAAGATCCTTCACAGATGTTTCCAATTCTAGAAGATCTCTTAGGTCTTCCTTATATACTTCTATATACGACACTTTGATATTAAAGTCAATGCTAGAATTTTCAGAGATGTTTTGAAATATTTCTTGGATAGCTCGAGGAATGATGCCCTTTTGACCCTCCACAACTGAAGCTAAAAATTTAGAGAAAAGAAAGGACATATGAAAATTAAAATATAAGAAAAGCTAAAACCCCAAATTTATAATGAATAAATTTACTTTCTTACATTTTATATTATAAATTTTAAAAAAACATAACAACAATACTGATATGTAAAATTTTCCACAATTTTTAAAGTAGTTTTAAAAATGACAAGATAAAATGTGAAATAAGTGAAAGAACAAATTGGAACTTAAGGTTAAATAAGTTAGGTTAACTTAGAAACCTATCTAGCATCTGTAGCACTGTTCCATAGAAAATATGTTTCAAGCTACAAAAAGGTGACTTCCAAATGAACCTTAAAAATAACTAGCTTCCAGGTTGAAAATCACCAATGTTTAGATTTTTGGCAACAAACATCCTGAAAATCTGAACCTCTATTAACTTGGACTATCTTTCACCTAATTTAAGATGCAAGACTGCCATCGTGTGGCAAGTAAAGGAAACTGTAGCTTTTTCCAATACAAGAGTAAAGATTCCTTTTTGGGAGTTTCCAGGAATTAGCGAATAGCATTATCTACGAACTACAGTGCACTATACAATTATAGATTACCCAGGATATAAGGCTGATTAGAAATAGCTCATTCCTTTCCCACCTCAACAGACAACAAAGCACAATAATTCAAAACTTAGCAAAATGCTGAATTGCAAATATTTATCATAAAGCTTCAATATGTATTTTGGTACTAAATACCACATTTTCAGTGTTATACTTATATTCCTGAGACAGACTGTTTAAGAGAGAAAACTTGTAAAGTTTTAGATGTCAACAGCTATCATTTAGCTATTATATGTTATTTAAATAACACTCAAAAGTTTCTAGAGAATGTTCTAGTTTCTGGTACAAGTCAGTAAATTCAAGGTTCTGAGAAGCAGGAAAATGAATAGTAGTTGAAATAAGCATCCTACTGAAAGAAGATTATTATTCTGACTCAGTACCTAGCATGGTACCCTAGACACTACAAATGCTCAATAAATTATTTATTGGAGAAAAAAAACAGCATTATTTAAAAATGAGACAGCAGGGGTGCCTGAGTGGCTCGATTCAGTTAAGTGTCCAACTTCGGCTCAGGTCATGATCTCAGAGTTTGTGGGTTCAAACCCTATATCAGGCTCTGTGCCGACAGCTCAGAGCCTGGAGCCTGCTTCAGATTCTGTGTCTCCCTCTCTTTCTGCACCTCTCCCTCTCACACTCTGTCTCTCTCTCTCAAAAATAAACATTACAAAAAATAAAAATAAAAAGTAAGTAGCAAAAATGAACCATTGGGATCTCATCAAGATAAAAAGCTTCTACAGAGCGAAGGAAACAATCAACAAAACTAAAAGGCAACTGATGGAATGGGAGAAGATATCTACAAACGACATATCCGATAAAAGGTTAATATCCAAAATCTATAAAGAACTTACCAAACTCAACACCTACAAAACAAACAATCCAGTGAAGAAAATGGAAGAAGAAATGAACAGACACTTTTACAAAGGAGACATCCAGATGGCCAACAGACACATGAAAAAATGATCAACATCACTCATCATCAGGGAAATACAAATCAAAACCACACTGAGATACCACCTCATACTTGTCAGAATGGCAACATTAACAAGTCAGGCAACAACAGAAGTTGTACTTACATACAACACCCAGTGCTCATCCTAACAAGTGTCCTCCTTATTACCCGTCACCCCTTTAGCCCTTCCTCTGCACCCAACACCCTGCCAGCAACCCTCAGTTTGTTCCCTGTATTTAAGAGTCTCTTATGGTTTGTCCCCCCTAATTATACTATTTTTCCTTCCTTTCACTTACGTTCATCTGTTTTGTATCTTAAATTCCACATATGAGTGAAGTCATATGATGTTTTTCTCTGACATATTTTGCTTAGCATAATACCTTCTAGTTCCATCCACGTTGTTGCAAATGGCAAGATTTCATTCTTTTTTATCACCGAGTAATATTCCATTGTGTGTATATATCCATATATATCCATTTATATATGTATATCTCATATGAGATATACATATATACGAGATATACATATATCATATATATATTTCATCTATATGGGTTGCACCAGTTTGCATTCCCACCAGCAATGCAGAAGGGTTCCTCTTTTATTCAACATAGTACTGGAAGACCTAGCCACAGCAATTAGACAACATTAAAAATGGGTAAGGAAGAAGTCAGTTAAGCATGACCTTCAGCTCAGGTCATGATCCCGTAGTCTGTGAGTTAACAGCTCTGTGTTAACAGCTTGGAGCCTGGAGCCTGCTCTGGATTCTGTGTCTCCCTCTCTCTGCCCCTCCCAGACTCACACTCCGTCTCTCTCTCAGAAATAACTAAACGTTACCAAAAAAAAAAATACTAGAATGGAGGACTTTGGTCCATTCCAACTGTGGAATATTATATGGTTCAAAAAATGAGTTAAAATCTATGACCCAAAAGGGAAAAAATGGAATATTTTATATTGTTAAATACAAAAAGAAAGTTATGAAAATAATGGTATAATTCATCAAACAAAACAAGATAAAAACATATTTGTAAAATGCCTAGAAAAAATGTCTAGAACACTCCAGAATGCTATACGTCAAATGTTTATTTCCTTGGGAGGAGCCTAGTTTTATTCATTTGTTTCTTTTTTTTTTTTTTTTTTTTTTTTTTAGTGTTTATTCAGTTTTGTTAGGGGGGCAGAGGGAGGGGGACAGAGGATCCTAAGTGGGCCCTGCATTGACAGTAGAGAGCCCGATGCATGACCTGAGCCAAAGTCTGATGCTTAACCAATTGAGCCACCCAGGTGCCCCAAGTTTAATTTGTTAAGCATCACTTGTAATTCTTTTTACAACAAACATTATTATAATTTTTAAAAAACCAGAGAATAAATTTCCAAAGACACTCTGTAAAAAATGTGAGTGTACTCAAATAAACAAAATTACTGATGGAAGAGGAGAAATAAAAACCAACTCTATAGAAATACAAACAAATGTAACAGAGTATTATGAAAACATGTATGCCAACATTTGAACAACTTAGAAGAAACGATGACTTCCTAGGAACATATAACCTAACAAAACTAATGCAGGAAGAAATAAAAATTCGAACAGACCAATCCCTAGCAATGAAACTGAATCAGGAATCAAAATATTCCCAACAAACAAAAGTCCAGAATCAGAAGTCTTCACAGATGAATTCTACCAAACATTTAAAAAAGTTAATACCCATTTTTCTCTTTTTTCTTAAATCTTTTTTTTTTTTTTTTAATTTTATTAATGTTTATTTATTTTTGAGAGACAGAGCACGAGCAGGGGAGGGGCAGAGGGAGAGGGAGACACAGAATCCGAAGCAGGCTCCAGGCTCTGAGCTGTCAGCACAAAGCCCGATGCAGGGCTCGAACTCACAAACCGTGAGATCATGACCTGAGCCAAAGTGGACCACTGAACTGACTGAGCCACCCAGGTGCCCCATTACCCATTTTTCTCAAACTATTCCAAAACATCCAAGAGGAAGGAAAACGTCCAAATTCATTCTATAAAACCAGTGTCACCCTGATACCAAAACCAGATAAAGACACCACAAAAAAGACAAGTACAGGCCCTGTCTCTCATGAATATGGATGCAATCCTCAACAAAATATTAATAAACCAGATCCAATAATATATTTTTAAAATCATATACCATGATCAAGTGGGATGCAGGAGAAGTTTAATAGCTGCAAAACAATCAATGTGATATGTCACATCAGTAAGAGAAAGGATAAAAACCGTACGATTATTTCAATAAATGCAGAAAAGCTTTTGACAAACAACAACATGCATTCATGATAAAAACCCTCTGCAAATTAGGTCCAGAGGGAATATATCTTAACAAAATAAAGGCCATATATGAGGGGCACCTGTGTGGCTCAGTTGGTTAAGCATCTGACTTTGGCTCAGGTCATGATCTCACCATTCGTAAGTGTGAGCCCCCACACTGGGCTCTGTGCTGACAGCTCAGAGCCTGGAGCCCACTTCAGATTCCGTGTCTCCCTCTCTCTGCCCCTCCCCTGCCCTGTCTCTCTCTCTCTCCAAAATAAATAAACATTAACCGAAAAAAAGGCCATATGTGAAAAGCCCATAGCCAACATGATATTCAACAGTAAAAAACAGAGCTTTTCCCTGAAGGTCAAGAATGACCTTGAAGACAAGGATGTCCACACTCACCACTTTTGTTAAACATAGTACTAGAAGTCCTAGCCATAGCAATTAGACAACATAAAGAAATAAAAGGCATCCAAAATGGTAAGGAAGAGTAAAACTCTATTTGCAGATAACCCAATACTATATATAGAAAATGCTAAAGACTCCACCAAAAAACTACTAGAACTAAGAAATTAATTGAGTAAAGTTGCAGGATACAAAAATCAATGTTCAGGTATCTGTTGCATTCCTATACGCTAATTATGAAGCAGCAGAAAGAAAATTAAATAATCCCATTTACAATTCCACCAAAATAGTAAAATATCTAGGAATTAACCAAAGAAGTGAAAGACTTGTACTCTTGAACGCTATAAAATATTGATGAAAGGTACTGACGACACACAAAGAAATTGAAAGATATTCCACGCTTATGGATTGGAAGGAACAAATACTGTTAAAATGTCTATCCTACCCAAAGCAATCTACACATTGAATGCAATCCCTACCAAAATACCAACAGCGTTTTTCACAGAACTACAACAATCTTAAAATTTGTACGGAGCCACAAAAGACTCCAAATAGCTAAAGCAATCTTGAAAAAGAAAAACAAAACTGGGGGCACCTGGGTGGCTTTCAGCTGAGCGTCCAACTCCGGTTTAGGTCATGGTTCATGAGTTCGAACCCTGTGTCTGGCTGGTGCTGACAGCTCAGAGCCTGGAACCTGCTTCAAATCCTGTGTCTCCTTCCTCTCTTCCCCTTCCCTGCTCATGCTCTGCCTCTTTCTCTCTCTCTCAAGAATAAATATTTAAATTTTTTTTTAAAAAATAGAAAGAAAAACAAAACTGGAGGTATCACAATTCCAAACTTCAAGTTACATTACAAAGCCATAGCAATCAAGACAGTATGGTCCTGGCACAAAAACAGACACAGAGATCAGCAGAACAGAATAGAAAAACCAGAAATAAACCCACAAGTATATGGTCAATTAATCTTCAACAAAGGAGGAAAAGGATATGCAATGGGAAAAAGATAGTCTCTTCAACAAATAATGTTGGGAAAACTGGACAGCTACATACAAAAGAATGAACCTGGACCACTTTCTTTCACCATACACAAAAATGAACTGAAAGTGGATTAAAAACCTAAATGTGAGGCCTGAAGGGCTTGTTCAGCTAGAGGGGTGGGGTGATGGGACAAATAGCGCATAGGGATTAAAGAGTATACTTACCATGATGAAAAAATAAATAAAACGATTTTTATAAAAAATTGTTTTTAATGTTTATTTTTGGGAGAGAGAGAGCACAAGCGGGAGAGGGACAGAGGGAGACGGAAACCCAGAATCTGAAGCAGGCTCCAGGCTCTGAGCTGCCAGCACAGAACCCGAGGCGGGGTTCAAACCCATGAACTATGAGATCATGACCCGAGCTGAAGTCAGATGCTTAACTGACTGAGCCACCCAGGCACCCCTAAAATGATTTTTTTTTAAATAAGAAGGGTAAGAAAAGCTAGGGTAAAAAATAAATGTTTCTAAGGATGTTACCAAGTATTAAGTATTTTAGAGCAGTTATAATATTTTACTTTTTAAATTTATTTTTTTATTTTGATTAACTGACTGAGCCACCCAGGCACCACTTATTTTTTTTATTTTTGCGGGGGAGGGGAAGAGAGAGAGGGAGAAAGGGAGAATCCCAAGCAAGCTCTGCACTGTCAGCACAGAGCCTGATGTGGTGTTCAAACTCATGAATATGAGCAGAACCAAAGATCATGACCTGAACCGAAACTAAGAGTCAGTCGCTTAACTGAGCCACCGAGGTGCCCAAGAATAGATAAATTTAATAACTTTTGCCCTTAAGGATTAAATTGTACGCATGGCCTCTTAATTAAAAACAATATAGCTATAATTAAGTCACCAAGCTCTAAACATAACTCCTATTAGTATGAAGAACATACTGAGTCTTAAAGATCATAAAACATTTGCCAATTAAAAAAAAAGGATACAGTCCTAAAAAAACACCCCACAACTTATAACAGAAAAATTTAATATTTTACTTTGAGATCCTAAAATAACCTAATATCTTTAACCTCTTAATCCTGTGTAGCAATGATTCTAAAAAATGGTGGTGTGGGGGGGTGTTATTGGGCACTAATGGCCCCTCCATTTAATCTTTGCAATCAGGGTCTCCTCAACTCAGCCAGCCTCCAACTCGCACCCCCCCCCCCACCAATCCCATAATAAGCGGTGTTTCTGAAAGTCATATATTCTATATTTGAGAAGCAGGAAAGTAGAAAACATACTGAGAGTCATTACACACATACAGAATACCAGCAATAATTTTAGACAATAATGCATATATATGTACAACATTCAAAAGTTTGCATTTAGTAAAAAAATACCAATACAGTAAACAATCTCATTTAGTAAAAAAATACCAACACAGTAAACAATCTCAACAGAGGACTTGGAGTTCAGTCCCAACTGTCACTAGCCCTCTAGCTGAACAAGCCCTTCAGTGACTGCTCCATGGCTGGAGTGCCTCACTTATAAACAGAAATGATTTTTTTTCTTTCATAGTTTATTGTCAAGTTGGTTTCCATATAACACCCAGTGCTCATCCCAACAAGTGCCCTCCTCCATGCCCATCACCCCCCTCCCCGCCCCACCCCCATCAGTCCTCAGTTGAGAAATGATTAAGGTTCCTTCCAGCTCTACAAGAAATCCTAATGATTCTACCTTTTCCAACTAGAATTACAAGCAGGAGAAATTACATTCTAAAATATTCAGTATTTGAAACAGAAATCTGTATTTATATGGGGGTGATTGATGTGTTAACTACATTGGAGGAATCCTTTGATAATATATATAAATTCATCAAATCATTGTGATGTACACTTTAAATAGCAATTGTACCTCAATAAAGCTGAAAAAAAATAAAAATTGGCTAAAAAACAGGAAAAAAAAAGACTTTAAACCACATAATAAATTCTACCTATTGCCTCTAACTCTTGGTTGTAGGACTCATGATATTTACAAGTGACGATGTTAAAAGATCAAAATCTGGTCACGTTAACAAATTTCTTTCTACTTTAAGTTCTGTTCAAAATGACAAAGGTTTGCCAGAGGCAGGGAGTGGGGGAAATTTGTGAAGGTGGTCAAAACGTAAAAACTTTCAGTTATAAGATAAATAAGTTCTGCAGAGGTAATAACACACAGTATTGGTGACTGTCGTTAACAGCACTGTTTGTGTATTTGAAAGCTTCTAAAATATTAGATCTTAAAAGTTCTTATCACAGGAAAAAGAAATTTAGAACTATGTGATGTGATCCATGTTAACTAAATTTACTGTGGTAATCATTTTGCAATATATACATTTTTCAAATCATTATATTTTACACCTTGTACAAATATAATGATGCATGTCAATTTTATCTCAAAGACTGGAAAGAAATGGCAAAGGGCTGAACACTGAACATTGTCTTAAACTTGTTTCCTCAAACAAATACAATCATAAATTAAACTGTTGAATGAAACTTCAATATTTAAAAATAAATCTTTCAAAGACGATGATCTTATGAAGTCATCTGACTATCCTTTATTTCATTCAATCAATATGCTGAGCACCTACTATGTGTCAGGCACTGTCATATTTTAGCTTAATTCTAGTGTCTCAAATAAAAGTCAAAGAGTAGTATAAGAAACTTACCAACATGGCCTCCTCCAATGGTGTAGGTCTTCCCAGATCCAGTTTGTCCATAGGCAAAAACGGTTGCATTATAGCCCTCAATGAGCGACAACACTAGTGGCTTTATACATGTATTATAAACTTCATCCTGAGTAGAATTTTTGCCAAAAACAAAATCAAAAGTAAAGACTCTATCTCTCCCAATGATAATTTGCTGGGTGTTTGGAATAACTCTCACACAAGCTTGATGATTATGAAGAACTTCTTTGCATAGCAGAGGTCTGATTCTTACAGCAACTTTTACTGGTATTTCTTCCATAGCAGCTTAGATTTTACTAGATAATCTTCTACTTAATATTCAGTATCTAGTGTGAGAAATATCCATTTTATGTAATTTCTGGACCCCTGTGTATCAAAATAAAAACAAAACTTAATTATTGACTTTTCTATCCTAATAAACTAACCATCTTCTCAAGCAAAGTCCATTAAAGCAGGTTTCCCTCCAATATAAGTCAGTTACAAAGAGTATACCGGTCTAGTAAAAATACACCTATAATTTACAGATGAAATGTCTGGATTTGCTCCAAAACAATCTAAGGGGTAGGGGCCATGAGTTGGTAAATGATGCAGCAAAGTAAGAAGTGCATGGGATTCCATCGTCCCATTCTTTCTGTAGTGGAAATATGTTTCCCAGTCCATTAATCTAAATATTGAATAACTGGGGAGTTAGAAAATTAAAGCAAGGAAATAGTGAATAAGTGTACACACACAGGTTGAAAGCAAACCCTTTACTAGATTTTATAGCTATGTGCTGGAAAGTAACATCTCTTTGCCACAAATATGAGAAATAAATCCATGAAAATAGTTTTAAGGTTTTCTATAACTTTAAATCAAGTTTTTTATTCAAAAATAATCAAAACTAACTGAAACATTGCTTTCTACTTCTAACATGTTACACTTATTTCTGAAGATTACTGGTAGAATCAATTAAAAAATAAGTTATTATCTATACTTATAAGGAACCTAAAAAATTAAAAAACAATTCCATTTACAGTAGCATCAGAAAGAATATAACACTGGGGTGCCTGGGTGGCTCAGTCAGTTAGGCAACAGACTCTTGATTTCGGCTCAGGTCATGATCTCATGATTCATGAGATCAGGCCCCACGTCGGGTTCTGTGCTGACAGCACAGAGCCTGCTTGGGATTCTCTCTCTGCCCCTCTTCTACTCACACTCTGTGAAAATAAACTTAAAAGAATAATAATACATAGAAAGAAGTTTTAATAAAAGACATGTAAAACATGTACTCTGAAGATTATAAAAGATTACTGAAAGTAAAGAAGGTCTAAATAAATGGAAAAACATCTCATGTTCTGGATAGAAAGATAATACTGTTAGATGGCAGAATTCTCCAAATTGGTCTACATATTTAACACACTGCTATCAAAATCTTCGCTGAACTGCAGAAATTGACAAGATGATCCTAGAATCCATATGGAAATTCAAGGGACAAGCAACAGCTAAAACAATATTGAAAAAGAACAAATTTGGAAGACACACTTTCCCAGTTCTAAAACCAAGCAACAGTAAGTAAGACAGTGTGGTACTGGTATAACACAAATTAAAAGATCAATGGAAAAGAATTAAGAACCCAGAAATAAACTCTTGTATTCTGGGCAAATGCTTTTTGACAAGAGTGATAAGACAATTCAATAGGGGAAAGAACAGACTTTTCTTTTCTTTTTTTTTTTTTTAATATTTTATTTATTTCTAGGAGACAGAGAGAGAGACAGCGTGAGCAGGGGAGGGTCAGAGAGAGAGGGAGTCACAGACTCTGAAACAGGCTCCAGGCTCTGAGCCGGCAGTCAGCACAGAGCCCGACGCGGGGCTCGAACCCACGAACCGTGAGATCATGATCTAAGCGAAAGTCGGACGCTTAACCAACTAAGCCACCCAGGTGCCCCCAGACTTTTCAATAAGTGGTCATGGGACAAATGGATATCCACATGCATAAGAATGCTGTTGGATTCCTACTCACATTATATACAAAAGAATTCAAAATCATTCGCAGACTTAAATGTAAGAACTGAAACTTATAAAACTCTAAGAAGAAAACACAGGAGTAACTCTTAGCAACTCTGGATTTGGCAGTGGTTTCTCAGGTGTAACACCAAAGCAAAAGCAATAAGCTTTATAAGGAAAAATAGATAAAATGGATTCAATCAAATTTAAAAACTTTGTTCCTCAAATATATAAAAATGGCTAACAGGCACATGCAAAGATGTTCAACATCATTAGCCAGCAGGGAAATGCAATCAAAACTACAATGAGATTACCACTTTAATCCCACTAACACATCTATAATCAAAAAGGCATCATGTAGCAGACACACACATGAAAAGATGCTCAACATCATTCATCATCATGGAAATGCAAACCTAAACCACAATGAGGTTATCACTTCACACCTGTCAGACGGCTAGAATCAAAAAGACAAGAAATAACAAGTGTTAGCAAGGACGTGGAGGAAAAGGAACCCTCAAGCACTGCTGGTGGGAATGCAAACTGGTGCAGCCACTCTGACAAACAGTATGGAGGTTCCTCAAAAAATTAAAAATAGGGGGCGCCCGGGTGGCTGAGTAGGTTAAGCATCCAACTTCAGCTTGGGTCATGATCTCACAGCTTGAGTTAGAGCCCTGCGTTGGGCTCTGTGGTGACAGCTCAGAGCCTGGAGTCTGCTTCAGATTCTGTCTCCCTCTCTCTCTCTGTCCCTCCCCCACTCACTCTCTGTCTCTCAAAAATAAATAAAAATTTTAAAAAATTAAAAATTTAATTACTATATTGTCCAGTAAATCCACTACTGGGTATTTACCCAAAGAATATGGAAATACTAATTCAAAAAGATATATGCACCCCTGTTTCTTATAGCATTTATTACAATAATCAAGATACGGAATTATGGAAGCCACCTAAGTGTTAATCAATAAATGAATGGATGAAGATGTGGTATATTTGAGGCACCTGGGTGGCTTAGTCAGTTAAGCATCCGACTCTTGATTTCAGCTCAGGTCATGATCTCATGATTCATGAGATGGAGCCCCAAGCTGGGCTCTGAACTAATGTGCAGGGCCTGCGTAGGACTCTCTCTTTCTTCTCCCCAGCTCACATACAAACTCTCTGTCAAAATAAATAAATAAACTTAAAAAAAAAAAAAAGATGTGGGGGATATAAATATATATAGTAAAACCTTGGTTTGTGGGCATAATCTGTTCTGGAAACATGCTTGTAATCCAAAGCACTTGTACATCAGAGCAAATTTTAAGAACCACTGGCGCAGTTGTGATCATGTGATCTTCGGCATCATGTACTACTTGTATTGCAAGATATCATTCGTTTATCAAGTTAAAATTTATGAGAAATGTTTGCTCGTATTGCACAACACTCACAGAAAAAGTTACTCACAATCCAAGGTTTTATTGTATATGTATTTGTAATGTATATGTATATGTAATTACTCAGCCATAAAAATGAATGAAATCTTCACATCTGCAACAATATGGACGGATCGAGACAGTATTATGTTAAGTTAAATACGTCAGACAGAGAAAGACAAATACCATATGATTTCCTTTTTTTTTTTTAAGTTTATGTAAGTAATCTCTACGCCCAACGTGGGGCTTGAACTCACAACCCTGAGACCAAGAGTCCCATGCTCCACTGACTGAGCCAGTCAGGGGTCCACCATATGATTTCACTTATATGTGGAATCTAAAAAACAGAATAAACAAAAAGCAAAATCATATCCATAAATACAGAGGTCAAACTGACATTAGTGGAGGGAAGTAGGGTGGGGAGATGGGCAAAATGGGTGAAGCAGAGTGGGAGATACAGGCTTCCCATTACAAAATGAATGAGTCCTGGGAATAAAAAGTACAGCATAGGGTCAATGGTCTTGTAATAGCCTTGCATGGTGACAGATGATAGCTATATTTGTGGCAAGCATAGCATAACATATAGACTTTCTGTTCACCTGAAATTGAAGTAAGATTGTAGGTCGACTACATTTCAATTTTTAAAAAGATGGATGGGGCACCTGGGTGGTTCAGTTGGTTAAGCGTTCGACTTTGACTCAGGTCATGATCTCATGGTTCATGAGTTCAAGCCCCACATTGGGCTCTGTGCTGACAGCTCAGAGCCTGGAGCCTGATTTGGATTCGATGTCTTCCTCTCTCTGCCCCTCCCCTGCTCACACTCTGTCTCTCTCTCAAATATAAACATTAAGACAAATTTTAAGGGAAAAAAAAAAACACACATGGATATGGGATATGTGGGTGGTTCTATCAGTTAGGCATCCAACTACTGAAATGATCTCATGGTCACGAGATGGAGCTCCATGTTGGGCTCCACACCTAGTGTGGAATCGGCCTGAGATTCTCTCACTCTCTCTGCCCCGCTCCCACTCACTTGCATTCTCGCTCTCAAAAAAAATGGGTATTAATATATTTAAAACTTTTTTTTAAGACAGTTCAAAATAAGTGTTAGGATGTATAAACTATGGCACCTTCACAGACTCCAGATGGAAGTGTAAAATGATGCAGTCACTTTGGAAGAGTCTGGCAGCTCCTCAAAAATACAGTTATTATTTGACCCAGCAACTCCACTCTTAGATATATGCCCAAGAAAAATAAAAACATATGTTTTTATAAAAAACTTGTACATGAATGCTCGGTCTTGGTAGGATAAAGCTTACACCATAAAGAAGCTGAAAAGAAAATGTAACAAGTAGTCTATGATAATGTTTAAGAGCAGATAATGAAAAATAAACAGTTTGAGGTGTGGCTGGGCTCTTTGGAGAAGGAGAGTCTTAAACACTATCATTAAGTAACCCAGTGGGCTATTAACAGACTAAAATAACATTTCAGCACTACTTGCATATTCAGTATTCAATAGCCTTTTAAATACTCGGCAGCAGTACTACAGATTATAATTTTGTGAGTGGAAAATCTGAAAAGGATCACAATAACAAATACAGTACTCTACTAAAAGCTGAGTAAAAAAAAAAAAACCCAGCTCCCTTGGGCTGTAAAATCCCAAAACAGAGTCAACATGCTATTTAATGGCCAAAACAAAGAGATGCACCCAACCTTGTCACTTTTAATCATTCTAGTTAAAATCAGCTGTGAAAAAATACTCATAGGTATGATAAATCCTTTCTTGAATCCTACAGGACTCCACAATCACTTGGTACTGGAAACTTTCCCAAAGAAACAAGGATGCTGTACGAGGTGGTTCTTCCAAATGTCTCTCAACATCGACATTTCAAGTTTTTATCATCAGATTAGCATGTTAAAATTTATTTATGCCATCACATTAAAACAAAAGTCATAGTCTATGTTAAACCAAACCTAACTACTTCCAACAAAACTGCTAAAAAAGGTGCTGAGTATAATTGGGATGTTTTCACTTTTCTTGGTTTTTACAATAGAAAACAATTTTGCTACAAGTGCAAATGAAATTCTATTCTATTCCAATAAAAGTCCTTAAACATGTGGCTTGCAAAGATTAACATTCAAGAATTTAAGTACTTAGAAAATCCATAGCATTTATACTTTAGATTCTGGTCAACTGCAGTAATCGGAAGCATATGTACTGTCTCACCAATAAATGTAAAGAAAGGTGAAATCTGATTGTCTGGTAATATTTAGGCATACTCCATGGAGTTTTGAAACTGAGTAAAGGCAAGAGAATCTGATCAATGATGCCATGTCACTGATCAAAAAGGAGTGTCTCCTAATACTGTCGCCATCCTGTGCCCTTGGTTTCTCAGTAGTGGGTTGTCTAAAAATTGTAGTTTGTTAATTATATTTTTGTAAGAAATTTCCGAGCAAATGAACAATGAATCACAAAAGGATCTCAGAAAAGGTCTCAAATGCGTAAACGACTAGATGAAGAATACAGAAAGTAAAGTGGAAAAACAAAAATTTGACAACTTGGAGAGGGCGAAGTGTGATTTAAACAGTGTTTTTGGTGTGCCTGGCTGGCTCGGTCGCGGAGTCTGCGACTCTGGATCTCCGGATTGTGAGTTCGAGCCTTACCTTGGGTGTACAGATCACTTAAAAATAAAATCTTTACAACAACAAAAAAAATGTTTCAAAGAAAGAATGTGGGCGCCCTTTCTTTCTCAGTCAAACCTGCCTCTGAAGAAGGCTTTCAGACTTCCACAGCGCTTGGGTTGCACCAAAGTTTCAACATCCGCAATGGGAAAAAGAGACTAGCGACAAAACGAAACCCCCCAATGAGGATGGGCCTTCCCGAAGTTGGAAGCAACGGCACAAAAAACACCAGGATCAGCCTCAGTGGGGCTCAGTGGGGCACCGGCTCCAGTCCGGGGTTCGCGCGCGTCCCTAATCCCCGGGCCTGTCTACCAAGGGGGACCCAACTTCCCCATGCCGTTCTCCGTGGGTCCCGGCACAGAGCTCAGCCCCCTCCGCCGCCCTCTCGGCTTTGCCGGCGCCGCAACCGCTCTCCCAGCGGTCCAGCGGCGGACCCTGACGCCCGACCCCTAGGCGGCGCCCCCTGACCTAAACGGCGGGCTAGAGCGCGGACGCGGCGGACACTAGGGCGGGAGGGCGCCGCACAGCCCCCGGCCCCATCAGCCCCGCCAGGACGGCACACCACTTACTGACCGGCTCGAGAAAGTCCTGATTTCCGGCGGCGAACACAGCACAGGACACCCGAGCTTCGCTCCGCCCGGCCGCCGCCGCCGCCGCCGCCGCAGCCCGCGCCTTTTGTTGTCGCGGGTTCTCCCGGCAACGGCGAAACCAGCTGCCGACGCGCCCCCACCCGGCCGAGTGTTGCGCCGCACCCCCGACGAGCCCCGCCCCCGAAGAGCCCCGCCCCCGACGAGCCCCGCCCCCGACGAGCCCCGCCCCCGACGAGCCCCGCCCCCGACGAGCCCCGCCCCCGACGAGCCCCGCCCCCGACGAGCCCCGCCCCCGACGAGCCCCGCCCCCGACGAGCCCCGCCCCCGACGAGCCCCGCCCGGCCGAGAGGAGCCTAGCGCTGGCCGCCCGGAGACCACCTGCACGTGTGGCTACAAAGTCAACACGCATTGGACAGCTCTCCGCGTGCTGAACCAAACTCACTCCCTACCGGTTTGTAAACTGAATGTAAGAAAGATTCACGTTGCGTTTCACTATTTTAGCTGCTAATTACTTTTATTGAAGTAAAGTTCGTATAACCTACATCGAGCCGCTTTAAGCTGTACATTAAGGCATTCACAATGTTGTGCAACCATTACCTCTGGTTCCAAAACATTTCATCACCACCAGAGGAGATCCCCGAGTCGGTTTGCAGCCTCTCCGGTTCCCCTCCCCTGCAGTCCCTGGCAACCACTAATCTACTTGCTCTGTCTGAATGGATCTACCTGGTTGGGGGCATTTTGTATTCAGGGAATTATACAATGTGTGGCCTTTTGTGTCTGGCTTCTTTTGCTAAACAATGTTTTTTGGGTCCACCCATGTTGTAGCATGTATCAGTAATTTTATTCCTTTTTATGCTGAATAATATTCCATTGTGTAGACATACCACATTTTATATATCACTCATCTCTTGATGGACACCCAAGTTGTTTCCACTTTTTGGCTAATATGAATTATGCTGTTAGACACATTCATCTACAAGTATTTGTTTAACATCTGTTTTCAGTTCTTTTGGTATAGACCTGGAGCTGGTATAGAAATATGTTTTCATATCGCTATTCTGTTTAACTTCTCCAATTTACTGTAAAATTTTTTTTAATGTTTATTTATTTTTGAGAGAAAGAGATGAATTGGGGAGGGGAGAAAGAAACACACACAGAATCTGGAGCAGGCTCCAGGCTCCGATCTGTCAGCACAGAGAGCCCCATGTGGAGCTTGAACTCACAAACCATGAGATCATGAACTGAGCCGAGTCGCTTGCTTAACTGACTGAACCATCCAAGCACCCCTCCAATTTACTTTTTTGTTTTGTTTTGTTTTTTAAAAAAATTTTTTAATGTTTTATTTATTTCTAGGAGAGAGAGAGACAGCGTGAGCAGGGGAGGGTCAGAGAGAGAGGGAGTCACAGACTGAAACAGGCTCCAGGCTCTGAGCTGGCAGTCAGCACAGAGCCCGACGCGGGGCCCGAACCCACGAACCGCGAGATCATGACCTAAGCGAAAGTCGGACGCTTAACCGACTAAGCCACCCAGGCGCCCCTCCAATTTACTTTTAAATGCCTCAATGCCTCCCATTTTTAGTAGCAAAATCTAAGTATTTTCTCCCAAGAGATTTTTCTTTTCTTTTTTAAAGTAATCTCTACACCCAACTTGAAGCTCAAACTCATGACCTCGAGATCAACAGTCAGATGATCTACTGACTGAGCCAGGCAGACACCCCTCACAATCTAAGCATTTTCAAAAAGCTTCCCTTCTCTCACGGAACTTAAGAGCGAAGGTGAGGGCACCTGGGTGGCTCAGTTGGTTACGGTCCAACTTCAGCTCAGGTCATGATCTCACAGTTCGTGGGTTCAAGCTCTGCATCGGGCTCTGCTGACAGCTAGCTCAGAGCCTGGAGACTGTCTTTGGATTCTGTGTCTTCCTCTCTCTCTGACCCTCCCCTGCTCATGCTGTCTCTATTTCTCTCTCAAAAATAAATAAAACATAAAAAAATTTTTTAAAGGAGGGAAGGTGAAAAAAATGCTTAATTATTAAATTGAATTACAAGTATCCCATGTTTTCAAAAGTTCACATTATGCCTCCTGGCTGAAAGACCTACATTCGTTACCTCTTTCTGCTGAGAGAAATCTGAAGAGAATTTTTGCTTTTTATGATAAAAAGCAAAAGCCACAATAGGTTTGTTTTGCAGCCGATCCTTACAGACGCAGCAAGCACCCAGGGACAGAGAGTGGCGCCACCAACCACCTTCAAGGAACTATACTCAGCTCCTCAGCATCAAGCCCCCATAGGTTTGAACTTGTCTGTGAGCCACTATGCTTTATCTCGATTTATTTTGTTTTGTGCATCTGTTAGCAAGATGTGCCCTAAGGTATCAAAAAAGAATTAAGAGAGAGTACTTTGGGGGTTAGGAATACTCAAAATTTTTTCCATAAAAATTAATGGCAATTGCTTCTTTGCTTTACACCATTTTGGCTTCCAAAAGTTTTCATAGGATTATGCTACTTTCGGGTAGCAGGGGAAACCTGTATTTTGAATTTTTAAAACCCAAAGATGTGAATTCACTAATTATTTTGAATCTTTGGAACTCCTTTTTTAAAAAAAGTTTGCCCTTCGGGGAGGGCAGGGGGGAAGTCACCCTTCAGACATAAATTGATAGATAGGTCAGACTGCCCTGCTGACAAAATCTGAGTGACTAACAGCAACAATGTAGGTTTGAAAATTAACAGGAAGGCTGAGCAGCTGGTCTCAGGAGGCCGCATATTTACAGAGGAGATAAGTAAATGCCTAACAGGATTGGACTGGAACATTTCCTATTGCCCGCAAGTTGGTGTCTTGAGCCCAAAGTTGAAGAGAGGGACCAATGAAGTTCCCCAAACTGTAAAGCGGATACCAGTCATTGTCACTCCCTCCTGCACTGTCCAGGATTATAGCAGAACAAGGCTAATTCCATTCCAACTCCAACCCTATCTCCTTCTCATGTCTTTATAAGTGGGACTTGGGGGTGCCAAGGAGAGAGAGTCATGGGGTCTTGGCCTTGTGGCTTGGGGAATAGAGGGTTCACACATAAGAGGCTTTCCTACTAAGTCAAAGGAGGGTCTAAGAGTGACCCAGAGAGCTGCACCGAGAGGAAAGTGGCCCGCTGGTGTCCTCACAGCTAGGGGTAGAGGCTGGCTGATCGATGGGTCTTTAGGCCTCTCTAGACTGAAGCAGAGCAACTGAATGGGGCGCACAGTTGGCACTGGAGAAGCAGACTGCACTCACCACTTGGCAGGGGCAGAACCTATGATTTCTCCGTGTCTCCAATCTTGCTTTCACAAATCCATCCTCCGTACCTGCTATAGTGCTCTGTGTAGGACACAAATGTCCCTTTCCTACAGGCTTTCTGTAATGCAGCCTAGCACAGAAGCGCCAGAGCACCTGGCACCCGGAGGCCCAAACCCACCAGGTTTGGCCACTGGACACTGACAAAATCCAAAGGCAGAGAGTGGTGATGAAACAGGAAAGGAATTTATCAGTGAGACCAACATGGAAGACAACAGACTGGCATGTCAAAGACTGGTCTCCAGGGGCGCCTGGGTGGCTCAGTCGGTTAAGCGTCCGACTTTCGCTTAGGTCATGATCTCGCAGTTCGTGGGTTCGAGCCCCGCGTCGGGCTCTGTGCTGACTGCCAGCTCAGAGCCTGGAACCTGTTTCGGTCTGTGACTCCCTCTCTCTCTGACCCTCCCCTGCTCACTCTCTCTCTCTCTCTCAGAAATAAAAAATAAAATAAAATAAAAACATTAAAAAAAAGAGAGAGACTGGTCTCCAAAGTGCTGAAGATACTTCCACGTTTAAATAAGGAAAATGTGGGTCAAAGGTCAGTGGGTATGTGCAGGTAGGCAGGGAAGGTCAAATTGATCATTGTCTTGGGGTCAGTCAGGTGAGGTTTTGCTTGCTCAGGACAGTCCTTATTGCTTGCGGGGAGGGAGGTAGTTTCGGTTCCCATCAGAGGATGCTTTGCTCACAGGATCCTTTGCCTGAGTTAAGAGATAAGCTGGAAAGGGGCACCTGGGTGGCTCAGTCAGTTAAGCATCTGACTCTTGGTTTCAGCTCAGGTCATGATCTCATGGCTTCATGGGTTCGAGCCCTGAAACAGTCTCTGCACTGACAGCATGGAGCCTGCTTGGGATTCTCTCTCTTCCTCTGTCTCTCTGCCCCTCCCCTGCTCATGCTGTTTCTATCTCTCTCAAAATAAATAAACTTAAAAAAAAAAGGGAGCGGGGAGATGAGCTGGAAAGAACTTAATTAGAAAGTTTTAGGTCAATCAGGGCACCTGGGTGGCTCAGTCCATTAAGCATCTGACTTCAGCTCAGGTCATGAGCTCATGGTTTGTGGGTTCCAGCCACCATGTCCGGCTCTCTGTGACAGCTCAGAGTCTGGAAACTGCTTCCAATTCTGTGTCTCCTCGTCTCTCTGCCCCTCCCTTGCTCTCATGCGGGGACTCTGTCGCGTGCTCTCTCTCTCTCAAAATTAAACATAAAAAAAAATGTTTTTTAAAGTTTGAGGTCAAAATGGAGGTAGGTGAAGTCCTCTTTCAATGCCATGGAGAATAATATTACCTTTTAGCAGCTGGAATGGAGAGGCACGGTTTTGCAGAGAAGATGCTTTGCTAGTCCACACCTGGGTTTGAGTTGGTTGGTACCCAGGCTTCAGAAAAGAGGATAATGTTGCTCATATGAGACCAAGAGAATTTATCTGAATGCTCTTGAGAAAGACTGAGGAAGGTGGAGGAAGGGGAAGGTGTTGAGAAGAGGCTCAGAGAAAAGGGAGAGGATAGCTGGTGAGGGAATTCCAGAGAGAACAGAAATGGCTATAAGGGATCTTTAGGGTGTATGCTGAGAGGTGTGCAATGGGGACCCTTCCCCTCTCTCTCCTGCAAAATCTTCAGTAAAGTCTGTGTTGCTCTCTGAGGCATTTGTGGCAAAGATTTGTAGGGACTTAAAGATATGCCAGTCCTGGGATGCCTGTGTTGCTCAGTTGGTTAAGTGTCCAAATTTTGATTTTG